TTTTTGCAAATCTTCCAAAACTGACCGACTTGCAAATTATGTATTTTAATTTTTAGCAAATGTTCCGAAACTGACCGGCTTGCAGACCTCGCAGCAGCCACAGACGTTGGGCTCAGTGCCGAACTTGCAGCCCAGGGGCGCCGTGCACTCAACTTCCCAGCAGGGGAAGCACGACAGACCCTCTGAGACTCTGAACAGCGGAAAATGCTTTAATTTTATGACAAATATATTATATTCAATCCGATTCTTTTTATTAATTGCACTTAGAGGCTTTTTGTTAAAAATTAAACGACAGACCCTCTGAGACTCTGAACAGCAGAAAATGCTCTGATTTTACGACAAGTATATTATATTCAATCTGATTCTTTACATCAATTTTACTTAGAAGCTTTTTGTTTAAAATTAAACGACAGACCCTCTGAGACTCTGAACGGCAGAAAATGCTTTGATTTTATGACAAGTATATTATATTCAATCTGATTCTTTACATCAATTTTACTTAGAAGCTTTTTGTTTAAAATTAAACGACAGACCCTCTGAGACTCTGAACGGCAGAAAATGCTTTGATTTTATGACAAATATATTATATCCAATCTGATTCTTTACATCAATTTTACTTAGAGGCTTTTTGTTAAAAATTAAACGACAGACCCTCTGAGACTCTGAACAGCAAAAAATGCTTTCATTTTGTGCTAAATATATTATATTCAATCCGATTCTTTTTAGCGCATTTTCTCATTTATGGAAAAAATGCACTATTGTGCTCGCCATGTCCGTCTGTCTGTCTGTCTGTCAGTCTAACCGTCTGTCCGTGATTTCACGTTTTCGTCGACGAGAAAATGCGCTCTCTGTCACTCACTGCAGTGAGTACTGAGTTGTATTTTTATTACTTCTATTTTAAGGGTTTTTGTTAAGAATAAATTCTTCGTTAAATAGTTACAATGGAATGCCTGTGCCGTATTATACGTACGCTTTCATTTTATGACAAATTGATTATGTTCAATCTGATTATTTTATATTTTATATATATTATAAAATATATATTTTTCGTGCTATGATAATTTAATTATTTACTGTAGTTACCTGGCGAGCATCACTACAAGGCAGACCGCTGCCAAAACACACTTCATTTTGAGACTAGAAATTGTGACTTTTACTCAAGAAATTCAAACGCTAAATGCAAGCAACCCGCAGCCGCGTTTCTTCTTAAATCTTGTTTCTTATCGTCGCGGATTGTGGCGTCCGTTAAAATGCATCACCGCCCTCATCCTGCCGGTGCTTCGCCGGCTTTTTAGCCCATTTTCTCATTTATAGCGCATTTTCTCATTTTTAACGCATTTTCTCATTTTTAGCGCATTTTCTCATTTTTAGCGCATTTTCTCATTTATAACGCATTTTCTAATTTTTAGCGCATTTTCTCATTTCTAGCCCATTTTCTAATTTTTAGCGCATTTTCTAATTTTAGCGCATTCTCTCATTTTTAGCGCATTTTCTCATTTTTAGCCCATTTTCTCATTTTTAGCCCATTTTCTCATTTTTAGCGCATTTTCGAATTTATAGCGCATTTTCTCATTTTTAGCGCATTTTCTCATTTATAGCGCATTTTCTCATTTTTAGCGCATTTTCTCATTTATAGCCCATTTTCTCATTTATAGCGCATTTTCTCATTTTTAGCCCATTTTCGCATTTTTAGCGCATTTTCTCATTTTTAGCGCATTTTCTCATTTTTAGCGCATTTTCTCATTTAGCGCATTTTCTCATTTTTAGCCCATTTTCTAATTTTTAGCGCATTTTCTCATTTATAACCCATTTTCTCATTTTTAGCGCATTTTCTCATTTAGCCCATTTTCTCATTTATAGCGCATTTTCTCATTTGTAGCGCATTTTCTCATTTTTAGCGCATTTTCTCATTTATGGAAGAAATTCACTATTGTGCTCGCCATGTCCGTCTGTCTGTCTGTCTGTCCGTCCGTGACTTCAAGTTTTCGTCGACGTGAAAATGCGCTCTCTGTAACTCACTGCAGTGAGTACTGAGTTATATTTTTTTTGTCATGCTTTAGTTCGAATTTCAAGCAACGTTTCTAGATTTTAGCTCCCCGTGATTTTCACAGTTTCATCAAAGAACGAAAAATAGTGTTTTCCTGCAAACAAATATTTTTTATCAAGTTTTTGGGATATTTTTGACATCTTTTGACTGAACTTTAGAAAATAAAATTTTTTGACGAGTACAGACACTGTTATATGAAAATTTTTTGACCTTATTTCACGATAAACAAACTTAAACAATATCATTTCCACTCAAGATTACAGTCATATTAATGACACAGGATTGAGAAAGAAACAAATGCAGACCGAATCATTTATTAAAAACATTCTTTACGATAAATGGGCTAAGAATATTCTGATAAAACGTGTATTGCAGTGTCTCGGTTTCTTCAGGGGTGTGTTACGAAAATAGAACGTGTCCTGAAATCCATAGCATTTGACAACAGAAGTAGTCCATATGTACAAAAAATTACAAATGTCTTTCATCTTACTCAACAAATCCTATAATGAACATTTTCTCAGGTTTTTTCTTGACACTGATACACAAAGTTTTCTTTCTGGCTTTGGTTTACAATTTTCTGTTACATTCAATGGAGTTCCATCATTTCTTAATATTTATATCTCAACGAACGAATATCAATAATACATTGAAGTTTAAGTTAAAAGTTCACATTTTTCGAATCATCATCGACACATATGAGCTCCACAACATGTGTTTTGTGAACTTTTGAAACTCATAGTTCACGTTTGCGCGAAATTGCAAAGAGTTTTTATTTATTCTTTTTGCCCAATGAGTTTTGTAGCAGGGCGATGAAGCTAAAGCGTCACACACGCATTGTGCATCAATGTTTTATTCTTCTTGCTCGACGAAATTTGGAACGATGACGTTTATTTTACCTCAAAACATGAAAAACTAAAGAATATTGCAGCACAAGTAACATATAAGTTCGCTATACCAGTAATTCCAATTGCAATATACTTTAAAAAGTATCCGTGAAATCAAAATGGAATTCCGTTTTTCTTATCATTGAACACACTAAATTTAATAACATTAATTAAACAAATTAATTTATATAACCTGATTGGACTCTTCATTTCAAATTTCACCTGATTCATTTCAAATCACCAATTGCAAAGACTTAATATGGAAACGTGGACTGAACATATCAACAAAGTTTCTGTAGAATTTTTTTTAGAATTTTATTGTACCTCGACTTGACCGTCAAATTGTTGCAATGATTCATAAGAAAAAGAATATAAGAAAGAAATATAATATAAGAAAGATTCATAAGAAAAGAAAAGAACCCATTTACCCACACTCAGCACTTTATGTATTTCACCAATGTTAATATGATACGCATAATTTAATAAAAATGATAGAGTTATTTCATCCCTACCTTACCATCAAAAAAATAATGAATTTCCCAAAAAGTTCATTTACCTACAATTTGAAACCATTGATTAAGAATCTAACTTTGATGCTAGCTTCTGAGCTTATCATATTCTCATCCAAGTAAATCAATTCAATTATATTAACGCTAGAATCAAAGCGCTAAAATTTTTATTTTGTTCTCCTGCACGTCTATTTACACCACAAGCATTATTGATTAATATTTTTATACATTAAAATATACAAAACTTACTGTTTCATGGCGACTGCAAATTTTTCATGCCATAGCCACACATAATATCTGCTGTTTTTATATCCGGTAAGTTAGTGTGTGGTGGTCTACTAAGGAATAAGTAAACGTGAAAATGTGAATTCCTATTCGTGGATTGAAAATAGACGATCATACTTTATTTTAAATTAATTTTCTAAGCAAATTTGCCTCGTGTCTTCAACGACTGGAAAACTCCCACTTGCAGATTATTCGAGCGTTAATCTTGTAAGTACATCCGTTAACTAATTAGAGATGACACAAAAACCGCACGTTTTCGTTACTTTTTATCTGCCACAAACAAAAACTGTCGTAATTTAAAAATAATATTCTGAAAAGGACTCTTGATACCATTAAAATATTCATTTCAATTTATTTATGCTTTCTATCTAAGGAAATATTCGCTATGGGTTCCATTAAATGATTAAAATGACCTATCCTTTTTCAGATCAATATTGTATTTCTGTCTAGCTAAAACTGACGTACTTTTTTTAGTCAAGTATCTATCCTACCTCACATAAATTCATAGCATGATTTGTCAAAAAAGAGCAATCAATTTTAGATTAAAGAGCTTTATTCTTCAATTTGAAACAACTATACGTATCCTCTGAATCAAGATTAGGGTATAGAAAGTGTTACAAGTAATGATAAGTATTATAACATGAAGACAGAATAGTGAAAAGTTGCCTACCTAGATCTTATATATGTTTCTAGATCTTATATCTGGCGTATATATATATACGCCAGATTTCTTGCTAAAAGTCAAGATTTCATATATTTATTCTGAGCTGGCGAAGTGTTCAGTACGAAATCTTCATACTTTTCACATACAGACCGAAAACTAGTATGCCGAATGCTAGTATGCCTAGTATCGAACCCAGTGGAAGTCTAGTAGCTATTTCACACTGTCGTCAGTCCTGAGAAGATCCGGTCAAATGACACGATTTTAGATCTTCTGTGAACAAGTCACGAAAAGTTCAAATGTCGGCGAAAGGCCACATCAGGCCGACTCTTCAGCACCGACATCACTATGTTATGTTATGATGTTAGCCAGATACTAACTAATATCAGTTATAGAGAAGTACATTTTTCTGGTCTACGTATGAGTTATCTTCATTGTACGCTACCTTGGATCATCAAAGTAATATCATAAATTGTTACTCGAGATGGAATTAGTAGATTATTTACATTGAAGAAATACGGGAGAACAATTATTTAAATGTATAACATATATTTATTTGAAATTAAAACAGAGAAACTAAGTATAGAATTTAAGTATAAATAATTATTAATTTATTCAAAGCAGGTTAAGTTACAAAATCAAAAAGTTCCCTTTAATTCCTGTTTGATCAGAAGAAAATTAAAATTATCATTTTATTCATTGTTTTTTAGGCAAACTGACTTAATTTAACTGGACTTAAAAAAATAGAGTGACAGTTAGAAAGGTTTTCAGTAAGCTGTTCCGTTTAAAATATAACATCCACGAGCTACTTCCTATTGAAAAGATTTGCTAAAATTCAAAGTTCTATCTGAAATACAGTATAAATAGACATTTACCAGAAATTTTACTAAGGAAAATAGGCTTCGGATTTTCGTGTGGTAACAACTTGTTTGTATTTTGAAAACTCTGCACTAAATCGAAGTTTACAACGCCATTAAATGAATATCGTTTTTTTGTTAATTCACTCCTGATATTTACTATTTATATATGAGTCACAATTAAATTTTAAATTAATCTTGGTCAGTCTAGGTTTACATCTAAATCAATTTATCACTGTGATATTTCAGGTTCAACCCTTTGGCACATGTTGCCAAATGCATGGAAGTGAAGATCAAATTTCATTTATAGCAAAACAGATCGAATTCATTCCGGGGAGGGTGAAGAGGTGCACATGGGCGCAATATGTGCAGTGTCGCAAATAGTAACGGTCTTCTTGGGTCTCGTTAGTGATGAAGTCGCTGAAGGAACTTTGGGAGGTGCTACTGGCTTCAGCGTGTGGTTCTCTTTCCGTATTGACTGAAAATTCTGATCAGTTGTCATGCAATTAGTTCCCCAATCTGGAGGACTGTTCAGTGAAAGCTTGCTGGGGCTGTTAGGTAATCTTTTAGGAGGCGCCATGTGGGGACATCCGACAGGGTTCATGCCACCACTGTATGTAAACAACGCCATCGTCTCTAAATGTCAGGTGTCGTCTAGGTGGAAGCGATGGTGAGGAGCTTGAGAAGTGACCAAACCACTGAGTTTTCTGGTGATAACTGAGTTACCACCGCGACTAGTAACCTGTTCCTGCATGAGGTTGAAACAGGTAGCGATCAATGCCATGCCAATGAGAAGGTAGATCGAAACCCCGATGAGTTGTAGTTGGGCATCAGCGCTGTCTTGAGGGTTTTTGGTTGGCATTAGGTCCCCAAAACCAATGGTCGTAAGGGCACCGAAGCAGAAGTAGAGGGAGTTCAGGTATGACCAATTTTGTGTACGTGCAAAAATTGCAGCACCGCCGCAGATGTAAATGATCATGATCACGAAGCATAAGGTGACCGGGATGGGGACATGTTCTGGGTTGTTGCAGTCAGGCGGACAACCTCCATTCTGCTCAAACATAATCAGCCGTAAGAAGATATTCGTTATTATACACGATCAATTTAGACTGTAGAATAAATATGATATCAAAGTTGAGCTCTGATAATAGTTTATCATAAGCGTCGTGCTGCTTAAGGTTTGTTATTATACGAGATCAATAAAAGCTTTAGAATGAGCATGTTATCAAAGTTAAGCTTTGAAAATTGTTTATCATAAGCGTCTTGCAGCTTAGGGTAAGGATTTGTTACCGTTTAATTCTTTATATAAGAAATACAAATTATGCAATAGCCGTTACTTTGTTACCCTGTACACTGGAGTAGGGGGCGCTGAGACCCACGGGGGGCGTTACCTTGTAGCCCCCTGTACACTGGAGTAGGGGGCGCTGAGCCCCACGGGGGGCGTTACCTTGTAGCCCCCCTGTACACTGGAGTAGGGGGCGCCTTAGGCCCACGGGGGGCGTTACCTTGTAGCCCCCCTGTACACTGGAGTAGGGGGCGCTGAGGCCCACGGGGGGCGTTACCTTGTAGCCTCCCTGTACACTGGAGTAGGGGGCGCTGAGCCCCACGGGAGGCGTTACCTTGTATCCTCCCTGTACACTGGAGTAGGGGGCGCTGAGCCCCACGGGAGGCGTTACCTTGTAGCCCCCCTGTACACTGGAGTAGGGGGCGCTGAGGCCCACGGGGGGTTGATTGGTCGCTAGTTTGGCCCTGGGTTTGGAGGAACGACAGCGACAAACGCGCGACCATAAGAACTTCAGACACCGCGACAGCAAGTCACCTGAAGTCGAAATGAAAATATTTTAATTTTGTAATCACATTCTCACATAGTGTTCCCTACTAATTCATGAATTGTTAAAAAATTCCCTACTAACTCATGAATCAAAAAATTTTTCCTACTAACTATATGCGAAAAATGGGAACATGCCAGAATTGTACCTATTCCATGAAGCCAGAATTATTCCTATTCCATGTACCGTGAACACCATTCAGCGCACGACAGGCAATGCGATAATTTTTTAACGAACTTTATTGTAGTATTATGGTAATGGTAATGGATGGTAATGAGAGAAAGACTCGGTGATTTGAAATAGAAATTTAAGTGGGTTGTCTGGGTCTAAAGCAAAGTTCTGTATTTACTAGCCGATCTTTCTTAAACTTCACACACATATGCAAAACAGGAAAACAATAACTTCTTGCTCCTATGAATTTTTTTGAAAAAATAAATGAAAACGTGAAATGCAGAGAAAACCAAAAAAAATGAGCAAACCACTTTAAAAATTACACTTCTCCACATTCAATGCTACACTATCGAGAGACAAATCATACGATTTGTAATGCAAATATCTAATGACTCTGGGAGCCTTTTTTCCGATTCTTTTTTTTTACCTTTCAATTTTTCCCTCCTCTTCCCCCATTATTTTATTATATAATTCAAACAATAGATAAATCAGGGGAATTTTAGGGCCGTTAGACATTCTCTATGCGAATCGAATGATGCTTCCATCAATGTTGCAGATATGAATTTGAAGGAGAAGATAGGTTTTTAATGAAGCGATTCAAACTGTTCATGAAAGGCAAAGAAGTGAAATGGAATAAGAAAATTAAATATAGGCTAAAAAATTTGCTTTATAATATATCCCCAGCTTTCCATAGCCTATTTATTTTATTGAATGTCAATCATGCACCGCATGACTTATTTTTATCCGGTTTAATGCAAATAATAACTTTCAAATAACATTTTTTTAAAGAAACCTTCATAAAAATGGTGCAAATGATCATTTTTTATAAATTTGAGCCCCCAAAAAACGGAGAAGCCAAATTTTTTAATTTTAGACCCAGACGACCCCCTTAAAGAATAATGTTCAATGTAAAATAAATAATTTTGTTGCATGCATAATGACCTCATACGTGAACAAAAATAAATGATCTTAATAAACTGTAACATGTACAATAATATGTATTTAAGAAGAAAATATAGAAATGAGTAAATATATCGATGTAGAAATGAAGGTGTCGTCTGCTATAACTCACCACTAACGGTCAATAAATTATTTTACTATAAACAACTATGCCATAAAAAGTCGATTAATGTTATTAAGTGTTATTAAATTTTTAAATGAATCTATATAATGTTATTATTGCATCTAAAATAATTATACAAAAAATTCTTCTAATTTTTTATTTTTCCTCTTAAACTATAAGCAATGTCCATGTAATAATTACGGATTACTTATATCCTGTAATATCTCAATTCTCATTATCATCAATATTATTTATCTTATGAAAAATATGCAATATAATAAGTAATATGTATTTTCATGTCCGCACCGACGGACGACAGGTAGAGCAGCATGAGCGGGATGCCCAGCAGAGCGTAGATGATGGACGCAACCCTCCCCACGGCCGTCTGGGGGGCAACTGCCCCGTAGCCTGCAATAACGTACACTTTATAGGCATGCCCGAATAGCTGAATTAATCTGACTTAAGATCATATTTATCTGTACCGAATTTCTACTTATTTTTATCATAATTATGTACATAAATTCGGAAGTTAAATGTATAAAATTTACACTGTTGTTGCGTATAAATAATATCAAAACTATGTATGATCTAATACATCTTTAGTATACATTACCATAAACGAAAAACATAAATTTTTAAATAATAGTATAATATGCATAGTAATTGAAACCCTGGCCCGACCTGTTCATCATTTACGCTAACCTCTTCACCCCACCCTGACCTCTTCACCCCACCCTGACCTCTTCACCCCACCCTGACCTCTTCACTTCACCCTGACCTCTTCACCCCACCCTGACCTCTTCACTCCATACTGACCTCTTCACTCCACCCTGACCTCTTCACTCCACCCTGACCTCTTCACTCCACCCTGACCTCTTCACCCCACCCTGACCTCTTCACCCCACCCTGACCTCACTACCCTCACCTAATCACCCTACCCTCACCTAATCACCCTCCCCTCACCTATGGTGGTGATGACAGTAAGGCTGTACAGGAATGACCCCGCGAAGGTCCACTGCTCGAGGTGGGGCGGCTGGCTGTCGTCCTGATGTCGTTTGCGTGACGCCGCAGCCTCGTCGGCAAGATTGTGTTGTCTGATAAGCGATGTTAAAAGCTCTTCACTGTACCTACGTAACTCCTTCTCCACGACCCGGGTCCAGTTCTCCCGGTACAAAATGTTTAGAGATTCCGTGATGCTCCATAAACGCTCCACAGTTTGGTGCCGCAGGATCTGAGTGTCAAATTCACCGCCTGAGATTACAGCTGCGACTTCCGCTTGTGTTTCTGGTGAAACTTGGTTTGATTTTCGGATGTTTTCTTGGGGTTGGTCAGCTTCATGAGGAGGAATGTGTTGAGTTTCTGATGATTGGGAGATCGGGGTGTTTGAATTTTGTGAATCTAAAGGGTTGTTAGTGTCTGGTGTTGAATGTTCGACCGGGAGAGTGCGGTGATGTGACATATTTTGGCCCTCTAATGATGTGAATAAGATTGCGCCTAACGCTGTGTAAACCAACACAAGAAAACAAACTCCGAGGTTTGAGCACAAAAGTGAGACGAATTTTGTGCAACATTTAGCACTTCTTCTGTGGCCATCTTGACGAGAGCCGGAGAGTGCAACACTGCTTGAAGTCGTACTGCTTTCCATCATAAATATTTAATTTATGCCTTAACACCAGAATAAATTCGTAAAACTCTTACATTGCTAGTCATTCGTTAATGGAAACTTATTATAGAATCAACATTATTACATAAGCTCAACCAAATAAATGAATTTCAATATAATTATTCAAGATTTTGTACTGCTCTGAAAATCATTTAACGTACAGTACAATTTTAAAAGCGAAAATACAGCAAACAAACCGATATAATTTTCACGTCTACCAGAATTGCTTCACGATAGTTAAACTTTTTCTGCTGGACAAATTGAAAACCTATAATATTTAATATTCAAGTTTATACGTGCTTGCTTGTATGAAAAACTTGACCTAGAGAAAAAATAACTCGACCTAGAGCAAAAATGACCTAGAGCACTAAAAACTTCGTCGCAAATAATTCCATTACTGTTACATATACGCACAATATTTACGAACAACTACATTATTTATATAAATATAACAAGTTTCTTTATTGATATAAATGTTTTTGATGAATCGCTCACACTAAAATGTTTCATATATTAAAGAACTATCCACATGACCAAAAGGTCTACTGTCATTCTGATTCCAACAAATTTATAAAGAGATCATTCGTTACTCATTATTAACTTGAAAATATTTTGTCTTGTATTAGCTATCAACAAAACCCCCCGCATAACTCATTTCTTATATGATATAACTTTTGATAATAACTTTTGACAGCTTAAATGATGATAGCTTTTGTTCTTAAATCTTATTGGCTACAGGCAATATCGACGAATTACTGATCAAAAGAAAAAACTATTCTGAAAATATATAGAATTCTTGTTAATCATTTTTTCTGAATACATGTTAACATGTATACCTTAAAATGCCCAATACAAAATCAATTGCACTCCAGGCGTCCTAGCTGCACCTCAACTCCTATTGATTTTGTATGCTGTACACAGGTAATCATTCAATCCTAATTCATTTTTAATATATATTTAGTAAACTTTAAACTATTTTCATTTCATTCAAACTGTAATTCATTCATTTTACTACAAATTATTTGCAGCTGCATTTAACACGCCGTCTACTTTGTGAAAAGTAAAACTTATTGTCATTTGAGTTACTTAAATCCTGGGATGAAACACCGTAGAGTTTACAGCAGTTTTGGAGTACAGCCCTTACATCGCAAGGATTTACAATTACCTCAAGTGTTAAACTCATTGGAAGTGATGGAGGAAATTATTAGTTAGTATGTTTGACATTTTCCATCGATTAATTAAGGAATCTTAATTATTATATAAGCACAACTAACGATATGAATTTCCGGATAACTATTTAAATTTGGGCCAATATTTAAAGTTCTCAAATTTCAGTCGCTCTTCAAGCAAAAATTACCTCCGAGCTTTTAGATCCTGGCTCGGTGATCTTCACCTGAACGCATCATCGATTTTACAGATCGTTATCGAAAATTTCTTTGTACATTCACTTTAATCCTTTTATTCCTTTATATTTCTATTTTTTCTCTTCTTATTAATTGTACCTAACAATATCAGTCAAAAATACAAGCAAAAGATGCTCGTGTGATGATATTAGGATACCCCCAGGAGTGATATAACATCCCCTCACGAGTGCCCAGCAGCAACTGAGGGTTCAAACAGACGCAGACTCTCGGTCTCTGCCCTCGCCTCTCCTTAAGAGATGCTGAACTCTTTTTTTTACAGTGATTTAAGTGAAAATTAATTTCATATCTTCACTTGACACGATGCATCCTATTCCTTACTTTAAAGAGAGCTGTAGTTCCATCACACTCCAGAGAGCTGTAGGTCTATTACACTCTAGAGAGCTGTAGTTCCATCACACTCACTGTAGGTCCATCACACTCTAGAGAGCTGTAGGACCATCACACTCTAGAGAGCTGTAGGTCCATATCACTCCTGAAAGCTCCCACTCTATTGCACTCTACATCTATCCGCACACCACTTTTTAGAAATTGGTCACTAAGTATTACTCTATGAATCTGTCATTTTAGTTTACTCTAGACAGAAATCAACCACATTCTAAAATCTATACCTTCGCTGAACAGTAGAATCAGCCATTGCATTTCCATCAAGAAAGTTTCTACTATTCTCATTTCAGAAAAACTGTCAGTAGCATGGGCTAGTCTAACTGTAGTGCTCTCTAGAGAGCAGCATGGACCAGTCTAACTCTAGCGCTCTCTAGATAGCAGCATGGGCCAGTCTATCTCTTGCGCAACATGGACCAGTCTAACTCTAGCGCTCTCTGGAGAGCAGCATGGACCTGTCTAACTCTAGCGCTCTCTAGAGAGCAGCATTGGCCAGTCTAACTGTAGTGCCCTCTAGAGAGCAGCATGGACCAGTCTAACTCTAGTGCTCTCTAGAGAGCAGCATGGGCCAGTCTAACTCTAGCACTCTCTAGAGAGCAGCACAGACCAGTATAACTCTAGCGTTCTCTAGAAAGCAGCATGGGCCAGTCTTACTCTAGCGCACTCAAGAGAGCAGCATAGGCCAGTCTAACTCTGGCACTCTCTAGAGAGCAGCATGGACCAGTCTAACTCTAGCGCTCTCTAGAGAGCAGCTTGGACCAGTCTAACTCTAGCGCTTTCTACAGAGCAGCATNTCAGTGTCAGCACACACTGACATCAGTGTCAGCACACACTGACATCAGTGTCAGCACACACTGACATCAGTGTCAGGTATCCAGCAACTGCGCGCTCTGTCTCATCAATTCTGCACGTCGCGTCGCCGCTAACTGCAGATAGCCTCATATTTTGCCTCTCATTTCGCTTCATTTTTCCCGTTTAGGCGCGAATTTTGTGCCGTGTTAGGCTCACCAAAATGACTGGCACGGCTCCTGTCTTTTTTAGCACGGTAATCAGACGGTAATTCTCGATTACATATTATGATCTTTATAAACTTGATTTTTGTGCATCAGTATTTATAAGTATTGATCAGTATTGATCAATATTGATCAGTATTGATCAGTATCGATCAGTATTGATCAGTATTGATCAGTATTGATCAGTATTGATCAGTATTGATCAGTATTGATCAGTATTGATCAGTATTGATCAGTATTGATCGGTATTGGTCAGTATTGATCAGTATTTATCAGTATTGATCAGTATTGATAAGTATTGATCAGTATTGATCAGTATTGAATGTAATTGTTTCAAATGTCTTCTTAGCTATAGCTAATCTACATGGGTTGTGAAGGAAATACTTAAGGTTAGTTCAATTTTTTTCTTAAATAATATGTTGCGTTTCTCATCAAGAATAAAGACCATGAAAAAGCGCATTCCGCAAAAAAAAACTTTTCTATGCCATTTAGTTCCTCAAAAGAGTCCATTTTACTGTTCCTCTCTTTAGCACTCTCTCTCTCTATACGTATATATCTTTCTGTTCTTATCTCTCTTTCATCCTCTTTCTCTTTCTCGGTGTCTCTCACTGTTAATCTTCGCATTTTCAATATACATGCAGCAATATTGAGCAACTTAAAAAGCTTTATCAATCAATTACTGTTGTGGTCCGCAGTTTATTGGAATAAATGAGCTAGCGAAGAAACAATTACCCGGTGCTTAAAGGCTGGCAAAAAATGGCAATTCCAAAACGCAGACAGCAATTTCACGGATATTTGAAATTATATTACTTAATTACCTGAGTTTTTAGTTGAGTTTGTTCAGTCGGTCTTTAATTATACAATTACAATATATTTAATTACAATTAATTAGTTACAAGTTAAATATACAAATTAAAAATGCCTGAGAGGTGCTTGTTTGCTTCACTCAGTCTTTGATGCATAATATTTATTGAAATATGGACGCCAAGTTGTATACGAAATGTAAATTTGTAAGCGATTTGGGAATAAAAACACCAGGTTATTTGGTCACAGTCCATGTTCTCATACAGGGCATGAACATATTATTAATGTCAAAAATGTAGTTAATTGAACCTGCCTTGCTCACAATTAAAAATAACAGCTAATTTCCGCATGAAAACCGTATTTGGTTCATATAAGTTCACCCGCTGTGCTACCTTTAGCTAATTTTTGCCAGATCTCCTTAATTGAATCAAATTAGCAGGATTGGCTTCAATCAGCGCGAGCAGAGCTTTTCCTACCAAATCAAATCAATTTCCTACAAATTTCACGAATTTTAAACTTTCGTAACGAAACGGAAAAGTTGTTGAAGCGCTCTTGGCTACAATTCGTATTCATGCAAACGTAAGTCTCATATTAAATTATTACAACACTTCTCTTTAACTTCACTTCTTGTTTGTTTGTCTGCCACAAATGTAATCAAAATTTAATAAACTTCTACTTATCCTATCGATCTGAAATTTTGCACACTTGTGTAAAATTGGAGATAATGCATGAATCAAATGTCAAATAAATGATTTAGAAAATTAAAAAAAAAATTTCAATAATAAAAAAATCAAAAAAATAATTTCGTCAGCTACAAATCTTATAACTGATACTTGACACACTTTTACCTGTCTAATTGATCTGAAATTTTGCACACTTGTGTGAAGTCAGAGGCAATGCATGAATCAATTAACAGAATAAATGATTTTGAAAAAAATTAATATTAAAAAAAATTTATATATTCAAAAAACTGAAATATTAATTTTTTTAATTCGAAAATTAAATGAGAAATTCATTGTACATCTGTAAGATTGGAGATACTGGATTTTTTGGAAGTTTTGTCATTAAAAAGTAATTTTCAAACGTATATTATTTTTACTTTCTCGTGAGCTTCAGGAACCATTCATGATCGGATTCAAAAACAGAAATTGATAAATGCTCGATACAGAAAAAAATACCTGCGCTAAAATTACGAGCAAATTTTTTTATACGTTGTCCTTCATGAAAAATTTGCAATCTTATTGATATTAAGAAGGCATATAAATATGATAGTGGAACATGAAGGTTTAAAGGAAATGAAGGTTTAAAAGAAAAGGAAGGTTAAAAGAAAAAGGAAGGTTTAAATGAAAAGATATAGGTAGGTTTAAATCAATAAGTCGGAATTTAATAAATGAAGAGGACAAAATTTAGAACTTAAAATAGCAAGGATTGGATTCCCAAAGAATTTTAAAGACTCATGAAAAAATCATCACACTAATGATTCAGAATTTAACGTCAGCAGGAAAATAATGAATGGATAAATAGGGTGATAAATCAGGGATGGAAATAATTATTCGAAAAACTTGAGATCTAAGTATAAAGTGCACACATCAGAAACATTCGTACGTTGATTATATTAAATCACTTAAATCTATCAGTAATTTATAAACTAAACTTTACCGGGTATAATGAAGGATGAAAACAGCCTTATATGCAATTGATCAAATAGACAAGGTGGGAAAAATCATGTTTCGAACTACGTCCTCTCAAAAAAATCATTATAAACATGCTAAAAATTGAAGCAATATAGTTTTTTGCGTGAATTTATTCTTTTATATGAGACTAAGGGTCAACAGGAAAAAATTAGGTACTGGAAATTGTGAATAAACTGGGTGTTAGGAAAACAATTGTTCTACATACATAAAAGTTATATTATTTAGGAGATATTATTCCAAATCAAATAAATGTTCCATGAACCAATTATGCAGTAATCGACCTTATTTACACATAATCTTAAATACTCGTATTACTGTCAAAGTTTCTTTGTATTTTATGTCGTGGCAACGTAAAATTGATAAAAAATAACAAATTTATTTTTTATTTATATTTCTATGATGATTATTACCGGGACCTGAAATTTTTCTAATGGGAGGATAGTAAAGCATTGCAAAACTGGGAGGAAAAGAATGGATCAAAAATTGATTGTTTTAAATCGTTGAATAAATTTTAATTTAAAAGAACCAAAACAGTTTTTTATAATTTTAAACAAGCACTTAATGACGGTTTTATATGTATTATGGGTTTGAACGGGTATTTTTAGCGCAATTTCTCATTTATGAAAAAAATGCACTATTGTGCTCGCCATGTCTGTCTGTCCGTCCGTCCGTCTGTCTGTCCGTCCGTGACTTCACGTTTTCGTCGACGAGAAAATGCGCTCACTGTCACTCCTGCAGTGAGTACTGAGTTATATTTTTTCAATTAGTGGCTATACATTTATTATCATAAGCGGGATTCTGCATAATGGGATCTAACAATGCTGGGATAATCGAATCCGGGCCACGCGAGCTAACATGCTAATATGTATTAAAAAATGCACAATAATGCCTTGTCTATTCTATTTAATATTATCACATTTCTCGCGAAACAATTCCCAATGAAAGATATGAATTAATCCTTGCATTCTATCATTCTCTATTAGATTTAATTGCCTTCAATTTAACTCCTTTCTTCTCTTGAAGAAAGTGACGGACCGGACGCAAGTCGTGACTTTATGAACAACTTCTTCCTGCATGAGATTGAAACACATACTGAGTAAAGCTAACCCAAACATCAAATACAAGGCACAGTAAATGAAATTTATTCTGTTGTCAGCAGATACTGAAGTTCCCGGTACTATGTCACCGAAACCGATGGTCGTGAGAGAGATGAAGCAAAAGTAAAATGAAGTTAGAGGATCCCAGTCTTCGAAACTTTGGAAAAGTTCCGTACCGCCGTAGAGAAGCGCGAATAAAATCACCAGTGAGATCGTGATAGGGATGTTGACAGAGCTGAGATCCGTCTTCTCTGAAGGTACCGATCTCCACGACTCCGATCCGATGGAGATCTGAAAATTATTAAAATGAAAATTAAGCGAGAAGCAATGAAAAATTTACAAATTAAAACAGTTTTTAATTTAACTCAACGTCTCTAGCGGAGATGTAGTGAGCAAAATAATATTATAAGAATATTATTACACTTACGTTTAATTAAGTTTAATTAAGGAAAAATGTACCTAAAATATTCTTGATTGCTCGAGAAAACAAAAGTTAACTTTAACTTTAAATTAAACAACTATTATATTGAAACCAGTATAAAATAAGACATAATGAATAACTAAATAAATACCTGAAATAGATACCAAGAAAATTAAGTTGGAATTTTAGTGTAAACTCCCAAAAATTACACGAAGAATCGTATATAAAATTTTTATCAAATATTTACGTATTTAAAAACATATCTCGAGTTTTATAGAAGCTGGGATCATGAAGCAGGATCCAAATTAAAGGCAAAAACTTGTGCTGTACGATGAGAGTTAAAACAATTACATTAAGAAAAAAGGTACCTGAAATTTTCTTGATTGGTCCCAAAAATGGTTCAAACTCGAAAATTTACGTACATGTTTTTAAAGTTTGATTTCAACCCTAGCAAAATTTAGAGCCGAGGGCGGCTCTGGATTAAGTAACGCCTAGGACTCGGGGAGCATAGTCCACCAGCTTCCCTATATCCGATTTTCGGTCCACATTCCGGTCCCCAAATCAGAAAGCTACAAGCTTCTGGTACTTATTCTGCCAACTCTTGCCCTGGTCTCAGGAGACTGTAAAGTAGGCAAGGAGGTTCTGACTAGTCGCTGATTGCGACTAGTCTAGTTCTGACTAGTTGGAGGTTCTGACTAGTTGGCCAAATGACCCAGAATAACTCTTACTCCAACATAGCAACTCTGGGGCCAAGGCTGAAGCATACCCCGAATTTTGTTAAGCAAAGTCTTTCTTCTTGGTTTGATAGCATGCCCTGTAAGTTCACCATATCTTCATTGGAAACGTTTTAATTGAAGATTTTGGTTAATATTTCGATATCGTATATACATTTTCAAACAAATATTTACATTATTAAAAAAAGTTTGCTGTACCTGGTCGGGGGTGTGCAGAACCCTCCTCTGGCCAGGGTCCAGCTCGAACCCCTCCCCGCCCCCGTTCTCCAGAACTGCTGGGTACCGTGGGTCCACTGGACTGCTGGACGAAATATTAACCAAAAATGGTTCAAATTTGCAAAAAAAAATAGATTTTTATTTATAAAATTTTTATTTGAACTAAAAATTTTATTTTTATATCGAATTTCAAATTTTTATTCAGGTTAACCAAAAATAACTCAAATTTGAAAAAAATATATTTTCATTTCTATCTTAACATTTTTATTTCAAATTTCAAATTTTTATTTCAAATTTTTATTCTTGTTAACCAAAAATAGTTCAAATTTGAAAAAAATATAATTTTTCATATTAGTTCAAATTTGAAAATTTACGTAAATCTTTATGAGGTTTGGTTTCCACGTCTTTCTTCTTGGGTTGATATCATAAATTTACTTAAATAGGCAGTTCATTAGAAATTTAAATCAAATAAAACGCTTTGTAAATTCACCTTCATTGAAAACTTTTTCATTTGGAGATATTATATATTCACTTAATTTTTCTTTTTGCTCTCGAAATCTTCTTCGATTTACTATTTAAATACAAACTCGATCGTGCCCTGCGACTGTGTCCTAATTTATCAGCCGCGCATCCTTTTAGCCTCCATTTTGGTTTTCGTTAATATTGGCTCGTAATATTTTTGTTTTTTTATTCGCAATTTATGCTGAATTTGCGTCACGACATCTTATTAGCTTATGTTCATTAGAAAATTTTCATCTCAGTCATTATCACGTTGTAATTCGTATAGCATATCTATATTTAATATAAAATAAATAAACTCTCATGACACTCTAACGAAAGTTTGTGGAGCAACAGCATATGCTTTAGGCACTGTCCATTTCTATACATTATCGTAAATATTGTAAACAAATATACCTGCAGATACATGCATTTATTTACAATACTTCAACATCAGGTTCGTTAGTCACCTTATACATGTTGGTCTTCACTATGTGTTCATTTTTGATGACCGGGAGTCTTTAAAAGTGATTACATACCTACATTTCATTTTTTAGCAGACCCTTAGTCTTATACCTAAACATCGGAGCTGCAGACCGCAAATGCATCGTGTCGGTTGCACTGCCATATTTATTTTATTAATGTGAAGAACTTATTTTCATTGAAAAAACATGCTATATTCAACTACTTAACTATGCCAACATGAGACCTCAAGTCTGTTACCTTACCTAAACATGGTGGCTACAGATCGCCAGACCACGCTGGTCTCATTACACTGCTATTTTTAAACTTATTAATTCAAAGAAATTATTGCCATTGTAGAAAGCACGATTTTGTAACTAATTAAAAATTCAAACAAGAAAAAAGACGGCTGTAGCTCCCTGAACATCATAACTGCAGACCGCTAAACTTCATCGCGTTGATTGTGCCGCCATATAGACTTATTGCACTTAATAAAAAATTCTATTCAACTACTTGATAATGCAAACAAGAGACCCGAAGTCTGCTACCTGAACATTGTAGCTGCAGACCGCCAGACCGCACCGGGCTGATAACACCGCCATATATACTTGTTACAATTAATGAAAAAATCAGTACTCACTGCAGTGTGTGACAGAGCGCATTTTCTCGTCGACGAAAACATGAAGTCACGGACGGACAGACAGACGGACGGACAGAAAGACATAACGAGCACAATAGTACATTTTTCTATAAGTGAGGAAATACGCTAAAAATTAGATCAGTACTCATTCCAGTGAGTGACAGAGCGCATTTTCTCGTCTGTCCATGAAGTCACGGACGTACGGACATGAGAAGTCACTGACTGACGTGATGAACACAATAGCGCCTTTTGCTTTTTTTCCATAAATGAGAAAATGCGATAAAATTTATTGAGAGAAGCTCAACTTCTTTTATTTCACTGTGAGTGACGTCATGATCTGTATTTTACTTGGACCTATAGGTTAAAAAGCAACGCATCGGCTTTCACAGACTGAATTTCATTCTGAAATTATTAGTCATTCTATTATTATGATTTTTATATTTTAATATAGGAAAATATATTATTAATTTTTTACAGATATTAGCAATCTGGCACCAAGAGTTGAATTTACAATGCAATGGTTTCATTTGCTTTGAGGACGGTATTGATAGAAGCACTGTTTCCGGAGGGGAACGACATCTATCAAGATGATAATGCCCTGATCCATACAGCTGAAATTGTTAAAAATGGCACGAGGAACATTCTAATGAAGTTGAGCTTCTCATTTGGCCACCACAATCATCCGACCTGAATATTATCGAGCATTTATGCTTGATTTTAGAGATGCAAGTCAGAAGTCGATTCCCGTCACAATCGTCTATAAAAACTTGAGGGAGTTTCAACTGAAGAATGGGTTAAAATTCCGTTAGACACCATTCACAATTTGTATGAATAAATAGGGAAGCGAGGCTGTAATTGACACAAAAGGTAGACCTACACCATATAAAAATATATTTCGTGAATTTCTCAGTCGTTTCTTATATTTTCTCCAACCGAAAATGCGCTAAAAATATACTATTCAACTACTGTAATAGATAAAGCAAAGAGACCCGAAGTCTGCTACCTGAACATTGTAGCTGCAGACCGCCAGACCGCGCTGGGCTGATAGCGCTGTTCGTCCCGAGCGTGCCTACAAATGCAGATCTTCGCGTATGTCCACTTGAGGCCCTTAGCGAGTATGTCGCCGATGTTGGCCATGTAGAGCAGGAAGACCGGCATGCCGAATATCGTGTACACGATCGTCATGATCTTGCCGTTCGTGGTTTTGGGTACGATGTGACCGTAACCTGAGGATAATAATGAATTAATAGGATAAATAATAATATCAAAGAAATAAATATTAATTTGGGTATAAATTGTACACAATAGACAGCTGTAAACTGTAAACTATAAATATTGTAAGGGTATCGTCATGAACTTGCCGTTCGTGGTTTTTGGCACGATGTGACCGTACCCTGAGGATATTAATGAATTGAAGGAATATATAATATAATATCGAAGAAATAAATGCTGATTTGGGACTAAACTGTACAAAATAAATTTTTATAAGGGTATCTTCTAGATCCTGCCGCATGTAGTTTTGGACAAGATGTGACCGCAGCCTGAGGAAATTCGATAAATTAATAAGATGGGAGGAATAATGTAATGCCGACGAAATAAATGCTGTAAGATTTACTTATATAAGTGCACAAATATTGAATTTGCATTCGAAGTGATTTAGCCTTTTGTATCTTTTAAATGTAAAATCAACGTAACAATAACAATAAATGTCAAATCAACGTAACAACGTACAATAACGTAACAATGAGTAGACAATTAACACCCACCAATAGTAGTGATGACAGTTAATGAGTAAAGAAACCCCCCTTCAAACGACCAGGGATCGTACGAAGTAGCGTTATCGTTGCCGTTATATCCTCTTGTTATGGCATCGATAACATATTTCTGGTAGCTCGAGACACCGACCGCAGTACTGTCGTTCCAGCCTCTGTAGTTGTTGATGTTGAAGTGATGTGTGATGTTCCAGAGGTAGGCTATTGTTCTGTTACGCTCTGCCTCTACAGATATATCTTTGAACGCGTCGTCGTTTCGCTCGATTACCTGAACACAGTTAAAGAAAATATAACTCAGTACTCACTGCAGTGAGTGACAGAGAGCGCATTTTCTCCTCGACGAAAACGTGAAGTTACGGACGGACAGACGGACGGACGGACGGACAGACAGACAGACGGACGGACATGACGAGCACAACAGCGCATTTTTTCCGTATATGAGAAAATGCGATAAAAACTACATTGTATTGCAGGCATGGATATCAAAACTAAAAGAAAATAATATACATGAATAAAATATTTTACATATACAAAATATAATATAAAAATATAAGTATATACTTGATTTTAATGACATAATTTTTTATCCCTTCGTATAACCCTTACGAATAAATGAAAAATTGGCAACGATATTAAAATCAAAATGCGGGATGAACAGTTATTATAATTTGTATTTTGAATTCAATCTGAGGTGAGCAGTTTCTAAATGCTAAGCTAGATGAAAATGATATTCCATCACATATATTGACACAAAAATTGGAATTAACATTTTATTATTCTAGTTCCAAAAAAAATCCCCACATTTTCTGATAAACAATTTCCCGTACGAGCACATTTCACTTCAAAACTTGAAGTTACTAGTTTTAAGCTTGAAGTTACAAGTTTAAACTTGAAGTTACAAGTTTAAACTTGACGCTTGAAGTTTAATCAAACGGAGAATCAAGTTTATAAAATCGAGTATACGACATGTATAGACAACATAATGCAAAGTAGCTTAAAAATATTGCTATCAATAATTGTAAACGGCTAATAATTACGCTACACATATTTTTAAAGCTATTTCTAACCTTGGATAAAAATTTGTAAAAAGATATCTCATTTAAATAAAATTCTACTCACCTGAAAAATGAAAGAACCCATGATAGTGTAACCGACAAACATTGCACAAACTCCAACATTGCTGAAAATGAAAGCGATTGTCATGCGACAGCAATCTTTAACCTTTTCCTGTAATGGTTTTTCGGAACCATGAGTTGAACTGCTGTAAGACCCACGAGATCTGATAGATCCTCTTGATCTTTGCGATCCTCTATCTCTGTCGATGGTAAATCTTTCACCACGTTCGTAATCGTACGATCTGTCTATCGCAATCGGCAATTGTGGATTTCTCCCTTTGCCATCATGGTGCCCGATGTGAAAAGTCTTTCGCTCGGTGTCTGTTGCACCAAAGACTCCTTGGTTGTAAGACCTCGGCGTGGTCGACTTTGAGTATCTCGTGTCTTTAATGCTCATTTTGCAGTCTTCGGCGGCGCTGAGATTATTAAGACGTTTTCTCGAAATTGTGGGAAAAAATCACTTTTAATTAGACATTGTCATGCTTATTGGTTATTATTGCATGATACAACTTTGATTTATGTAGATAATCATGTGCCTTGATACAGTCTATAATAGCAAGAAAAACACTTTTTAATTGATATTCGCCGCATTTACTTTTAAAGACCTGAAGAACATAAGACACGACTATAGACATAATGAATAGATTAAGAACGTTAGATTGCATCTAAGTAAGAGAATTTGTTGAACAAATTGGGCGCCGAGAGCTGGGATCGAACCCGCGCCTCTCTGCTCCAATCTTGTTACTCTGAAATGTAACCACTGGGCCACCTTGTAACCAATGGACCAAATAGCGAATCCCGTCATATGCTAAATATCACCATCACATCATGACAACATCATTTATATACAGGAGAATCATACCGCCCATCATTATCGACGAATGTTAGAATAACTTTAATGCACGAATCATCCATGTACTTCAGAGTCACACTGTATTGGGTTACCGATGTACTTCAGAGTCACACTGTACTGCGTTACCGATGTACTTCAGAGTCACACTGTACTGCGTTACCGATGTACTTCAGAGTCACACTGTACTGGGTTACCGATGTACTTCAGAGTTACACTGTACTGCGTTACCGATGCACTTCAGAGTCACACTGTACTGCGTTACCGATGCACTTCAGAGTCACACTGTACTGCGTTACCGATGCACTTCAGAGTCACACTGTACTGCGTTACCGATGTACTTCAGAGTCACACCGTACCGCGTTACCGATGTACTTCAGAGTCACACCGTACCGCGTTACCGATGTACTTCAGAGTCACACCGTACCGCGTTACCCATGTACTTCAGAGTCCCACTGTACTGCGTTGCCGTACTTCAGAGTCACACCTTACTTTATCACCAGTGCACTGTATAAACGCATTGTAATTCGTTGCCGATGAATTTGGGAATAACAAAGTATTTGTTACCGATGAAATAAAGTCAGAAGCCTGCACCACATCTTCATTCAGCTTCGAGCGTTCACTGATCTGTAGGTTTGGCATCAGTCCATGTCTAGTGTCTTGCTTCTAACTCAACGGCCTTTTTATTCCCCAACTTTGCTCTCAGTTGGTCGTTTTATTGCTTAAATTTATGATTACGTGCAAATTTAACATCTCTTTAGTTCCATCCTTCTTATTAAATACTGAGATACATTTTTGCCGCGAAAAATAAGTGTGGATTTTGTTCAAAGTATGTCAGAAGATGTGACAAAACTACACTAAAATAATAACATGTAGGATCAATGGCATTATAAAAGTTTTATTACTTGTTAGAATTTTTATCTTGCGTGCTCTGTGCGTATTAATCTGTTCTAAAATCAATCAAACAGCAAGCCATGTATAAATGAAAATTCCGATTTCGTTTTACGTCTATTGAATTGGTGTGGCCTAGCGGTTTAATATGTGAGATATTGGAAAAATAATTAATTTAAGTTACCATTATTAATCAAGTAACTTTTTGTTAGAATTCTAAAATTATTGCAATGCAAACTACCGGTACTTCCACTCATGGTTGAATGGTTCCACTCATCAACTCGAATGGGATTACTACTGATAACTTATAGTTTTTCCATTTATCTAGTTCGAAATTGATATCATTATTCCAATCTAGCATCATCGACCAATTACAAGATCGAAATTTAACCAATAAGAGTTTAAATTTACAAGGAATTTAAAAGCAAAGAAAACGCCAAGAAAATTCACCATATCGATATTGAAAACGTTTCGGAGTCCAGCTCCATCATCAGTTCGACTAAACTAAAAATGAATAAAATCACTTTAAAAGTCAAAATTCAAAGACAGACATAAAACCTAAACAAGACCTAACATTATATCGAAATAAACAGGACTAGTTATGAACAACTTAGTCCTAGGGGTACGACAAGAATATAAAATCCTAGCGATTTACTATTTCCAGACTATAGTCTTTGGACTATAGTGATTGGAGACTATAGTGATTGGATCTCAGACTGGATTGGATATCAGACTATAGTGATTGGAGTTGACTTCTGGAAATAGTAAATCGCTAGGATTTTATATTCTTGTCGTACCCCTAGGACTAAGTTGTTCATAACTAGTCCTGTTTATTTCGATATAATGTTAGGTCTTGTTTGGGTTTTATGTCTGTCTTTGAATTTTGACTTTTAAAGTGATTTTATTCATTTTTAGTTTAGTCGAACTGATGATGGAGCTGGACTCCGAAACGTTTTCAATATCGATATGGTGAATTTTCTTGGCGTTTTCTTTGCTTTTAAATTCCTTGTGAACTTGCGATATAAGCAGACTAATGATATGAGTTTAAATTTTCACTATCGTATAGAGACTCTCAATTCTTTTCAACTACCGTAGGAAAAAATAATATACAAATAAATTGTTCATCTGTTTGGGCTTTTTTAAAAGACTTTGTCCTGAACAGGCTGTATCTTGATTTAAACATTTTTAGATGGCATTCAATCATTTCAAAGTATTAGAATATAAGATTAAATTTATTCTGTCCAAAATGTGAAATTATAGTTGGTGAAATGTTGTGTCAGTAAAATATTTCTTCCAAATTTCAAGTTCACAGTGCTGGAACCAATCCTGTTATTTCACAAAGAAAGGACATCAACAACAAAAAGAACGAGGAAAACAACTAGCAAGGGTAGAGGAAGTAGTGTAGTCGGGGTACACACTGGGCTCATTTCCTTTGTTCGTGATGTTTTCCGAATGGGCTTAGTTGTGTCCAAAGGGGTCCAAGACCGAAGTCGTGCAATCACACTATTCTATATACAAATATTGTGTTTGATCTTCGTAAAAAGTAAACATTAGTTCATTCAATTACTAGTAGATCAGTAGACTGACCAGTGATCACATTATTAAATTGTAATTTGTCGCGAATTACGACTAGCCTACTAGGACTACCTAGGTACTTCTAGTCTAATATCATCGTAGACGTAGAGATGGATTATTTCAGGCTGACTTTATCGTTTATGAACATCTCGTAGACTCGTATGCAGTTATCTCTGCCATTATAGTGCCATAGGATAGCCTATCAGCTGTTAGCTAGGACTGCTAACGCTAGGTATCCTGATTTTGTGATTGGAGTTGACTCAGTTGAGAACTTGAGAGTTGTTCAATGTTGATTATGGATGACGGTTTTTTTTTCAAATAATTTTCTTGTAAGTTGTAAGTTGTCTTTGTGTCAGAAATTGGAGTGATTTTTCAAATGACATCCAATCTGCCTAACTATTGGGCCAATTTATGTAGGTACCCACTACCCACCTGTCCCACCACACTCAGGATGATGTATGTTTTTGGTGAATTTTCCCGTGCATTTTCACTTTTTTTAAGCTATTGCTGTGCACAGTTGGCGCAATGTAATGAAAATTGATTATCTTCGCGCATGTGTTCGGTGTTCGCGCAATCCCGGCCATCAATTCTACGTTGCGCTGCCGCGCACGAGCAGTTTGTGGAGGAACAGATGTAATACTCACATTACTCAGTACAGTATGCCTTTAATTATCTTTCAATAATATATGATTTTTCTTGATACGGAAATTTGGTGAATGAGAAATCTAGAACTTTATTTTAGAAGGAATTTTCTCCAAAGTCATATGGAAACACTGAACACCATCTGTTTACATTTCGTATGTATAACAGCCGCAGTTTACGATTACCGTACGTTCCGTATCCGACAAAGCGGACAAGTGGAAGAGTCAGAAGTAACCCGGACATGTCTTACATTTTGTTATTGTCAGTTCGACACGCGTAGTCAATATACTCGCGTATATTGTTGACTAAAATAGTAGAACTATTTTAGCTTACTAAAGTACGGCGCACGGCACATTTTTTTACCTGCATAGTACGGCGCACCGCGCAGGTCGTTAAAATGACAAAGTAAATTCCTGCGCACCTGGCACATCTTCCTGACCATGGACTACCCATTGTACAGTTTGTACTGACTACTGAGAAATTAGGTACTTTAAGTGGGAACTGGGACCTGAAGCAGGATGAAAGTGAAGGCTTGGTATGGCCTTTTGCACTGCAAGTCACTCTGTCACTGATGTCAGATGTCAATGATTTTGTGAATATGATGTCCCCAAAAGATGTGATATCCTCATTCCTCAATACTCATTCCTTATCTTCCAGGATTCTTCCTTGATGAATTATTTATGTTTTTAGATTGCTTTTTTAAAATTATATAACTAGTACTAGCCTACCTTCAAACATAAGTCATAGTGGCTAAGCAGAGAGTTTTTTAGACTCTCCTTCAAGTTCAATTTCAAGTCCTATAAGTAGACCAGAAAAGTATTATGGATACCAGCATCATCATACATAAGATATTGGCTTAAATCTTGGGTAAATGAGAAAATTAAAAATTAACTGATTCTAAAACTAAAAAATTACTGGTTTGCCACTATGCCGTAAAAGAGGGTTACTTAGACTCGTGGGGTAACTTAAACCACTTTACGTTTTTTAACAAAAACCCCCAAAACTTAAAAACTATTTGATTATGTCAAATAATTTGACATAGAAAAATTTTGTCAATGGGCATTAAAGGCCTAATACTGAGGCTACATAACACAATCGAAAGATAAAAAATTATGCATAGGGTAAATACGGTATATTCAGACATCGTAGGTAATTCCATCACTTCTCTAGTTTTTCCTTTATATTAAGCTTTGTTTTAGTTCCATGCGTTCATTGATGGTTGAAATGGTGACGTCATACATTTGCGTGTCGAAATACTGCAAAACACTAGGTCTTGGCCATCTAGTGGGTCACACACAGTGACGGAATATAGGGATTTGGTAGGTTTCCATTCTAAAGGCTTTTTAATAAATATGGCAACATTTTGTGACGTTTCATTGTTGCTGATGTGTAGTGAAGTGTTTTGAGAGTCACGTGAAGGCAACAGAACTTACGTAATGCATACGTTTTTTTTATAGTTTTTCATTTCCCGATGCGTCCTTAATGTGTCGGAATATACCGCGTTTACCCTATCTAATAGATTAAAAAATGAAAAATGTGCCCCATGAAAAAGAGCTATTATTTAAAGCATGTTGTAGAACCCCCTCCAATTTTTTTTTATTTTTTGTAAAATAATTCCAAGTCTGCAGGTTTTGGTGCATTGTAGTAGAACTCTTCTAGTTACATATGCAAATGATAAATTTGAGGAAAGTGTCATAGTTTGCAAATGGGGGGTTTCACCCCCAAATGGGGTAACTTAGACCACCTAATGTCAGCCCTGACGGGGTAACATAGACCGGCTTGGAAATTAATTTAAAATCACTGTATATAATATATTTTAGGTTTGATACACCTATTAATGTTTTTTCATTATGTTTCAGACTCTACAGAGTCTTATATATGGTAATTTTAACTTAATTTCCAAGACGGTCAATATTACCCCATCACGGCTGACATTAGGTGGTCTAAGCTCCCCCATTCGGGGATGGCGCCCCCCCATTTGCAGACTATGACACTTTCCTCAAATTTGTCATGTGCATATGTAACTAGAAGAGTTCTACTACAATGCACCAAAACCTAGAGTTGTTTTACCAAAAAATATAATTGATTTTACCACCCAGTCTAAGATACCCCAAGAGCTGGGGTAACAAAGACCATCACTTTTTTTTAAATTACATCAAAACTATGGGAGGCAGGAGCCAGCAATTTATGATGAGTGAACCTAGAGTATAGACCTGTATTTTGCATGTCTCAATTTAAGTTTAATTTGGCTAGTAAAAAAATGACATCATTTAAAAAAATAGTCAAAGTTACCCCCTTTTACAGTAGTGTTAGTACTATTAGCCTAGTGTAAAATAAGTAGAAAATTAAGCAGAAATCACCTGTGAATCTGGCCAATTTTAACTTCTAATGGCCTTTTCCCAGTTTTTTCAGTAAAAAATTAGAAAATCTGTAAAAATTGAAGTTTCCAAATTTCTGTGTCCATGGTTCTGTTGGTTATTATTAAATGGTTATTATTAAAATAATTTATCAGTATTTTTGGTGCTTTAATTCTTTATTATTTTTGTGATTTTGTAATTATTCCTTTTTTGATTTTTGAGTGGTATCCTATTTACTTGATTTTGTATATATGTCAACCCAAATTCCATCACTCAATGCGCCTTTTAACTTGATAGTGAATGATAGAACCATTCAAAATATTGTTAAAGAAATAAAAATGTCCATCGGTACTCTGATGTTTGATTTACGAGTGCAAACAAAAAAATGTTGTTCAATCTATTGAAAACAACTTTGAATGTTGTTGCACAAACCATGTGTGGATCACAACACAACAATGCTACCAAAATGACTGACAGGCACTTTTGCTTCAGTGCACCAGAGGCAGTGTGGAATTGTGGATAGGGAATGTATTCTCACGTTCATATAAGAAAACGGATCAAAAAGCATACCACATTACACCTTCCACCACAGTGACAATTGATACATTGAGCTCATTAGAAACTGCTGCACTTTTGACATCGCGGGGTTTGAAATCTGATTCCGTGTCAATGACGCCTCCCTTGATTACATTCACTAGTTGTTTCTCTGTATCTGACAAATTTTTGAAATGAACATGTTCTGAAACAATGAAAAATTACATAAGCTTTTCCAGAAGATTCCTGTGATTTCACCAATACCAAAAAATTTTCTAAACCACACAAAATGATGGGATAAACTGCAAATCTTTCACAGCGTATGGGAACATCATGCTGCCATGTAAATATATTCCTACTAGATGAGTTGCCACCTATCTAATTGTTAGTAAAAGTGCACAACTGGGTTGCAAAATTCTAAATGTTTGAAATTTGTCACTTAGGAGTGGCAATATTTCATTCAAAGTAATGAAATCCTAATCCAGGTCACAAATTGAATTATATTCATTCAATAAGGCATCCCAGCCTCCAAGTATGATGTCAACATCCATTTAATTTATCAGTATTTTTAAAATTACAGATTATAGTTATATATATATATATTTTTTAAGCTGAAAATACAGCTATAAAAATAGAGGAAGATTGTTTGCACTCTCAAGTCTCAGAATTCTCATATGAAAACTAAAAGCTTTTGGGATGTTTATTATTTCAAATGGCAATTTTTTTAGTCTCGCCTCTGAACATACCTATGTTTTCTATAAGTCACATTGGAGATCAGTTGAATCATGAACATTATGAGTTAAATCAGTTAAATAATAAATCACCAACAAGAAGTTAAAATTGATTGCTTCAACTTTAAAGGTCATACTAAGTAAGTTTTAATATCTATATTAAGTAACAACACAAATTGTGTTACTAAGCTGAATAGTCAATAAATTTTAGCAACTAATGAACTCTGAAAATTTTATGTTTGCAATAATTTGCAGATTTTTTCAAGCTTTAATAAAACAAATGAAGGTTTTAATATATTAATTTGCTCCTTTAATTATCAAAAGTAATTGCAATTCAAAGTATCTCTTAGCCTTAACCCTTTACGCTCTGGCGTGACGAATTCGTCACACAGAAAAAAACATCGGTTTTCCAACAATTTCACGTTATCTGTCATTTTTTCAAAAAATTCACAGGAATAAAAAAGTCTTAGATTTATTTTTTACATATGTGTACCAAGTTTCAAAGTTATCTGTCGGTAAGTAACCGAAATAAAATTTCCAATTTCCAATGGCAATGTCCAATTTCTTATGGAAATTCTATTTCGGTTAATTACTGACAGATAACTTTGAAACTTGGTACACATATGTAAAAGATAAATCTAAGACTTTTTTGTTCGTGTGAATTTTTCCAAAAAAGTGAAAGAAAACGTGAAATTCTTAGAAAACTGACAAAAAGGGGGTACTGTAGAAATCTATCACTCCACCCCTAACCCTTTCACGAACTGTCGTCAAGGCATAAATCAACATACAGAGACGATTTTGGTACCGTTGGATAGGTCAGAATGTCAGCTTTGAAGTGAGACTTAAAACCGAAAAAGTGAATTTTACGATTTTCATCCCAGAAATTCAGGGCGTAAAGGGTTAATCGCCTTGCGCTCCTGGGGAAAATGCCTTTTGTTTTTAATAACCTCCTTAAAAATAATTGCCAATCTCACAGCCTTGTCTGTTGAGATATTCTTCAACTGAGATCTATTCTTGGAATGGGATAAATAATATTTTAGCTATTTTGATATAGAAAAGTTGAGTAGGTCATTTTGCAAACCATGCATAAACTTTTACCACAAAGTGAACTGCTTTGCATGTTGGCAGTGAACTGTGCTCTTATCAGACTCATGACACCAGTGTTCAACAAGCTACAGAGGTGGGAGCTATGCAAGCTTTCTGCTGCACGCATGCTTCTCTTTTCATATACCTAGCTTTTTTGCAATGGCAGGCAATGAACTTCCAGACAATAAGATAAAAAAAATTGGTACAAATAGACTTCAAGAAAGAAACTAATGATGAAGATACATATGCCCTAGCAATGTAGATGCACATGCACCAGCAATAAAGATGTACATGCACCAGCAATGAGTATGTACATGCACCAGTGATGAATATGCTCATGCACCAGCAATAAAGAAGCTCATGCAGCAGCCATGAATATTCATATGCACCAGCAATGAATATGCATATGCACCAGCAATGAATATGCATATGCAACAGCAAAGAATATGCATATGCACCAGCAATGAATATGCATATGCAACAGCAAAGAATATGCATGTGCACCTGCGATGAAGATGCACATGTTCTCCAGCACATGCACATGTGGACGACTTTAAAATCTTTCCTTTTGTAACATCACCACACTATCAAGCTATTGGAGTTGTTGTACACAGAATTAGCTGTGCTTGAAAGCAGAAATTTAGTTTTTTTATTCTCATAATTCAAGTTCAGAATTGTGTGTTTGGAGACTGCATTTGATAGGAAATGATCTATATTAATGTCTAGTAAAATAATTGTAGCATGTGTTAGATGGAAGATCTAAAATGTACTTAGAAAAAAAGTGTGCTAAAATTTTTGAATATGATGTTCTTTTTAGAGTTAAAATACCAATAGCTTAGCCTTGATTGTTCCCATTTTGGCACTTGAAAAATTAGATGTCATTCACAAGGGTCTTTTTGTACAATATACAGTTACGGTATAGGTTGAGCTATCACTATGCATTAAATTATTTTTGGAATGTATGGATTTTATCCTGCCATATTTCATTTGCATTATTATTTAAATTTTCCATCCTGTTTATCATTTTTAGATTTCATCATGAAGAAATCCAAATCATGTCAATCCAGAATAAATTTAGTATCCCTGTCATAATCCTCTGATGCTGTTGCTAATAGAACTTTCCCATGAAGTTTTCTCGGTAAACTTGCTGCTGAACCTTTTTCAAGAACTTCATCAATGGCAGCAAAGATAGGTAGTAAAATATTAAGAAAATGATGATTTTAATTCATTGTTGACTCAAATAATTGAGTAGTGAGTTTGAAAAAGGGCTTAGGAAACTAACCATCTGTGAAAATGATGGACTGGGAAGATACCGACCGGTATTCTTTTGAAGATTCCGAGAGATTTGAAGAAGACTCGCTATGCAGCTGGCTCAGTGAACCCGAGAGCCTGTGCAATAATTGGAGGGGGTGGAAGAAGCAGGTGTCTCAAGGGCAGTGGAATGCTGTGCCGTCAACCAGAAAAAGTAAGTAAAAAATAATAGAGGGGGTGGAAGAAGCAGGTGTCTCAGGGGCAGTCGTAAGTAAAAAGAATCAGAAAAAGTAAAAACCAGAAAAAGTTAGTAAAATTAATGTATGCATTTTTCTTCACATATCTCTTAATATAACAGTAAGAGTAGATTATGTTTTTAATAATGTGTTATTGTTTTCTAAAATAATAGTTTTTTAATAAATTAATATATATAAATAAAATTTTAATAGATACACTTTCATGTGATCAATGAAATTATTATGTTTTAAAGTTCATTCTATTTGCTTCTGAGCCTACAATGATATGAGCCTAATCCAAGCAGCTCACAGCTGCATTATTGCATCAAGTTTTTGAATAATAATTATATTTATTTCCCATTGTCCACAGACCTAAACAGTGGGGAGGTGTTATCACTTGCCGAGCTTGCAGCCCGCACCGTGGCTTACAACATCCCCTTTGAGGCAGTAGAGCAACGCATGCCTGTTATCCCTGAGCAAATTCAGCTCTGGATCGGATTTTGGAGCTTCCCTGACAGTGAAGATGATATTCGTCTCTACTCGTGCCTTGCTAACGGCAACGCAGACGAGTTCATTAAGGGAGAGAACCTTTACAAGAGAGAAAAGAGCGCCCAGGAGATAATACAAATAGGTGAGATTGTGGGACAACTTTAACTTTAAGAGCTATTTTCATAAACTGGAGTTTCTAGATTAGATATAATTTCTTGCTGTTGGGTGAATCATTAAATCTTTCCTAGAGCTTGTTTTATTAGGGTTAAACTGAATTTGTTACATTTTTTAATTCTGTAACAATATACAGATAATTTTTTTAGATTCCGGTATTCATTTTCTTTAAGCAACACTCATTCGAGTGATTCACAAACTTTTTCCTCTCAGAATAACTAACAGCATTTGATTTTTTCCTAGTGATAGTTACTGGTGTTAGTTATCAAGTATTTTAGTTGAATAGGAGAAAATGTTGGCAGCATCCTCTTTGCCCGCAGTGCTGATAAAACTAAAGTGATTTTTCACTCTTAAAAATCTATTTTCCAAAATTCTTTTGAAAAAGTGATGAAACAGATTGATGTCAGTGGATAAAACTTTAAAGAGCGAGCTCAGAATAATTCCAAGGCAAACAAAGCAAGAAAGGAATCGAGGCTGGAAAAATCTTTTCTTTATTGAAAAGTTGCAAGAAGGTGGAAATTGCTATCTTCACGAAATTGCTCTGTGCTGCCTAATTGGGGTAGCGGCTCTTCTTCAACTCGCGTAAAGAGGCAAAGGAGCCGCAAAACGCTCCCGCGTCTGAAGAATTAACGTTGGTTAGGCAAGACACAAAATTAGCTCTGAAGTTGAAAGAAATATGCTCGATGTGGTAAAAGGTCATTATTAAAGACTAAAGTTCGCAAATCGTAGCATAAAGGATGCCGAGCTGGTGCAAATTGTGAACACTCGTTTTGTGCGAGATGAAATCTTAATTACTTAAGGCAGATATTGCAAAGTAGCATATATAAATTTCTTGATATTGTCAAAGGATATCGAAGTATTGATCATTACGGGCTTTATTATTTACTCGGGCTTTAAGTGAATCACTGGCAAATGTCTGGTTCTTGGGGCTCTTCCGCACCTGCACAGCAGTAGGTTGCCGGAGGTAGGCCAAGTAATTGGCAAAAATTTACAAAAAATATAACTCAGTACTCACAGCAGTGAGTGACAGAGAGCGCATTTTCTCGTCGACAAAAACTTGAGGTCACGGACAGACGGACGGACAAACAGACAGACGGACATGGCTAGCACAGTAGTGCATTTTTTCCATAAATGAGAAAATGCGCTAAAAAGGGGTGAAGTGAAGCAGCACAAGCGATTTTAGTTTCATATCAAATGTTCACGTTAAAACTATGTCAGTCATAACAAAAAAAAGGCAAATAACCAGTATTACTGAAGCTATGACCCAAAAATTTTTACCTAAAAATTATTGAGAACTAAACTGTAGTTTTGTGTTTAGTCAGCGAAGACTGTGACAGAAACTACACCCTCATCCATCCTGGTTTGCAAGATTCATATAACAAAAGAAGAGGTTGCACCACTCAAAGATCAAGGTGAATGATCTTCATCTACACATTACTACTGAATGCGCGAATGCATGCCTTAAGAAAGTCCAGCTGTTAATCAACAGTCCAGAAGTTTTCGCCACTGAAGGAGCGTCACTATACGAAATATGGACTCCAAATGACAACTCCTCCGCAACGCTTCGAACGGTTCTGCTACAGTGAAACCTCGCTTCACAAAAGTCCTTTCTTACGTCCAAACCGCCTTACCAACTTCCCCCTTTTTGACCAAACCTCCTTACTAACGTCCTCCTTTTTGACCAAACCTCCTTACTAACGTCCTCCTTTTTGACCAAACCTCCTTACTAATGTCCTCCTTTTCCTCCAAACCTCCTTACTAACGCCAAACAGAATTAGCGAGTTTGGAACTACTCAAGACACCATGATACCAGACTGCGTTTACCAAGCATGGTTCCTTCATTGATTTAATGGTTGCTACACGTGACCACGAACTGAAACTTAGCGGCTTTCACATGAGGTGTCTGCGGTCCATACTGCTGATCAGGACAGGATCCCCAATAACTTGGTGTTAGAGGAAGCCAACATAGACAACTTGCATGTAGTTTTTCGTGAGAGTCGTCTTAGGTGGCTCGGTCATGTCCGCATCTCCAAAGACTTCCTCTACAGTCTGCTCGAATGTTGACGGATGATAAACTTCGCTCCAAAGAGGGACTTGAAGCAGTGATTCATTCATGCATGAAGTAATATTTCGTCAACCTTACTTCATCAGAGAGCCCAGCAGGCACCGCTTAGCTTGAAGGCTCGCTATTAGTCCGTGTCGGCGCGCGTGGAGGCTTAGCACAGCAATTATGCAGCCCATAAAACGTTCCGGAGGAAACAACTGCAGCAGCCATACGCCTCACAACGACAGAAATAATTGATATACTCTGCCCTCGTTTGATCTACTCTACCCTCGTTTGATCTACTCTACCCTCGTTTGATCTACTCTACACTCGTTTGATCTACTCTACCCTCGTTTGATCTATTGATATACTCTGCCCTCGTTTGATCTACTCTACCCTCGTTTGATCTACTCTACCCTCGTTTGATCTACTCTACACTCGTTTGATCTACTCTACCCCTAATCCACCCTACCCCTAATCCACCCTACCCCTAATCCACCCTACCCCTAATCCACCCTACCTCTAATCCACCCTACCCCTAATCCACTCTACCCCTAATCTACCGTACCCCTAACCTACCCTACCCTCGTCTCTGTTGTCAATACCGGCCCTGGTGTGGGCAGGCACTGCCATTTGGAGTCTGACTGCAGAGCTCTTCATGGCGGTGCACTGAGTCACCCAAAATATGAAAAACTAAAAATATACCTAAACCATCATGGTCCACGACGATCGGATGCTGGCGTAGTATTTTGTTTTCAGAATGCAATTCAATCGTTAAGGTTTTTCATTATTTATAATTTTATCTATATTATTATTTCTATTTTTATATTATAGAATTAGCTGTGTTCTGTGTTACGGTAGTTCGTTGTGCCTTCTCCTAAATTTATATTTATTCACATATTATTTGTTGTCAGGATTCCACCTATCAGCACTAGTGGTGGTGGCGTCAGGCATGAAGGGCAAGTTTAAAGTGGCAGTCACGTTTGACCGCGGCCGCATCATTGCGTGTAACTGCACGTGTGGCTCTACTGCCTCGTGGTGTGCTCATGTGGTTGCCGTCTGTCTTCATCGCATTCACCAGGTGAAGTTTATTTCTATGTTTTAGGTTTAGGATAAATTAACCTGAAAATGACTGAGTTTTCAAAAGTAAGCAAAATTATATTAAAATTATTATTTATTTAATTATTATCTATTATTTAATTATTTATCCTTATAATTATTATTTATTTAGTATTGTAATTATTTAATTATTTTTATTATAAATGATAGTTATTTATTATTGTAATTATTATTTGTTATTTATTATTTATATTATTAAAATCTTGTTATATTCTTGTGCATTTCATTTCATACTATTCTTTGCTTGAATATTTTCCTATAAGTCCAATGCATATGTTTTGCATATGAAAAAATTTGCTATAGTTACATATGCATTTGAATGTGTTTATTATCATAAAAACCTCAGTAAATATTCATAAAGGAACAATGTGGCGATGAAGTTCCTACATTACATCTACTCAGATAGAGATCATGCTGCTTAAGTTGCTTTGGCAATCATAAACATTTATTTTTAGGTAAAATTTTCTATTTACGCGGCGATTGATTCAAAATTAATTGATTATTGCTGCAAATATCTAATCTGGTAGGTGTTGCTAGTCATTTGAAATTATCAACTTATAATCATCACCAATTACATTCCTAATGGCATTTTTGTTTTCAGCCGCACAATGTGTCATAGTCATTTACAATCGTCATCATCTTCTAAATTCTAATCATCATAGGTTTAATCAATTACGAATAATTTAGTTGTCATCAGCCGCGCGACGTGTCATAGGCATTCAAAATCGGCATAGGCATTTAAAATTGTCATTTAAAATCGTCATAAAGTTAATCATAACAACTTTAATTACAAATAATTTTGTTGTCATCAGCCGCGCGACGTGTCATAGGCATTTGAAATTGTCATTTAAAATCGTCATCAACATAATCACAAGAAGTTTATTTACGAATAATTTTGTCATCAGCCACGCGACGTATGCCTGCGCGCCCCCGTGAGCGAGAGCTTGTCTCGCCTGCAGCGTGATTTTATTGTTGTCAGCCACGTGATATATCATTGTCATTTAAATGGTCATCAAGATAATCATAAGAAGTTTAATTACAAATAATTTTGTTGTCATCAGCCGCGCGACGTATGCCTGCGCGCGCCAGTGAGCGAGAGCTTGTCTCGCCTGCAGCGTGATCAGCTGCAGAAGTTTGCTCAATATCTCATCAGTGAACTGCCTCAGCAGATACTGCCTACTGCACAGAGACTTATTGATGAAATACTGTCTTCTACACCCTCTGACATCAACACGGTCAGTAACTGTTGATTACTCGGTGGGGAGTTACTTACTTGGTAACTAAATTACTTATCTTCTACACCCTCGGACATCAACACGGTCAGTAACTGTTGATTACTCGGTGGGGAGTTACTTACTTGGTAACTAAATTACTTATCTTCTACACCCTCGGACATCAACACGGTCAGTAACTGTTGATTACTCGGTGGGGAGTTACTTACTTGGTAACTAAATTACTTATCTTCTACACCCTCGGACATCAACACGGTCAGTAACTATTGATTAGTCAGTGAGGAGTAACTTACTTGGTAACTATTACTTACTTACTCAGTCCGAAACTATTACTTACTAGGTGGATAGCAGCTATTACCTACTTAGTAGGTATTACTTATACGGTCAGTAACTACTGCTTACTTACATGGTGAGTAACTATTACTTACACAGTGAGTACCTAACTATTACTTACATGGTGAGTAACTATTACTTACTTACACAGTGAGTACCTAACTATTACTTACATGGTGAGTAACTATTACTTACTAAATTACATCAAAACTATGAGAGGCAGGAGCCAGCAATTTATGGTGAGTAAAGCTAGAGTATAGACCTGTATTTTGCATGTTTAAATTTAAGTTTAACTTATCTATTAAAAAAATGGCATCATTTTGAAAGAAAAAAGTGGTCAAAGTTACCCCATTTTACGGTACTTACTTACACAGTGAGTACCTAACTATTACTTACATGGTGAGTAACTATTACTTACTTACATGATGAGTAAGTATTACTTACTTATATGGTGAGTATTGAGTAAGTATTACTTACATGGTGAGTAACTATTACTTACTTACATGGTGATTAATTATTACTTAATTATAGAATATTATTTTAGGCACACTTAATATTTTTCACATACCATTTTTGCCTTTAGATGATTATTGAAAATCTATTGTGCTCTAATAATATGAGATCCACTGCAATCAAGCGGACCATCAAGACTTCCAAATGTAAATGCTGCCATTGTTTCCAAAGTCTTGTACAGCTTTTTTGCGTTCTTAAGAGTAGGTATTTTAGCAATTAATTTGTTTATTTTCCATTGACTTGGTTCATAGTAACACCTTATTAATCAGTTAAATTGAAGTTAAAAATCAGATTAATCAGTTAAAATGAAGTTAAAAATCAGTTGAAATTTAGCTTATATAGGTACCGTACCTGATGTACCCCCTTCTATTGACACTTGAGGAAGCTACAGTTGGATTTTACAATGAAAACTGCACTGTAAAATGTTAAAAATTAATTTTAATTGTCATTGCAATTAAAAATTTTGCTTTACAGGTATGCGGAGCTCCTGACCCGACGGCTGGGGCCAGCGCAGCTGACAAGAGCGCCTGGTGGCTGGATGAAGGCAACCTGCGGGACAACATCCAGAAGATTGTCGTAAAGTTCTGTGTGCCTTCTCCTATGGTGTACAGGTCAGAGTTGTCAGGTTCTGTGTGCCTTCTCCTATGGTGTACAGGTCAGAGTTGTCAGGTTCTGTTTGCCTTCTCCTATGGTGTACAGGTCAGAGTTGACTGCAGTGAGTCGATATCTCTGATATTATGCAGAATTTTGGTCATATTTTATTATTTTCATATGGCTCACAAGTCGGAATCGACTGCAGTGAGCATCTTACCGAATTTTAATATTACACAATTATGTTACCGAGTTCTTTGGCATTCAGTTAGATCTACTCTAATGTTGAATAGCTATATTTTTTAAATTAACGAACTTTTTTCCCTTGCTGAAAATTTATAGGCCTATATTTACTCTTTTAATGTATTTATTTTAAATTATTTTGAGCTATTAAAAGAATTTTTTTAGTTTACTCATAACAGTCGTCCACTAAGTGTTGATATTTTTTATATATGAATAATATGCGTTTAAAAATTACTTTTAAAAGACAACACTTCTAAAGAATCCAGTGTCTCCTATGTTACACATCTACAATAAATTTCTAATTTTACTATCATATATTACAAAAATTAATTTTACATATAATTTATATTATTAAAAAAATTTCAAATTATTTATTCTGTCAATTGATTCATGCATTGTCTCCGACTTCACGCAGGTGTGCAAAATTTCGGATCAAATGGTCAGGTAGAACAGTGTTAAACATCAATTATAAGATATGTAGCAGACTAACGAACAAACAACAAGAAGTGAAGTTAAAGAGAAGTGTTGTAAAAAGAGTTATGAAGAATTAGGAAACATAAAACCTTTATAATTTACACTTAATTAAAAAAAATAACTTCATTACTTCACTGCAGCGATGTAAACTACATGAAAAAGAGTTTTGAAGAATTGGGGAACATTTAACTTTTATAATTTGCACTTAATTCCAAATAAATCCATTACTTCACTGCAGTGATGTGAACTACATGAAAAAAGTTTTGAAGAATTGGGGGATATTTAAGTTTTATAATTTGCATTTAATTCCATAAAATGACTTCATTACTTCACGGCAGTGACGTGAACTACCTGAGCTCGACCGCGCCGCCAGTGGCAGCAGAATGGCAGTCTCTGCTGCGTCCTCTACGTGGTCGGGAGCCTGAAGGCATGTGGAACTTGCTGAGCATCGTGCGGGAGATGTTCAAACGTCACGACCATAACGCTGTACCTCTACTTACCATCATCACTGAGGAGTGCATCAAGACTGAGAAGGTTATCCTTAGTATCCTTTTTTTCATGGGAAGGTTATCCTTAGTATCCCTTCTTCTTGTGAAGGCTATCCTTAGTATGTGTTTCGGACGTAGCAGTCCCAGGCCACGCTAGAGCCACGCTTAGACGCTCGTTTGCATGAATTTGGAAGACAAGGTTATTCTAGGTCATGAGATTGTCTAGCAGTTCACTCTGAAACGTAATAATTCTAGNCTGTCTCTTATACACATCTAGATGTGTATAAGAGACAGATTCTAGGTCATGAGATTGTCTAGCAGTTCACTCTGACACGTTATTCTAGGTCATGAGATTGTCCTTAGCAGTTCACTCTGACACATTATTCTAGGTCATGAAATTGTGTTTAGCAGCTCACACTGAAACGGGTAGAATCAGCATGATATTTATTGATATTAGTATTTGTGCACAGCTCAGTTTTTTTATATCTACTGTATTTAGTTATCAATTGACGATTTGAAGGTGCTTTCGTGACAGAATGAGTGAAGAGTGGCTGGTCAAAGTGCAATTAATTTTTTTTTTCCATTCATAAGATAGTTCTGAGTAGTTAAAATATCAGACTTGTTCTTTGTGGCATGTTTTATGAATTTGTAATGATTTGTACGTGCTTTTGGGTGTGATGTGACACGAGATTGGTTCAATTAGAATGGATTTAAATTTCTTTTCAAGTTAATTGGTTCTTTTTTATTGGCATAATATGACAATTGCTTAGTTTTCTAAAATTGTAATGATTCACAGGTGCTTGTCTGGTGGTATAACACAAGATTCGTTCATTGAATTTAAATTTATTTTCTAGTTAATTGGTTCTTTTGTATAGGCATAATATGAGAATTGTTTATCAATGTCAGTTTTCTAGATTTGTAATGATTCGCAGGTGCTTACTTGGTGGTATAACACGATATTGGTTCATTAAAGTTGGACTTAGATTTTCAAGTTAATTTGTTCTTTTGTATTGGCATAATATTAGAATTGCTTAGTTTTCTAAATTTGTAATGCTTGACAGGTGCTTGTGTGGTGGTATAACACGCGAGTAGCGCTGCACACCGGCATCGCTGGACATGGCGGCAAGAACAGCATGAGCAGCAGCAGCCACAGCAGTCAGTACGCCTGCAGCTCTTTGTGTGACGAGGTCGTCGTGCTGTGGCGTCTGGCTGCTCTCAACCCCGCACTCTCACCCGGCGAGCGACTTCTGCTCATGGAGAAGCTCAAGGAGTGGCACCTTAAGGTCCTCGATAAGGTCGATAAGAGCAAAGGTGAGCAATTGGCGCTAAGGTCCTCGATAAAGTCGATAAAGCAAAGGTGAAAGCATCTTTAGGTCCTCGATAAAGTTGAAAAGAGCAAAGTTGAGGAACAGGCGCTAAAAATTAATGAGCTTTACTCGGTATTGAGGAAAGTTGGAAGTAAGAACATAGTCCTGAATTAGGTTGGGGAAATTTAAGAAGAAACTGTCAACAGTTATGCATGACGATTGACGCGGGATGCATGTGAAGTTTCAGCATAGTTATTTTTCTGTAATTGATATTTAATTCTTTGTTTCTGGATATTGTAGCTCCAAATATTTTCCAGAGTCCATCGGCAACAATGGCAACAGCAATTACAATGGAAACAACGGTGGGACGACACGTCGCGATATTGACATGTTCCCTGGCTTCCGTTCGGCCATCAAAGCTTGCCTCTTGGACTGGAGTGACTATCCTTTGCTTGGGATTACTTATTCCCCTTCCCGGTATTATTCCCCTGTCTTGGGATGTGATAATAAATCTAGTTTCGCGTCATTCCCTAAAGGAGGGGATGCCATCAGGCCCGGGACTTCTTACCGTGGGGATAAATCCCGATGCCGGACACACCGTAGTGTTGGGGCCCGAGGGGTGAACCCCTCAAGGGGAGCCACTTGGGGGTCTGGAGCCCGGGATGGGGCTGGGGGTCTCCAGCAATCTGCTTCTAGCAGCAGCATGAGCAGCGAGGGGTTCTGTGATAACGAACCCACAAGAGACGGTGACTCACCACAACCTGAACCTATTCCTCGATCCCATAACCGCGGTGAACGAAGACTGGGAGCACCTAGAGGCCGAGCTGGGACTTCAACTGGAGGAGATCGTCGTGGGGCATTTGGGGGACGTACCGTTGGAGTTTCATACCATGGGAACTCTGATGCTAGCGTTGCCCAGTGGGTAAACTCCCACCAACGCAGACCAGTACACCAGCAACCCCAGAACGGCGGTGGCGTTAGGAACAACGCTCCCCAACAACAGCCCCAAGCCCATGATGATCCCGGCGCTAACCCTCCCCTTGCCGCGGCCGGTGCTGGTAACTCTGGAGGAGCAGCAGGCGAAAACAACATCGTTGATGTTTTCTGTAATTTACGAAAACTTGACGATCCTTCGGAAATTCTGCTGGCCAGGGCAGAAGGTTTGCATGCCCATGGACACCTTCAGGAGGCTAGTGCCGTGGCCGTGAGACTCGCTGAGGAACTCCTGGCATCGCCTCCCAACCTGCTGCTGGACCCACTTCCTACGTCTGTTGTTAGGAACAAGAGGAAGAAGGTGGGTCATAGAAATGTTTATTTCTATAATGCAATGTTGTATCAATTATTTCAGTTTGATAAGTTTCCTGATAGAATTGATAGGATTAAATGGAATGTTTAACTTCGGTACGTGGAGTAGTTGATGTTTTTTAGTTGCATCTCGACAAGGAACGTGTGTCTATTTCCCGCTATTTAAATTTGACTTATTGTTTTTAAGAATTTTGTGACATGTTTATACTCTCAATTCTTAGTTTTTAATCCTGAGGGTTAAGTACGTTTTAGTTTAGTACCGTTTCCCAATGGACCGTCGCAACTCCCTTTACATTTTCAAGATAAAATTTCGTCCTTAATTCTTTTTTGTATCTTACAGGAGCTGGTCATTGCAGAAACGTGCATAACATTACCGAAAGTGGTAATTTCGGTAATGACTCAAAATTTCACTTTTACTCAGATTCATCCGGCGTCTCATCAATCGACGATATTAGCGTCGGCAACGCTCGGCAAATGTGCATTCCTATGCAGTGTGCTGGCCGATCTACCGCAGCACACGCATCTTGCGTTCAAACTCGCACTCTTTGGGCTGGAGATGCCACGTCATCCTGCTAGTACTAAAGTGAGTACACTTCTTGTATTACCTGTTACTTTAATAACACATCTTGCTTTAGAGACTTGTGCATTAAAAAAATTGTCAGTTTGTGTGAACGTTGTCTAACGCAACAAAATACTCAAAGTCTTTACATTTGTTTAGAACAGACTTCAACGAATCTAACAATCTGCTTTGAGTTTTGAAAGAGCAATTGAAATGTATCTCGCATCAGCTCAGACAATAGAAAAATTAAGATTATAGTAGTTTTGCCGTGGTGCATGATCTATTTGTCACTCTATTTGAACATACCTTCATTATAGCTCATTCGAAATTGTTACTTAATTTGATACTTCGGACTAAATTCTAATACGGCTTTCTGGAACGGTTATTAAAATTACATTTTATGACTATTATCTACTTGGAACAGGCGATGGTGATGAGCTCGAATTTATTATCTTGGGTATTTTTAGGAGAAAATTGAATAAAAGAGAAGTGCATCGAAATTTGTTTTTCATGACTTACTTTAAAATTAAAATTTGTACTGATGTGATTAGCGTGGATAAGTGATTCTTTTGCTACAGGAGCAATAACAAGCCATATAGTAGTTACAGAGTAAAGTGAGCATATACATAAAATTCTGCTCATAACTTGGGTTGTACATTAGATTGAACTAAAGTGTTCACCCTAAGCACGTAATTTTTAATGTCTTTTACACCATCTGAAAGTTTCTCCACACATTTGGTATGTATCTTTAATGCAGGTTTCATTGAAGACTAGAGAGTATTTCATAGTGACAATTTTCTTATTTTTTTCTCTCTATTCAGCGAATTTGGCTTTTGATAGGACTTGAAAACTCAAATATCAGGTTTCCAACATTTGGTAACTAAAATAATAATTTATAATTGCAGCCGCTAGTATTGAACCACGTGTTCGCCCAGAGTACGTAATTTTTAATGTGTTTTTTGTGTTTTTTTACACTATGTAAAAGTTTTGTCTACACCTTTAATATCTAAAACAATTATTTCTATTTACAGCGACTGGAGGTGAAGTTGGTACCCTAAAAACGGAATTTTTACACTACTGTGTCTCTTACACTATCTAAAAATTTTTATCTACACATTCAATATCTAAAATAATAGTTTGCATTTGCAGCCACTGGAGGTAAAGCTGGCACATCAGGAGCTGGAGTTGGTGCACCAGCTGAAGCGCATGGCGCTGGGAGGTCGCGAGCTGAACGTCATCAGGGAGAAAGCTGAGGAACTGCGCTATGGCTCTTTGCGGTCCCGCGGACACGCTCTACTTCCCCTAATGCTGGCCACCTTCGTCTTTGATGCTCTTGTTAATCCCAACGGTGAGATTAGTAATTTAAAAAGTAAAGAAAACGCCAGGAAAATTCGTCTTTGATGCTCTCGTTAATCCTAACGGTGAGATAAGTCATTTAAAAAACAAAGAAAACGCCAGGAAAATTCACCATATCGATATTGATTCAACGTTCAAACTATAAAGCAGCGATATAAGCAGACTGATGATATAACTACTTAACGGTGAGATATTGTACAATTCTGCTGATTTGTACTTGATAGGTTGACTCTTATGTTCACTGTTATTGTATTGAACCCGTCTTAATGATGAGAAATAATGCAATTTAGCCGTTTTCTACTAAATACCTATATATTACTATAGGTTCAATGCCCCTGTTTTGAAACCGTCTTAATGCTGATAAAAAAATGCAATTATGCCGTTTTTTACTTATTATTCTGGCCTCGTGTTCATTGGATTTGTTTTCAGCCCGTCCGTGTACGGATAAGTTAACATCACTAGACGAAGAGATGAATTCATAGTTGAAAAATTTGTGCTCTCGGTGCGAAATAATGCATTTCTATTATTTCAATTTCAATGGTTTTGAGTTGCCGTTCTTAATTGAGTAATTCTAATTCTTTATTATTTGCATTTTAGGAAAAATTTTTGTACTCCTAATTTTTAACCTTAGTGGAGGAAACATAATGTTTTTTGTTTCTTTGTCTGTAAATTTTAAATTTATATTTGACAAGAAGATAAATATCGTTACATAATTATAATTATTTTAAAGCCATAATTTTATCTAAGTCATCGTCAATACTAATGACGAAACACTTTTGACGCATCAAACAAGCTTTTGTTTATGTTATCAAGAGTATTACCACCAATACTGACTACTACCTCCATTACTGCTTTTGCTACCACCAATAGTGACTACTCGGCCATCAAATGAACCACCCTTGATACCGCCAGTAAAAGCATTGCCACCATGCACCCAAACTTGCGAGCTAATACACCCCTCGCGTGTAGGAGTGTCTCGCTGCAGCGAAGGGCCGTGGGGCGTGGACGCCGTGTCACGCGCCAGCGACGAAACTGCAGGTTTTGAGGCCGCCGTCGCCGCCCTCGCCATGAAGGCTAACGTCAGCGAGGCTGAACATCCACTTCTGTGTGAAGGAACCCGAAAACAGGTGAGATTTTTATTGTAATTGAGCTTTTACCCTCCACCGCCTGACATGAGTAACCGGAGCAGTATTGTCACAAGCCTACTTCCCAAAAAGGATACGTTCTAGTGAGCGCAAAATGACTTGCACTGATGGTTGCCGCCACGTACGACAACTTTAAAATGTTCTCTGTTGCGTACAAACGTCCTCAGGATGCTACACTCAATAGTTTACGTATAATTTGAGCATAAAGTTAGGTTCCTGGAGAGTGACATACGACATACTGCGGTAGAGGGTTAAATTGAAGAAATATTCTCTTATAGGCCGCAGATAACTCCCGTTCAAAGTGACAGTAACAGTAACTGAATAAATATAAAACCTTTCACTGCGCTGATGTATTTACTTATGCAAAGCTTCTCTTCGATCATCTAATAAATGTAGCAATTACTTCTCTTATAGACCCCAGATAACTCCTGTTCAAAGTGACAGTAACATTCATCAACCAATTTAAATGTAAAGCCTTTCATTGCGCTGTTGGATTTAATTATGGAAAGCTTGCCTTCAGTCATCTTATAATTTGCCATACTTAGAGAAGTAATTATTGATATTTTTAAGGCTCGAAGAAGGGAAGTAATGATTGATAGTCTTGAGGCTCGAAGATTTTCAAGTTTAATTATCGTGGTTACAGCGTGGTGAGTTGGCCCTGACGCTGTTAACGCACTACAAGGACGACCAGGCTCGTCTGAACGTAATCATGGACAAGTTCTTGGACAAGGAAGTTCATCAGATGTACAAGAGTCCTTCCATGCCGCCCGCTTTCTATGCGCCTCTACAGCAAATGACGACTGCCCCCCTTGCGGTACCTGCTGTGAGTTATCATTTTTTTTTTAAATTCTAATTGCGAGTATGTAAATTTAATTTTTTATGGTTGTATTATATTCTATTGTTTCTATGCGCCTTTCCTACAAATGACGACTGCCAACCTCGCAGCAGCTGCTGTAAGCTCTTTTTTTTTTTTTTTTTTTTTTGAACTGCAAATTGCGAGAATGTACATTTTATTTCTATCATTGATGCTACTATGTCTTCCTGATTAACGTGCCATTTTTTTAATGCAAATTGCGAGTGTGTAAATTTGATTTCTTTCTATGGTTGTACCTTATTCTATTGAAATTTTTACTTTTATATCATCAAAGCTACTGAATCTTTTTTATGAATCGGCCAATTTTCACTTGGCTAAATTCGTAAGGATAGCATTTCTCTATGATAGAGATGAATTCTCTTCTCTTCAGAATTGTCTATTAAAATTATATTCTTTCACGTGTAACAGAAATATTAGATTATTTTTATTCACGCTGAGCAGACCAACAGCCTTGATACGGACATGTCAAAAGCGGGGTCAACATCTGGCACCCCGCCTTCTGTCAACGGGCGTTTATGTTTACCCCCATCTACTCTCCCCTCTTCATCCCCATCATCTCCCCTCCCTTCAACGCCTTCCTCAACTGCCCCTCTGGATCACGGCTTGGGGTGCCTGAGCCTCAACACTGAGGGAGGCGTGAGGACAAAAGAAGACTCCGGTGGCGGTAAAAGTTCTTCTAATGGAGACGACAGCGGTGCAGCAGCAGCGGTGGCTGGAGGCTCGAATGCTGCTGTTGAAGGCTGGGAAGAACAATACAAGGCCTGGGCTCAGAAGAACGGCAAACATGGCAAGAAGAAAGGTTTGTGCTGCAGTAAATGCCTCTCATTATTTGGTATCAATATATTTAATATCAGTTAATATATTTAATATCAGTTCAGGTTTGGAACAATTCCGATCAAGGGTTGTTGACTGTTGATTGCATTCCTTCAATCAAGGGTTATTGACTATTGCATTCCATTTTATTCCTTACTATTGACTTGAGGCTTCAGATTATGATGAAAATTTCAAGTGTGGAATTTTTATTACATATCGTCTAATTCCGCTGATATCATAATACTAAATCCCATCAATTTATCGTCACAGGTTGCGTGATCCTGTTTGTTTCCAGTTAGTTAGATAATTTTAATATATGTACTGATGTCAGAAGGGAGAATCATATGTTTGGTCGGCAATATTAACCCTCAACCGCCTGACATGAGTAACAGGAGCAATATTGTCATGCGCCTACTTCCCAAAAAGGATACGTTCTAGTGAGCGCAAAATGACTTGCACGATGGTTGTCGCCACGTACGACAACTTTAAAATGTTCTCTGTTGCGTACAAACGTCCTCAGGTTGATGCACTCTATAGTTTACGTATAATTTAAGTTGAAAGTTATGTTCCCGGAGAGTGACATACGGCGGTAGAGTACACTCAATAGTTTACATATAATTTAAGTTGAAAGTTATGTTCCTGGAGAGTGACACACGGCGGTAGAGGGTTAAAATGTTCTCTGTTGCTTACAAACGTCCTCAGGTTGCTACACTCAATAGTTTACGTATAATTTAAGCTGAAAGTCATGTTCCCGGAGAGTGACATACGGCGGTAGAGGGTTAAGGTGCCACTATCCGGGGGGTAAATTAGATGAATGTCCCTGGTATATATATTTCATATATATGTGTTTATACTGAAGAGACTGACAAGTATGTTGCTTTGCAAGGTTGTGGCATCCACGCAGCGTCAGACTCAGGATCGTCTGGCAATTCTTCAGACAGCGTCGCCTCGTGCAGCAGCACCGACAAGGCTGTGCCTGAGGTGAGACACTTCTAAATTCTCAGAATAAAACCACACGCTATTTATTATGTCACCTGTATTCATCTATTTGACCTTCTCGACAATGAAATATTACTTTCGTTTGCTATTTATTATGACATTTGTATTAATTCCTTTTAACTTCGTGATCTCTCAACAATGAAACATTACTTTCATTCGCTATTTATTATGTCATTTGTATTCATTTATTGCATCTTCGCGATCTCTCAACAATGAAACATTACTTTCATTTACTATTTATAATGTCACTTGTATTCATTTATTGATTCATCTCTCAACAATGAAACATTATTTAGTTCGCTATTTATTATGTCATTTGTATTCATTTATTTGACCTTCTCGACAATGAAACATTACTTTTGTTCGTTATTTACTATGTCATTTGTATCAATTCCTTTTACCTTCATGATCTCTCAAGAATGAAACATTACTTTCGTTTGCTACTTATTATGACATTTGTATTAATTCCTCTAACCTTTGTGATCTCTCAACAAAGAAACATTACTTTTGTTCAAAAACGAATTGTTCTTTCTGGTTTGAAGCCATGAATGTTTGTTTTAACTACCTAGTACTTCATATTATTGACGTTAACTCCTGAACAATTTAATTGCAGAACAAGACTCTGGACCCAAGCCAGCTGAGCTCCCAAGTTGTTCGTCCGCAATTGCCTCCTACTCCCGACCCCTTGACTTCCGTACGACATCCTCCGCCGAATTCTTACGGCAAAGGCGTTCGCTACAAAGGCAAGCGAGCTTACCCAACTCTACCCAACCAACCATCAGAAGCTAATGCATACTTCATGTTTGAAATGGCCAAGACTGTGCTCAGTAAGGCTGGTGGAAACAGCAGCAGTTCTCTCTTCAAGCAACCAAGCAATAGTCAGAACCACAGAGGCCCTCATCGCGCTTTACAAATGTGTGCATTCCAAATAGGTTTATATGCTCTAGGTTTGCACAACTGCGTATCACACAATTGGCTCTCAAGAACCTATTCGTCTCACGTGTCGTGGATTTCGAATCAGGCTATTGAAATTGGTGCCTCTGCTTTATCCTTCTTGATCAACACTTGGGAGGGCCATTTAACCCCCCAAGAAGCAGCTAGCATCGCAGACAAAGCTTCTCGGGGATGTGACTCAAACACTATCCGTGAAGCTGCTCGCCTAGCTTTGTCATGTCTTCCTCACTCACACGCACTCAACCCTAACGAGATCCAGCGCGCTATAATTCAATGCAAAGAACAGAGCCCTGCAATGCTGGAACACGCTTGCTCCGCCATCGAGAGTGCCGCTAAAGGCGGTGGAAGTGGAGGTGTCTATCCTGAAGTTCTGTTTGAAGTGGCCAGATGCTGGTTCCAGCTGTACGAGTCTAGGGCAAGGCTGCTTCCTCGTAACACAATCATCGTGGCTGGGGGACCCATGGAAATGGCTCTGGATTCTACTCAGCAATCAGGATATCCACCTAACCTTGACCTTACCATCGCATCAAACCAACCTCTTCATACCGTGAGTTAATAAATATATGTACTTCATTAGTAATTATTTTATCTTCTTTCTGCTAGATTCAGCTAAGTACTTTTGATTTTTTGTATTTATTTTTGCAAAGATTAGAAATATGTCATATGGGCTAAAGCTTCACATGAAATATAATGGCTCTTATTTACAGGTTCCGCAGATTGGAGGCGTGCTGCCTTCGCCGAATAGTCTTTTGGGCAACAACAACATAACTATGGCAAGCAGCAACATGGCTGCCAAGCCTCATCACCCAGTACCACAGATGCAACCACATCAACAGATGCAGCAACCTCAGCAGATGCAACAACCCCAACAGATGCAGCAACCACAACAGATGCAGCAACCTCAGCAGATGCAGCAATCTCAACAGATGCAACCACAACAGCAGATGCAACAACAACAGCAAATGCAACCACCACAACAGATGCAGCAACCACAGCAAATGCAACCACAACAGATGCAGCAACCACAACAGATGCAGCCACCTCAGCAGCTACCACAGCAGATGCAACAGCACATGCCGCAGCCACATCAGCTGCAACAGGCACAGCAGTTGCAGCCGCAACAACAGTTGCAACAAGCCCAGCAGTTGCAACAGGCCCAGCAGTTGCAACAGGCACAACAGTTGCAACAAGCACAACACTCCTGTGCGTACAGACCCACAACGTACAGCAACAACAATCCCTTTAGTGCTGCAACTGTTGCAACGCCGTACGCTTTCCGGTGCAGCTTCGTGCCCACGGTTGCCACGCACAATATCATGCACGGACACATGCCCTTCCCGGTAGGTTATTGCTTACTTTTGTGATGGCATAATCTTACCTACTTGTCATATCTGTCTTGTCTTACATAAATTTACCTTATCATATCTGTCTTGTCTCACATAAATTTATGTTGTCTTGGCACGATGATTGTTTGAAGTTGAATTAGTTTAAGTATTTGTATTTCTGTTCCTGTGCATAGTATTGGATGAGAAATTTTTCTGCTCAATTTGCTCGATTTTCCTGTAAATTCTTTGCAAAGAATATATTGAACGAAGCACATGATAATTTGTGCTACCTAACAAATCAACTGAGGTATTTGTATCAGTTGTGGAAAAATTACAACCTAGCATTCAGAGCATAAAAGCGAGTTAGTATCTGACGCTTGAATGTCTCTTCAGATGTACGTGCAGCCAAGCCCCGGCCCCGGCAGCGCCAATCCCGCGGTGGGCAGCGTAGTGGCCAGCGGCGCCCCTCCTCTGCACTACTGCTCTCCTCCACACACTGCGGCTCTGCACCTCCTGCAGCAGGTACGATGCTCCTCTGCTCCTCCTGCAGCAGGTACGATGCTCCTCTGCACCTCCTGCAGCAGGTACGATGCTCCTCTGCACCTCCTGCAGCAGGTACGATGCTCCTCTGCTCCTCCTGCACCTTCAGCTGCATGTACACAACACGTATCCCAAGAGTGATCCTCGAAATTATTAGTTATAGATTATTTTTTTAGAAATTATTTGTTGTAGAATACAAACCTTGTTCCAATTCTTCCATGCGCTGATTTCTTCTTTATTATGACATCAACGTGCATTGTTTTACTCTAACATTTCCGCTTTGTCGATGTCTTGCAAGATTTTCTCCGACACTTATGATAATTTTCCATCTTTTCAGCCATTTTTCTCTGACACTTATGATAATTTTCCATGTTTTCAGCCAAGCGGAGGCGGTCCAGCACAAAACAGCGTGGCTGGCATGCCTTCAAACATGGCCCCAATGATGCAGCCTCCCCTAAACCCCCATCAGGGGGCTGGTCTCTACTCTGTGCCCGCGGGCTTCCAAGCGGGGGCTCAAAGCACTCCCCCACCTCCGTACATGGGGGGTGCCCCTAACCCACAGGGAATGCAGCCCCCGCTCCTCGCCCGTCCCTTTTACCACCAGCCTGCCTTGCCACCGCCAGCGTCTATGCAACACGCCGCCCCTCAGGGACAGCAAATTCAACAGCAGCAACAACAGGTAACATGAATTACATGAATATTTTCTTAGGTTTTTAATGGCTCTTCCAATTTTGACGGCTCTATGTTTTTTGACGGTTCTTCGATTTCTTACTGCTATTTGTTTTTTAACGGCTCTATGATTTTTTACTGCTCTTCAGTTTTTAACGGCTCTACAATTTTTGACGGCTCTTAAATTTTTGACGGCTCTTTGATTTTTAATGCCTCTTTGATTTTTGACAGCTCTTTGATTTTTGACAGCTCTCTGAAATTGTTAAACTATATTTTGGACCCCAGAAAAAAAATTATCCCATCTGCTAATCACCAAACTACTACTGTGACACCAAGGGATGCTGGCTAAAATCTGTGTCATTCATTCGAAACATCATTCTTAAAAAAATCTGTATCCTCTTAGAATTGGAATTGTCATTTATTTTTGCAAATTATTGATGTGATGCGTTAATCGTCATTTACTAATCATTGTGTTGTGTGAAGCATTTCCTAGCGAACCTCTTCATTGATTGATTTCATCTTAGCATAACTTCAGAAGTTTTGGGAAAAATTTTTCACAATTCTTAAGCAAACTACCATAGACTTAACCTTAATATTTAATGAGTTTTATTATGCATGGCATTTTCAAATTTATCAAAATTTCAATCATTTTCTAATTTTCAAAAATTTCAAGCAATCATAAAAAATAACATTTTCAACTGAATCTACGTATATCACTTTAACATAACTATAGCTGCTTTGAGCACATCATTATAGAAATTTTCCAGATAATTTGAACATTAATTTAACCCAGTTGTTCACAAAGTGGGCGGTACCGCCCCCTTGGGGTGGTGGAAAGATCTGGGGGGGGTGGTGAGAGAGAAGGGGGCGGCAGTCCGAAGTCGAAATCAGAAGTTAGAACATTTGTTTGACAATTTATACACAACAGTTGCAGTTACCCGGCTCCCAGCGATGGGTTTTTCCACCCAGGTCTGGTTTTTTTAACTCCTCCTGTGTTTCTAGTGTAAATTTTTTAAATATTCAAACTCTGGGGGTTGCTAGGAATTCATATGTGTCTGTCAGGGGTGATAGGAATTCATTTGTTCGTCGGGGGTGATAGGAATTCATATGTGTACGTCGGGGGTGATAGGAATTCATATGTGTCTGTCGGGGGCGATATGAATTCATATGTGTCTGTCGGGGGCGATAGGAATTCATATGTGTCTGTCGGGGGCGATAGGAATTCATATGTGTCTGTCGGGGGCGATAGGAATTCATTTGTCTGTCGGGGGTGATAGGAATTCATATGTCTGTTGGGGGCACTAGGAATTCATATGTGTCTGTCGGGAGCGATAGGAATTCATATGTGTCTGTCGGGGGTGATAGGAATTCACTGGGGAGCCAAGGGTGCGCCCTGGGGAGCCAAGGGTGCGCCAGACTGTAGAAGTTTGGGAACCACCGATTTAACCTGATCACTTCGAGCAGGTGGCGAGAACGCGCGGTGCAGAGCAGCAGCAGCAGCGTAGCGTAGAGTACCTGATGAACGCGTACCGCGTCGGTATGCTGGCCATGGAGACTCTGGCACGACGTGTTCAGGATGACCGACCTCAGAATAAATACGCACCACATCCTCCCTATGGCGAAGAAATTAAATGGTTGCTCGGAGTGGCCAAGAAACTTGGTCAGTCTATTCAACATCTATCCCAACAGTCACCTGCTTGAGCATTATCACTTGATTGCTTAAATCGCATGTTTATCATGAATTTCAAAGCAAAGAAAACGGCCAAAAAATTCGCCCCAACATTTATCCCAACAGTCACCTGCTTGAGCATTATCACTTGATTGCTTAAATCGCATGTTTATCATGAATTTCAAAGCAAAGAAAACGGCCAAAAAATTCGCCCCAACATTTATCCCAACAGTCGCCTGCTTGCACATTAAGATCACTTGATTGCCTAAATCGCAACGTTATCATGAATTTAAAAGCAAATAAATTGTTTTGTTAAGTAATTTCATTGTTTTGTTCTTGGCTGTGTTATTTCTATTGCCGAGGTTTATCAGAGGAAATTTCATGATTCGCTCGTGCATTCCTCCATCCTCTAATGAAGATACCAAACACATTAATTTGAACATGTCCATAAGAAATTTCACTACGTTTGGCTTTCACATTTTTTGTATATTCACCCATGATCAGCAACCTATAACTTTATTGAATAAATAAACATTATTTCTACAGCATCTTACTGTTTTCCTTGCCCCTAATTTTGTTACTGTTTTCCATGCCCCTAATTTTGTTACTCGTTTCCATGCCCCTAATTTTGTTACTGTTTTCCATACCCCTAATTTTATTACTCTTTTCCATGCCCCTAATTTTGTTACTGTTTTCCATACCCCTAATTTTATTACTCTTTTCCATGCCCCTAATTTTGTTACTGTTTTCCATGCCCCTAATTTTGTTAGGTACTGTTTTCCATGCACCTAATTTTTTTCCTGTTTTCCATGCCCCTAAAAATAATAATATTTTGTGTCCCAAATTTTCCATGCCCCTAATTTCATAACTGTTTGCCATGCCGCAAATAATAATAATATTTCATGCCTCTAATTTTATTTAATGTCAACAGGTAATCAATACCTGCACCGCTTCTGTTTGTGCTGCGTTAACAGCGTCGTCTCTCCCTTCGTGCTGTTCGAGCTCGCACAAGAAGTGTCACATTACCTCTCCCGTCAACAACAGCAACAACAACAACAACAGCAGCAACAGCAACAACAACAACAGGCTATGTATCAACACCAACTCAGATCATCGCCGATTCTGCAGCCTCTCGTGCAGAAATGTCAGCAAATGTGAGTTGTATTCTATACAGGGTGCGTACCGGTCATGGAAAGCCTGGAAAGTCATGGAATTTTATTTTTCATTTTCCAGGCCTGGAAAGTCATGGAATTCTCTTTCTAAATACCGGTACGCACCCTGCTTATCACAGATCTTATGTTAATTATTTACTCCGGCTTGAAATGCCGGTTTTGTTAACTATATAGAAGCCGATGAATACAATAAATTTTGATATAAACTCATGTTCATTTGTGCAGGTTATATTTACATTAAAGGAACTAGAGAATGTGGATAATGATGATAAATTTTTACGTTGATGTGCAGGTTTTAGAAACAAAATAATAATGAAATGCTAACGTATAAAACTAATACTAATATAATATAATGCTTTATAATAATATAACAATAATAATAATAATGCTAGTACATAACACTGTAATGCTAATATAATATAATGCTTTATAATAATATAGCAATAATAATGTTAGTATATAATAATGTTGATGTATGCGCAGGTTCATCCGGTGCTGCCACATGAAGCTGTATGTTAGTATATAATAATGTTGATGTATGTTCAGGTTCATCCAGTGCTGCCACATGAAGCTGTACTACATCACAGCGTCTGACTATGATGAGTTTGTTAACATCATGTGCACCGCACGCAAGGCCTTCCAGATGACTCCTACAGGCCTTGTGCAGTTCAATGAACTTCTTCAGTCTCTACGCAGGTATTTTCCTTTAATTCTTTTGTGGTTTGCGACATATAATTAAATAACACAATTTTCTTTTTCTTTAATTTTTTTCGTTATTTTGTGAAGATTCGGCATCAAATTTCTAAATAACACAATTTTCTTTTTCTTCAATTTGTTATGAAGAGTTTGTTATCATATTTTTGTTATCATATTAGTAAATAACGCAATTTTCTTTTCCTTTAATTTTTTATTATTCTTTTGTGAAGAGTTGGCGTCGTACTGCTAACACAATTTTCTTTTCCTTCATTTTTTTCATTCTATTGTGAAGAGTCGCATCATATTACTAAATAACACAATTTTCCTATGTCTAGAAGTTATTACTTGTAATTTGCTAAATTTCGACCACAAATTTGATTCCCCTATACTTTTCAATGTAATGTTATTTGAACTAAACGCAGGCTAGGTGAGGTTTTGAGTAAATGACCTTCAAGTTCATCAAAGGATCGTACTTGGAAAAATCATTTTGGTGTCCTGTTGTGGTTATTACAATTCCTGGAGAACTGTTTATTTTCACCTAGAAGTTCTTCACTTAATTTTTTATTAATGATACTCGAACTTTGGTTATTACAATTGGTGTAGAACTGTTTATTTTCACCTAGAAGTTCTCCACTAAATTAATTTGTTATTACTGGCACTCGATGCCAGGCTTTGGTTATTACAATTCCTGGAGAACTGTTTATTTTCACCTAGAAGTTCTTCACTAAATTAATTTGTTATAAATGATACTCGCTGTTGTGCAGGTCGAAATGCTGCAAAAAGGAACTGTGGCAGATGCTCTCTGCCACCCTCAACCAGGGAGGATGACGTCGCTCCTCAGCGCTGCTCATATCCCTGCTGTGCTTGCCTGCACATCCATCCAGTGCTGTGGTGCCACAGCAATTAGATGCTGTGGTGATACCGCCTTCCAGTGCTGTAACATTACAGCCCTCAAGTGCTGTGGTGATGCCAAGTGCTGCTGTGGTGATGCCAAGTGCTGCAGTGGTGATGCATTTAAAAGAGGCACTCCACCCACGCTGTGTTTCCCGCCGTTAATGTTATGCTGCCATATTTGCCAACTATTAAATCTCCCTCCATCGATTCGGTTTCGTTGTCGTCTTCCTAGTGCATTAACTTTTGAGTACATTTGACCTGTCGCCGAATAATTTCTGGCATTCATTTTTGTTCTACGGTAATTTCCGTAGAATTGCTCACTGTCTTAATAAAACAATAAGTTTAATTTAAATGCCCGATATTAGAGTAAATTTTTCATCTGTTATTTCATTACAGCGCTATTTTATTACGACCATTATTCTTGTTACTGTAATAGCAGTTAACGTTTGTGCTTGATTAGGTTGTCATTGCTACTTTTGTGGAATTGCAAAGGAGATTGGTTAATATTAATGACTGTTGATGTCACCAATAGAATTTGTTTGATCCATTATTTTACAGACATTGTTTCTGACACAACAATTTTTTGCACAGTAGGTAATCAAGATATTTAGCATTGGCTAAATTTTAAATTTTATAACCATACACACCACAACATTGTACAAAAGTTAACTTTGAGTAGAGTCTTGTGTTTGATATTAATTAAATGACTAAATCGAGCGGACTTTGAAAGATTTAGATGACTTCACAAATTGTATCCCACACTTTAAAAAGACGAAGCAATACACTTAATTTCAAATCTTGGATCTTGACGTGAAATTCTGTTAAATTAACTGACGTATTTCTATTAATTCGTCCGAAGTTCTATTAATTTGATAAACCACAGCACTAGATGAGCGTGCTGGATGAGGTGTACATGCATAATCACTTCTCACAGTCGCCTGTAGAGTGTAAGATTTCTCAATATCGTCAGAAGTTTCTTCGGTTCTCAAATTGTTCAATTTCTCTAATGCAGAGAGATGCTCATAATCAATTCAAACTATTTTCTTGATTTGTTTCATTTCGATTCAAATCTAAAAGCGGTAACAATTTTCATTCTCTGATTCACTCATTAGAACCGTATGTGCGATGATACCTGGTATCTATCTTGTATTTCTATTTATCAAAAATAAATTAACACCCAACTTCGGGCTTTGTGTGTTCAAAATTCATAAATTATAACTGAAAATAATAACTTTTAAATTCGAGAAATAGACATTTACGCAGGCGACTGTAGATATCATGGAAGTTTTAGTTGGTGCAGTGTATGTGTATTTGAACATAGTCGCGTGCGTGTGTATCTTCGTGTACAGCTCAATTGTAGTTCGTAAGATTGTAACGCTCTAGTCTAAATAGTAATGTAGGTTGCATAGTTGCTTCATAGCTTTCTTCTCTTACTATTTACATCTTCTTATGGTGGTTAAAAAAAAGAGCTTCCTTTGAAGACCTCCAATTCTCTTATACTTGACAGAAATTTTTCATTTGTTGATCAGAAACGGTATGCAAAATACCTGAATGAATAAGAATATTAAAGAATTGTAGGGGATCCAAAATTTACGGGAGGTCCTCGTATGGGACTCTTATTTACCACTTCGCATCATATCTTTCGTCAACTATTCTCTCGACCATTCGCTATTTAAGATCTAATTTCTTTGTATTATCTCTTTGTTTTGGTACAAGTTCTTTTTCCATACTTATTAATGCTTAAAACCCCAATTTTATCGGTGATTTACGTTCATTTTCTTCCAATGTCAGAAAAATTTCATTTCATTAGAAGCATTGATATGCGAAAATATAACATTTTTGTAAGTAAAAGAGACAAAGCCTGAAATAAAATATTTTGTTTACTCTCTGTACTTTTTGTTTCTAAATTATATACCTATTTGTTCCATGACTTGCTTCTACTTCTTGGTTCTTTTCTGTAGAATATTTTTCTAATAATTATCTTATACATTCTTCTATTTGTATATGAGTTCATTAAAGGCAAAGTTTCCTATGTATCACTATTCCATCACTTTTTTCGCATTCATAACTACATTCATTTAAGTGTACAGCAGATATTCCAAATCCGTTTTCTCTTGCTGCCTAATTCAACATGACTCCATCTAAACCCTTCATGTTATTTTTCCAATAGTTGTCATCATTGATATTTGTAACAAAATTATAACTTGCGAAATACCGCGTACCATTCAAATGGAACAATATTGACGTTAAAAAATTTTTTTATGACGAAAACTGATGATGTTTATATATATGCTTATTCAAAATTGTAAATGACTTGATGGTGAAAAGATCTTCATTGCTGAAGAGATTTTTTTTTCATTAAACCGTTTGAATCTTGCTTGAGACATGAACATTCATTGCAATGCGATGTTATTCGTGTAAATTTACAGATCATAAATCTTGATGTGTATCTCAATGTAGGATGTAAAACTGGACGATGTTATGCATATTTTTACACTTTTAATTTAAAACGAATTCATATCAAGACCTATCTTGTTTTATATAATGACAACCAAACTTTCATGTTGCCATTTACAGACAGAGTTTCACTTACATATTCATCAACACTTCATTTTCTTCGATGTTTTCCGACTTTCAGCACGCAACATGTTTGTCCTGAATCTTTATTCACTCACAATAAGGCACATTTTCATCTATATTATTACACATTTTCATCTATATTATTCAAGCCTATTTTCCTTCTCACTTAAGATATTTTAAGAATACAGGAGTAGTTTTAAAAGGCCGATTGTACATATTATTTCTTAGCTGCGGTCTCGGTGTGACTATAGTGCGTGCTTTAACCCTTAATTGCCTGAATAGTAGAATGAATTTGTCTACGTAATAATGTTATTCTTGCCTGATTCGCGTAGTTTTCCGGCGTGAGTGTTTGGAGTCCGCAAGTGTAAAATATTTTTAAATTCCCGTTTTTTTCTAAGGTTGTGCGATTTTGTGTTAGTAGAAGTGATCATTTTCTTCCATATCTGTCATTTTTTGGATATAACTTATTACATTCTTCTAAAAACTGACATTTTGCCCTAATTACTAAAGCTTTTCTGATGCTATTTAGAAATCATCGACTTGTTAATGGTGTCAATATTTTAAATACATTGACACCTTTCTTTTAATGGGATTTTTTCCGTAATTTCCGAATAGGTTTTCTGTGTTGCACATAATATCTACTATATTGATTATGAGTAGCTTTAAGTTTAATATTATTCGCTTTAATACAGGCAGTGTACATTTCAGCATTGAGTATGGAAGGATCTAATTCCGCTATTAAGCATAACAATATTTTGACTTGGAAACTTATTTTAATATGGAAAGTAACTTCAATATCCCTTCACCAGCTTATGTACATAAGTGGAAGCTGCTTGTAAACAATTTTGCTCTTCACTTACCCATGTTCATATCGCCACGTATTTTGTTGGTGTGTTTGTAGGCGCTTCACAAGAAAGTGAGGGATTATTAGCAATATTATTTAAAAAGCACCAATTTTTTTCAATCAAATCTCCCTGTTACACAAAAACCCCATTTTGAGCGATTTTTTGTTTTAAGTTTATCCCACTAGAAAAAGTAATCCATGCATTTATTTATCTCTAATAAAGGCATGGGAATTAATGTTAATCAGATATGTAACTTCGTCCTAGAGTTGACCGCGAATATTTTACATTAAAAATGTTCTACCCGTCTCCTCATCTTCCAGTTCCCATTATTTTCTCGTAATATTCAATAATTATTATGTGAACACGAGCAAAGTCCGCGATGAATTTCACCAGATGTTCGCTTACAAAACTCCCATTATTAATATTTCGTTTCTGCCTTTATATTTTTTAAGAGTGGGGTAGGTTTTCAGGTGCCGTCTATTTTTCATCTATTTATTGCCCTATTTATTATTGTCATGATTTCTTTGGCAGCTTAGTTACTCAGGTATGCATTTCTACTAAACGTCTAATCATTTCTGTCACTAATGATTCTATTGCGTTCATTTCAATATCTAATGCGGGTTTTTTTAGCTTACGAATTTCGTTTCATTTCTTTGATGTTTTCTGTTGAAATATCGTGCAAAAATGCACTGTGATTTGCGTCTTGGTATTGAGTTTACGTTCGCTGTATTCATTCATGAGTTACCAACTGTCGTATTTAGAGCCTCAGTGATTTCGTGTAACAAAAAAATACATGCAGCTCATTTTTTAAATTTAAAAGTCTAAGTGCAAAATTGAAGTACATTACAAATTTTAGTGACTGGGGACTTCTTTGTTGTATGGGGCCATAACTTGTAGCTCCAGATTAAAATTCAGTTGGTTCCGCAAAAGAAAATGTTGGTACCACAACGTCAAAATGAGACTCATTACCGCTTCGTTACAACATGGCCGTTCGATTATTTTTATACTGGACTGACTTGGAACCCGGAAATTATTATTCTTCGATATCCTGAGTAGTTAAAGTAATGTAAATTGTACCATAAATGCCTGGCTCCCCTTTTTTTGCGGTCATTACGGCCAAAAATGAAAAATAATCTTGCTTTTGGTGGTCGAAATCTTCAAGTTTGTGTGGGTGTGGGTGTTGATTGTAAATTTTCACACAGCTATTTGATTCTTTGAAAGGAGCTTTTGGATTAAAGTATGATTACATTCACTATTAGATTAATTTAATAGGAAATTTGTTCTTTTGTTGATGCTGTTTATTTGCGAGTTTTAGTTCCCTATGATTTGTGTGGTAGATCATTTTTTGCATCGATAACCAATTTGGTTCTTAGAAAGTTCCATAGGGAAACTAATTTCATCTGAACATTTTTTTCCAACATTGCCTGTAGGTTTAATTTTCTATCATTTAAAGCGGGGCTTATTGTCTCAACTCTGTAATATTTATCTTGGATTTAATTTATCTCTGACGTTGGTAGCGTTTCGGTTGTAGTTAATTTTTAGCGAAAATTATAAGTTTTTTTTCACGAATTGTAAGCAATTTTTCTTCCATAGGAAAAAATGCATTGGAGAAAAGTGACCAAATTCAGATTGTTAGAAATTATTTACATCATTTGCATTCGCCAAAATGTATTTTATCATCGCCGTTCAAATTTCACAGTCCTGTAAACCCGAGTTAAAATTCTCGCTATAGACGACGATACCATATCTGTTCGCTGCCATTCACTCCCCGGTCTCTTAATTTTTCAGAAATAATTTCCTCCGTTTTTCAAGTGTTATCACTCGTTAGTAATACGTTATTTAAATAGTGTAATTGAAATTTATCTTCCCAAATAAGGTAGCCGCTGCGCATGGCAATATGCTTTCGTAACTTTGTGTGTCTAATGTGCGTTTCTTTTGTTTGTGGTCGTAGCGTTGCTGTCATCGACACCTTTAGCTTAATTCCTTCAAGCGTCCGGCATCTTTTAATAAATTATATTTTATCCTGAACTCTCATTAGCCTCGAGTATACTTGGGAGAATTCGGAAAATGTAGATCTTTGTATCCGAATAATTATTTTTCTAAGCACGTTAAGAACCATTATACTGAATTTATTGTCAGTTTACAAGTCAAAACTGTGTATAGGCGGACATTTTTGTTTACAAAATATCCACATTGCCGATAATTAATCGAAGAATTCACATTCATTCAGATTTTCTGCTGCACAAGTAACCCATATAGTTATTAAAAAAATCTTTCCAGATATGCAAGACTATTTCCACAAAAAGTCTTACGTGTCATTGAATCCCGCAAGCGAAAACTTGGAGTTTACTGTCGTAGCAGGTGAAGATGTCAACTCAGTTTTAAAGGTCATCTTTCCATGTTTGAGTTATGTTTACAAATCTGGATAGTGATAAATGATAATAGAGTTTCTGAGATTAGTAGGCCTGTCGCTGATTCTTAACATCGCAGAACATTCATAGCTTGTTGCGGCCTCGAACTCGCAACTCACTGCTACAATTCTGCTGCGCTTAACCGCCCGGCCTCCTCGCCGATGCTGACCAGAAACTGGCGCACAGAGCTGGCAGCGAAGCCGCGCCTCTCTGCTCCAATCTTGGTACTCTGAACTGTAACCACTGGGCCACCCTGTTAAATATACTAACTTGTCGACACAAAGTCACAAACTCATAGCAAACAAAGATACTTATTATCTTTGAGATAACTTTTTAGCAGTAATAGTTTTACTAGAATAATTAGTGCTATCGGTTAGGAATAATGTGTTTGCACAAGTTGAGGTGGTGTACTACCTAGGGCTAGAGGCTGAACATGTAAATTTCCACAATTATTGTAAATTATATATTGCAAATCAGTTCAAAGTATCATCATTAAAAAAGAGTGCGTTTACTTTGAAAGTGATTTTGTGTATTTCGTATTGATTTTTTGTACGTTTTTTATATCAAAATGTCATTATGGCCATCTCCTTGAATTTAGATAATGAATTTCAAAGACTGAACTGTCAGTTTTCGTATTTATCAAAAGGATTTGAATAGTAAGTGTTGTTGTTTTAAAATATGACATCAGTGGCAAACTAGTCAATTCTAAATAGATTAAATAGAAATTTAAATGTCCCACATTTTCCAACTAGCGACATCTTTCGGCTGACTTGCACGGAACATATGTTCAATATTCAATAATGTTCGTTCATATGTCTAATATCTTAGTTCATGGACCTTGCGTCAGAAGTTCGGCTTTTGGAAATTTTAAGGCTAAATTCGTATTTTTGGGACATATCCCCTCTGCTTGTATTCCTTATCTCTAATTTAGTAAAGACTATAATCTCAATTACTGAAAATTAGAAAGTATTGGGTTTTTTCACTATCAACAACACTTGTCTCTGAACGATATGTTGTGGTAGAATCATAAGCTGAGCTCTTCTGCTGAGTTCCCTGCGTAAGCTCTGGTCGCCATTTTCTGCGATCAAGTGTGTTCTTCGATTCGATTGAATGGCAAAAGCCCTTTGATATTCTTTGCAAATATTGGAAAGCATTTTCTAATGTTCTTATGAATAATTGGACAAAGCATTATGGCTTGTTTAACAACTTTGAAACAAGAAATCAGAGTACTGGAGAATGCTTTCCCAAAGTCAGATCAGCTTTTTCAAGTCGTAGCTGCAAGTGTTGATGAACTTACATGTCGATTTGTTTCCAAATGTGGCAAAAAGTATGATATCCACGCAAATATTACGGTAAGTGTTGAATTTTTTCCATCGGTTATGATTGCTTCGACTCTACTTATTTTTACCAGCGAATGTGCGCTAAAGGAGAATTAGCTCAAGGTCGATGTAGAAGCCTTCTCTTCCCTTTGAGCCTTTGTTTATCTTTTGAAAATGATGTGAGATGCCAAAACGAAAAAGCATTAGGCCTATAAATGACGTATCATTTAAAAACATTGATTATCTTAATATTGGGTTGAATGTATAAAAGGCAATGGTGAAATTTTATGTTGCCATTGGCATGAACTACTAAACTAAACATGAACTACCTACTAAACTTGACTTCATCACTAGACTTAGAGTCTAGACTGCTAGCCTGCTAGGCTAGTCGCTCATCAATCTTCACTCAACTCAGTCTCATGTACTGATGTAGTCTGAAACTCTGAATTTTCCTTCTATTGTTCATTCATGTGGTAGGTTCAGTGGTACTTTTATCTCATTTTTTATTTGGTTGATTTTTAGTTCATTTCATGCACAGTTAGGTATGCATTGCTGCATTGCAAGTAATTATAAAAACATTTTTCAAACAAGTAGACTTGAATTTAACAATCAAATCTTCATTTTTACAACACTTCTCTTTAACTTCACTTCTTGTTTGTTTGTGTGTCTGCTACATATCTTATAATCAAAATTTAACACACTTCTTCTTATCCTATTGATCTGAAATTTTGCACACTTGTGTAATGTTGGAGAAAATGCAAGAATCAAATGACAAAATAAATGATTTAATTTTTTTTTCAATATTAAAAAATGAAAAAAAAAATATTTTTGTCAGCTGCAAATCTCATAACTGATATTTGACACACTTTTACCTGTCCTGATTGATCTGAAATTTTGCACACCTGTGTGAAGTCGGAGGCAATGCATGAATCAATTGACAGAATAAATTATTTAAAAAAATTATAAATTAGAAGAAATTGGAAAACTAATTTTTTTAATATTCAAAAATAAAATGAGAAATTCATTATATATCTTTATCATTGGAGACACTGGATTCTTTAGAAGTGTTGTCTTTAAAAAGTAATATTTAAATGTATATTATTGACATTTTTGGTAACTTTAATTCAAAGCAATCAGAAAATTGAGGTAATCCAGCTTTGAATTTTTTTTAGTACCTACCTAAATCTATGAATGATCATTCTTATTTTCTATGTGATCCACAAGTTTTAATAACTCACTTGCCTCTTTGAAAGATATTTAGTGTAGACTATTAACTTTCAAATCAAAGATAACTTACCTATAAGGTATAAAAAAAGGTTTACTTTAAGTTTAAGGTCTTCTCATCTTCTGATCCTATATGATGTGTGCATCTGTTGACCTGTTGAACACATATATATAGCACAATTGTAAAATTCAACCTTCATCTCCTATCCCATATTTTATTATATGATTTTCAACAATTGCTAACTGATTATTGTAGTCAGTCAAGTTCATTGAAACCACCAAATACCAATAGATTTTTAATATTGAAAGACCAGTTTGTCAATTACAATATAGGACCAGTCTGACCAGGTTAGAATCCTAGAATGGTAATATATGAAAATTGTACATGGTGCAGGTTGAAGCAAAAATCTAAAATGTTTAATATTTATAAGATATTTAAGATCATTAATATCTATTAAGGTCAAGATGTTATATCTTATCAGTTTTTCTCAAGCCATCTAAACCTTAAATTGACATCCTTTCAAAATTGCTGGTTAGTTCATGCTAAATTAAGCATATTGAAACTATTTTATTGCTATAAATATTGAAAATTTATTATCTTAAAATACATGGAAATGTATATACATATATGTACAATAATTATTACTGATTATATTTTAAGCAAGATTGCTGACTGTTATTGGAATACCACCATATTGCTTTATAAGTACTTTTCTAATTTAGTGATGACTTACTTCTTTGAATAATTAATAATAGTGAAGACATGCCGTATATATAAGATTTATTAGAAATTGAAAAAAGTTTTTAAGCATTTTAGGTATAATGAAAAATTGATGAAATTGAAAATAACTATTGTTTGCAAGTTCCTTCATCTGTCAATTTTGAAATTGAATATGTATGAGACATAAGAAACTATTTAAAAATGCATATAAAAAACAATAAAGAATCACATTTTGATAATTGTTATAAACTTAGATGCTGAATTGTATTTTTTTTGTTAATTTTTAAGCCTTGCCAATATGGAAACAAAAGTAAATTTAATGTACGTACATTTTGCTACTTGTGGGAGTAATTTAAAGCTGTCCCACTTGAGATAAGAGTAGTTGTTATATGAAGTATTTGAGTCATTTCTAATTTCCCAGCTCCTTCAAAACATGTCAAATGAAAGGTTTGCTAGTTAAAAATGTTATTGAAGTTTTCCTTAGTATGCTTGCATCTGGGAAATGAGCTCCTTTATAATAATTCTATTTGCTGATGTCTCAATTACATATAATTGAGAATTGTTATATATAATTGAGAAGACTATACATGCAAGCAAACAGTACCACACTCAAATGAAATAATTTATTCTCTCAGTTTGGAAGTTTCATTTATGTTATGAGTTTTTATTACTTAAAATTTGAATATCTTGGCCTAAAAACTATGCAGTAGACTTCAAATGAAATAAAAAAAAATGGTGTTAATATTGAGGACATATCACTATATTCCATTGGTGGGGCCAGTTAATAAATGTATGATAGTTACTTTAACAGGAACTAAAATTTCATTGATATTGGTCCATTTCTTCCCGTGCCAATAAAATCTCCACCTAACTTTTCTCTATTTATACCTCTGCTTGTATATTATATACCCTTTGCCAATTGTGACCAATGAAGAATTTATGTTACAGGAGACCTACCCACACTCTCCTCCCGTCTGGTTTTCTGAGACAGAAGATGCCATCATCACAAATTCTATAGAAAGACTGAGCAACACCACAGGACGGGATAATCATGTGGGTACTAAATTATTCTATTAATATATTAAATAAAATATATATATAGTGATGTAACTTGTGAGAAGCCCCCTTTTTTATGCAAATGTGATAGAATACCAGAGCATGTTTCTTATTAACAATCTGATTAGTTTTTCAATTAGTTGAACAAATTTTTTTTCTGGCTCTGGGAGATAAAAAAAAAACAGGTTACCAAATGACATTTTACTGGAATGCAATGTTTCAAATATACAATATTCATTATGAAGCGGGTGAAGGGTTTTGCAACACTTGAAATTGAGCTTTTCAAGGGTATTGTGGTAAGGGTATTGTGGATACAGGTTGATATCCACTTGTTGAAAAAACATATTAGAAGATTGTTAACAAAACGGTTGCTCTGGTTTTCAGTCACACTTGCATATTTTATATATGCATAGTATAAGTATACTAAGTATAGGTTGGCAGAATTTGTTCCTTTAAGCAGGTTTCATTGAAGACCAGAGAATTTGTTTTGTTGACATTTTTTTCAAGTTTTTTCAATATATCAAAAAATATTTTTAATTTGCACTGGTGAATTGTAAGTAAATCTGGGTACCATAAATCAGGGTATCAGCAACATTCTTATTTATAAAAATTTCCATTGGTACCGTAAAATGGGGTAACTTAGACCACTTTTTTTCTTATAAATGATGCCATTTTCTTACTAGCTAAATTAAACTTGAATTGAAACGTGCAAAATACAGGTCTATACTCTAGCTTCACTCACCATAAATTGCTGGCTCCTGCTTTTAATTTTTTAACCTATTAGATATGCAAACTTTTTAAATCTTTCTATTGTATTATGTAGCCTCAGTATTAGGCCTTTAATGCCCATTGACAGAAATTTTCTATGTCAAATAGTTTCTGAGTTCTGGGGGTTTTTGTAAAAAAAAGGAAAGTGGTCTAAGTTACCCCGCCGGTCTAAGTTACCCCATTTTACGGTACCCTGATTTTCAATTTACCAGTGCTAATTAGAAATGTTGTTTAATATTGAAAGAATAAAATAATAATATATTTAATCTTGATAGTGAATTGAACTTGATGCCAGCTTATTTTTTTCAATTATACACTACATGCAGTGATAAGCAAGATGGGATGCTGGAGTTGGATAAGAATTATTAAAGTTAGAAGCAAATAATTCTGCAAAAAATTTATACTGACCATCTTTAAAGAAAACAATTTGGAGTCCAGCTCCATTGTCAGTTCAAAAATTCTATAACACAGGTAAATTGGTACTACCTAATTAGTACAGTCATAATTACAGAAAAACCTAAATGGTAAAACTTATCTTTTTACAAATTCAACTGGGTAAGAGCTAAAGGCTTAATTTAAACTAGGCCTCTTAAAAAATATATGGGCTTGAAATATAACGAGTGACATTATTGAGAATTATTATGTATAATCACAATCTAGAGTTCATTAAGAATTATTATACATCAGTACAATCAGAATGGTTTTCTAGTGTGATAAGCACTTGTAGAGATGGCATATTACAATAGAAACATTGCTTGTATGTAATATGGGAGTTTTCTTTATATGTTAGGTCTCAAGGCCAACTAGATAGTGTGTATGATAATAATACATGCCCTTGCTACCACTTTGTGATGGAATGGCTTAGACAGTGTGGTATAACTATCCATTATATGAGAACCTCCATTTTTTAGGAGAATTTTCACCTCCTAAGATTTGGTAGGTTTTAAGTCAAAATGGCAGATAAGATATTGGTTTAGAACCAATTTAAAGGCACATTCTATATAATAGCTTGGTGCCTGTAGAGATGATGATGTGCATTATGCCCATAATGCTGACTCTATTCCAGATATGAAGCAACTTCATTCTTGGTTTGTTTTCTAGCTTGGTTATAGCTTGTTACCTAGTTTTTTGTAATATATATTGCACTCCAATGGAATTCCAGCTCCAGAGTTCTACCCATCTTCTCACTAGTTCCCTGGAGATTACAATGCAAGAATGTTACCCTGGTAATCTCTATGCTTTCCTCAGTTTTTAACCTAAAAATATCCACTAAACAAAACAAATACAAGACAATCTATTTCTGTCTTTTGCCTGTACTAGTCAACATCTTCTTCCCCCTTATTTTTGACCTCATTTACAGCAGCCGAGAATTACTTGAAAGGTCAATTGTTTTAGGTAGGTAAGCAATGAGATACAGTGAAGCATTTCTTCATCTTTTGCTTTTCAACTGAACTGCTTCAGTTTCCAACTACATTAATTATTTCAGTATGCTGCCTAGAACATTCATTTCTGTATGCATGGCCTTTGATAGAACATTCAAAGCTTGTGCAATTATAATAACGCATATAATCATATTAAGATATTAAGATTAGGTATATAAATTGATTATATGCATCAGTACATGTAATCAATAATACATATAAAGATAATAATCAAAGCAAGCTATGTGATGCCTCAATGACATGTTCACTGAGAAATATTTTGTAACGGCTTAGATGTCATTTTTTATGATTAATTAGAATTATTATTATGTAGAAAAATATGATTATTTGTTTTTAATCTTTGCACCATGCCACCATGGTTAGTACTTATGCTAAGACTAATTCCAGATTTTTTATTAAAATGCCCAAAAATTTTAGAATCATTATTTAAATAAAAAACTTGATCATTATTTCAAAAAGATGTTCATGCATTGAAAATCCATGATGCATTGAAATCATGGATTGAAATCCATTCAAACGCCTGTGGTTTATTAAAATATGCAATTAGAGTTACTGTGAGTTTCACTAGTCGAATTAATTATTTTGGACTCTCTGCAAGTAGTGAATGAAAAAAAATTACTCATTTTACATCCACACCCAAACCTGTACCATGTTACCAAATGAAAATAATGAAATAAATTGCTGATATCAATCTACCAAGTGAAGACCCATTATTCATAATGTAACTATTTGTTATTTACTACTGATTTATATGTGTACCGTCAACTGGGATGACTTTGGCCACTGGGGGTGACTTTTACCACCACTACAACAGGAAAAATGGCAGCAAAATAAAATAATAAACGTTGGCCAAAATGACTGGGTTGACTTTGGCCAACGTTTATTTTTTTGTTTTGCTGCCACTTGTTTCTGTTTTAGTGGTGGCTGAAGTCTCCCCTAGTGGCCGAAGTCACCCCAGTTGACAGTACCTTCTAGGGATAAATAATATAGTCAAATGACCAACGTCCTACAAAGTTTCTAAACCTATGAAATTACTTGCATTATTTATTTTTTCAATTACATGTTGAAGCTGCTTGCTGCTTCTGTGCAATTGATATATATATATATATATATATTAGTGGCAAGTATTATAAGTATAGATAAAAAGAAAATTACATGCACATAAAAAACTTGAGTAATTTATTTGGTTCTATACAAATGATTTTCAGCATATTTATGATGGCTTTAGAGGAAATATTATTCTGAAATTACCGACTTTTTTATGATGATGTCAAGTTTTTATTGCAGGATTTAATGCGTGGTTGATGTTGCAGGTGGTGCAGTGGTTCATGTTGTTATTACAGGATTTAAAGCCTGTATCAAACTACACGTAATGCAGCCAGTACAATTATTATTACTGAAGGTAATGCTCGTGTCACATTGCAGGTGGTGCAGCAGGTCAAGTTGTTATTACAGGAACTGTGTTCGTCATTTGGTATGCACGATCCTCCTGATCTGGAGCAGAAACTGAGCTTCAATGCCCTACCGCCTCCCTCTCCCTCCGCTGGATCAGTCGCACCCGACTCCAAACATGTCAGTTGCTCTCCCATGTTTCTTACTGTTAAACATGAACTTCTTCTTAACCATGATAATTTTTTACTCTCTCTCTCATATTTCTCACTGTTAAACATTAACTTTTTCTTAACCACTATCATTATTGACTCTCATGTTTCTCCTGTTGAACATAAATTTCTTTTAACCACCATTATTTTTGACTCTCTCTCATGCTTCCTACTGTTAAACTTAAACTTTTGTCTTAACCATGATCATTTTTGACGCTCTCTCATGTTTCTCACTGTTAAACTTAAACTTCTTCTTAAACACGATCATTTTTGATGCTCTCTCATGTTTCCTACTGTTAAACATAAACTAACTACTTGTTAACCACGATCATTTTTGACTCTCCCATGTTTCCCACGGTTAAACATAAACTTCTTTCTTAACCATGATCATTTTGGACTCTCTCTCATGTTTCCTACTGCTAAACATAAACTTCTTAACCACGATCATTTTTGACTCGCATGTTTCTGACTGTTAAACATGAATTTCTTCTTAACCACAATCCTTTTGGACTCTCATGTTTCCTACTGTTAAACATAAACTTCTACTTAACCGCGATCATTTTTGACTCTCATATTTCTCCTGTTGAACATAAAACTTCTTAACCACGATCATTTTTGACTCTCATGTTTCTCACTGTTAGACATAAATTTCTTCTTAACCACGATCATTTTGGACTCTCTCATTTTTCTCACTGTTAAACATAAACTTTTTAAGCACGATCATTTTTGACACGAGTGTCATCTGATATAGTTTCTCTTGTATGGCGTCTGTCGCATAGTGAATCTTATATTTTCATGTGTTATTATTCTTCTTACATACATCCTGTTACACTTCTCAATTGCAATTAAATATTTTTTCAATGTCATTTTTTTATGTCAACATATTTTGTTTTTATCAGGCATCTATTTTCTTGGAATAATTTCTTTTTTAAGGTATTTTCCACTTGGGTTAGCATTTCTCATTTCTATTTGTCATCTTGGGGAAAAATCAATGTGACTCCTTCATCAACTTATTTTTTTACATGTATATGTTAAATCAACCTTTCACTTTTGTGACATAATTCTGTTCTTGAAATATTTATTAGTTGGTGATATATTTATTCATTGGTGATATATTCATTCGTTGGTGATATTTATTCATTAGTTTTATGACTAAATATTATTTCGTACTCTAACCTTGATTCTCTGCAGCCGCCGATGGAAGACTATGAAGACTCGGAGATGGAGGAAGAAGAGGAAGACATGGAAGAAGATATTCAGCTCGACATGGACGACACTACAAACAGTCCTAACCTGCAAAAAGATGATGGAATAGATCCCACGAACCTGGCGACTTTAGTGCGGTTGAAGGCGAACCAGCGGCAAGACTACCTCAGGGGCTCCATCTCTGGCACTGTCCAGGCCACCGACCGCCTCATGAAGGAACTCAGGGACATTTATAAGAGTGACGCCTTCAAAGCAGGTACGTGGTAATATACTCCAGAGTATAAATGAATTATTTATACTCTGCAAGTATCAAAAAGAGGGGGCGAAGCAAGTGTCTATCATTCACGAGTGATTCATTTTATGAATGAGGCTCTTGCAGGTATCAATAAAGTGGGACATTTATAAGAGTGATGCATTCAAAGCAGGTGCGTGGCATACATGAGTGATTCATAAGTATCAAAAAGAGGGGACATTTATAAGACCGACTCTTCTAAAGCTGGTGCATGACATTCATAATTAATTCATTTTATGAATCGATCTCTTGCAAGTGTCAATAATTAACAGATGATGGAAACAGCAGAATAGGTAGCTAATTAACAGTGGAAATTTACAGCTGATGCCTTCTACATTTGTTCTTAGCATTTCAGAATAATGTACTGGTGTTAGACAACGTAAGGGAAACGCCTGAGAAATCCGCAAAATATATTTTAGTTTGGTGTAGGTCCACCTTTGCGGCAATTACAGTCTCAATTCTACGAAGTATTGATTCATACAAATTGTGAATTGTTCCCAAAGGATTTTTAACCCATTCTTCAGTTAAAACTCCTTCCAGCTCTCCCTCCCTAAAGACGATGGTGGTGGGAATCAATTTCTGGCTCGCATCTCTCAAATCGACCATAAATGCTCGATAATATTCAGGTCTGGCGATTGTGGTGGCCAAATTAGATGTTCAACTTCACTAGAATGTTCCTCGTGCCATTTTTTTTAAACAATTTTCAGCTGTATGGATCAGGGCATTATCATATTGAAAGATGGCGTTCCCCTCCGAAAACAGTGCTTGGACCATTTGATGAGCTTGGTCCTCCAAAATTCCTAAATAGTTAATTAATTAATTAATTCCTAATAGTTAATTATTCCATTAAGATGAATCATAGGTCTCCCGGATTTCCAAGAAATAGGCCCCCAGATCATCACAGATCCCCCGTCATGTTTTATGGTTGGGAGGAGGCAGTCGGGATTAAATGACTCTTTTGGCTGTATTCAAACGTAAACTCGGCCAGAGGTTGGAAATAAAGTAAATGATGATTTGTCAGAGAAAATCACATCTTTCTACTGCTCGGAGCGGACTGTCTTTTTACAATTCTGGAGCGGACAGTCTTTAAGGAAACAGTGTTCTGTAGGTGTTCGTTGAGGTCTGCAGTAATTTTAACAGCCGTGGTCTTTCGATTGTTCCTCACAATTCGATTTAGGTACCGACGGTCTCTCTCAGACAACTTTGACTTTGGGCCAGACCTGCGCTTTGCTGAAGATGTTTTTCCTTTTTATTCAAAAGCAGTCATTACTTTTGAGACATGCAGTACTTCTATATAGAAACGTCAAGCATTTGGGAAGTTTCTGTCACACTAGCACCTGCCATACGGGCACCAACAATTTGGCCTCCTTGAAAGTCAGAGAGGTTTGTCATTTATAGGTTAGGTTGAGCTATCAATCATTTTATAGACTTAGAACTTGAGCATTAAGAAGCAAACGCTTTGTGCAGGCGTGTACAGCGTAGATCTCATCAACGATAGCCTCTACGAGTGGAACGTGAAGCTGCAAGTTGTTGATTCAGACTCGCCTCTCTACAATGATATGGTGCAGCTTAAAGAAAAAGAAGGCCTCGATCATATCCTCTTCAATTTTCATTTTAAGGTAAGGGTCCTCATTATTATCATTGATATGGTGAGATGAAACCATCATTATGGTGAGGTTCTGTTGTCTTACTTTGGTATGTTTTCAGGGTAAGGTTCCACCCATTTTTCCAATTGGCCTATCCTAAAACAAATTACAAATATTTTGAATAGAAATTTCCAGGACGAGTACATGTCGATGTCGAATTGAAAAAATTCCTTGTAAAATGGCTAGTTGTCAATTAATAATATATATTTAATATAATCAGTGGTGAGCACACTCCGCTAATCCACTAATTAGCAAAGTTAATTTTTTCCTTAACCAGTATATAATCATAATCAGCATTCAGTGTGCCACATAGGCTAACGAAAAAGTTAGCATTGCTAATTAGCGGTTAGCAGAATAGCGGACTATGCCCATCACTGAATATAATAAAAATAATGCGTACATTATTTTATCGGATTTTTGTTGATCAAACGGTTCAAACCATTCATTGTCTTCCTTGGTCAGGAGTTATTCCCGTTCGAGCCTCCGTTCGTGCGCGTCGTGGCCCCAGTAATCTCGGGTGGCTACGTGCTGGTGGGCGGCGCCATTTGTATGGAGCTGCTCACGAAGCAGGGCTGGAGTTCTGCGTATACCATCGAGGCTGTCATCATGCAGATCGCGGCTACGCTCGTTAAAGGGAAAGCCAGGATACAATTTGGTGCTAACAAAGTAGGCAAGGTAAGACGCATGTGTGTGGACAACGTCAAGCTGTGTACGTAGAAAGGAAGCGAGTCTTGTTGCTAATTCAGCCGGCGCTAACAACATTAACCCTCTACCGCCGTATGTCACTCTCCAAGAACATGAATTTCAACCTAAATTATACGATAGCTATTGAGTGTAGCAACCTGATGACTTTCGCACGCAACAGAGAACATTTTAACCCTCCACCGCCGTATGTCACTCTCCGGGAACATAACTTTCAACCTAAATTATACGTAAACTATTGAGTGTAGCAACCTGATTACGTTAGTACGCAACAGAGAACATTTTAAAGTTGTCGTACGTGGCGGCAACCATCAGTGCAAGTCATTTTGCGCTCACTAGAACGTATCCTTTTTGGGAAGTAGGCTTGGGAAAATATTGCTCCGGTTAATCATGTCGCGCGGTAGAGGGTTGAAAATGAAATTTGTTGCAAACGGGTAGCTGGAAAGCAATTGTAAATTTCGTTCTCCGCTAGTAAAGCCTGACGAATGATGCCTTGGTTTCAACTCTACCGGTATTTGGTGACACTCTGAGTACACTTGGTATGGACAAATTTCTTCTATAGATTTGTTACTAACGTTTAATTACCTTTATATATCAGATGCACACATAATGAAAAATATACAGATTTGATAACATCCATCATCACTAAATCATGATATCAGCGTAATCCTTTTCAATTTTTTTCCAGGGCCAATACAGCCTGGCAAGGGCACAGCAATCCTTTAAATCTCTAGTACAGATCCATGAAAAGAATGGTATGTATATAGAATATTAGAATATTCGAATGTTATGTAATTAGAGTAAGTATATAGAATATTAGAGTATGTATTCAAATATTAGAATGTTATTAAGTAATTGGAGTAGGTATACAGAATTTGCGTACTAGAAAATGTGATATTTTCATTGAAATATGTGCTGCATTAACTTCAAGCTTGTCCACAGGATGGTTCACACCTCCCAAGGAAGACGGGTAATGTTCCATGGAGTTATGTCACCTAAACGTAGCCCTTGCATCGCATCACTCACACTTCGTTATCGTCCGCATGGCTCCCGTCTTTTTTTCACCTGAGATCATCAAATGGTAGCCCTTCAACAGTCATATTGGACGCTCATTCGTTGCCCTTCAACCGCCGTTAGTTAAACGCACGCACATTCGTCAACCTTGAACATTAATTTTTATAATGCTGTGAACATTCTGCATCGGGCGTTATTTGGATGCTCCATACATCGTTCTGCAACAGGCGTTATTTGGACGCTCCATACGTCATTCTGCAACAGCCGTTATTTGGATGCTCCATACGTCATTCTACAACAGGCGTTATTTGGACGCTCCATATGTCATTCTGCAACAGGCGTTATTTGGATGCTCCATATGTCATTCTGCAACAGCCGTTATTTGGATGCTCCATACGTCATTCTGCAACAGCCGTTATTTGGATGCTCCATACGTCATTCTGCAACAGCCGTTATTTGGATGCTCCATATGTCATTCTGCAACAGGCGTTATTTGGATGCTCCATACGTCATTCTGCAACAGCCGTTATTTGGATGCTCCATACGTCATTCTGCAACAGGCGTTATTTGGATGCTCCATATGTCATTCTGCAACAGGCGTTATTTAGAAAAAGATTTTCAGTTTGTTCTGTGTTTAATTGACGGTATTTTGTTGATTATTTCGGCTTTCTTCAATACTTGTTATTTATTTTAGCACCCTTATGCTGTTCTCATTCTCTTTTGCATATTTCCATTGCGTTTCTTCCTTTTTAGCTTTTCTATTCTGAATGAAACTTTGCCATTTCTTTTTAATTCCCATTCGTTCATTGCTCTCTGAACTTAAAAACAATTACTGGGAATTCATCAAAAATGCCCCATTGTATTGTGTATCACTATGCGTGCCCTCCACATGGACTCAGTAGTAGAAATTTTGATCGACGTCTTCAATGAAATTGTTATTGTTCGTCTTGACGTTCATTACTTGACTCGGGTTTGATTAATTGTTCTGTTGAAATCTTCTCTAAAATCTGAAGGCACATATTAAATTTCTGCAGCGTGAAAGAAACATTGAATTTCGGTATTCAGTCCTATACTTTACAATGACAAGAAACTGTTCATACTTACTATTTTCGAACTATAAGCGCCTCTTTTTACAGATAATTAGTTATTTCAGCTATGCGCATATACCTTTAAATTCATAAATATATTTATTATTCATGAACTAGATTGTGCAAGAAGTAAGCAACCCACGAAAATTGAAATGGATTTTTTCAAACTTCAAGATCCAATAACTAATACCTGGCAATGATCATGAGCAATCAAATCTCATAAGTAAATTTGTTGGAACTACTTTTTTTAAAATGGTTTACAGGAGCTGCTGAAAATGGCGAAATAAATTTATCATATAATGAACTATGAATTCATTGGCTACGATACATGTTTATGTGCAAGTGTAAACGTAATTCACTTTATTAAACTTAGTTTTTTTTCAATTTTCCTCGCTGTGAATCTGGAGTTACGTCACCTAAAATATCACGCTACACGAAAATTACTTTGAGGACAGTCGTGACTATTTTAAACATTTGCTGTACTTGGGGTTGAACATGAAATATATTCCCTCATTTCGAATGTTTCTTGAATGGCTTGAAAGATTTTCCTTAACTACTATTTAGTTATTTACACTGAAAATACCTGTCTCACCTCATCAGTTGAATTTATCTGTCGTAAAATTGCCAGATCTCTTCAAATATTAAGATAACTTTCCTCTGAAGCGCTGGAGAACCTATTTCTTCTACCGTCAGCTCGGGTAAGATTGCCACTTGAGTGTAACATTGACCCAAAGTTAGAAAAAAAGTTTTGCTGTGCTGTAGTGTCATCAAATGATGAGTTATCGACTAATTTAGTACGCCACTGGACAGTGGTCACAGATAATTTTTTCTGACTCTGGACACTGTAATAATTAAGGGCCAATCTTACCACAGCTGACGGTACCAATCAATTCTTAGGTCAGTTCGGGAAGACGTTGCCTGACAGAAATTTGATTGACTTGATCCTATCTTCTTAGTATCTGATTTCTTTATGTTGAAATTAAGCTTTGTTATAAGGACCCGAAACTTTACACGAAAAACTGATATTGGTAACTCCGCGATATTGTTGCTTGGGCTCTTGCTGTTTTTAATGGATTAAAATTTTTCAACTAGCATGAAATTTAACCTGTAAATTCATTACATGAAAAACTTTTTGATTGACGAAAACGTTTCCCGAAATATTGAAACTCGAATTGTTTGTTGATTAGCCTTGAACTTGATGCAACTAATTGTTACTTTTGTAACTTGATGCCACTTTCTTGACTGGACTTCAGTATAGTTGATCGTTAGAATGTTTGGAACCGAAAAGTGGTTTTCGGCTGATGACTCTAAATATTGAACATTTGAGTTTTAATATTTTATGTTTATTTTTTTACTGCAATCTTGATAATACCGGTAATAGGCGGGAAACTACGTTTTCGCTAGTATTTCTTCGTGATTTAACGACGTTGAAGAACTCTGTTAACGAGACCTTGCCATCATCCAACCCTGCTCCACACTTACATTTTCTGCCTGTACGGCCGGTCTAATTTTTGTACAAAATGTTTGCAATTTCTTGTACCGAGTATCACATACTTGTAATATTATTTTTTACATGCGTTGTATGTGCTAAGTTGAAGTGGCGTACGAAAGAAGGACGATATTGAATGACTTGAATTGAATGCGGTGCTGTGAAATATCTCTTGATCATCCTCCACCTATTTTGCATGTTAACACTCATTCATCCATTGAATGATCGCTAAGCATCACATTCATCTAAGCGAAGCCGAATTTTCATGAGCGATCTTTGTCACGTCAGCATGAGGGCAGAGTTTGTCACGTCAGCGCAACATGGCTTGAGTCGCAGTGTTTGTTATCAAGTGTAGCACCGAACTGCGTACGCAAAACGTTAAGAACGTTATTAATAAATGTTAATAACATCTTCAGTATTCGTATTGCTCTCGTGAAGCAAGTGGTAATTTTAACCTCATCTCTAAAGTACCGCGTACATTACATCGTTACGAATGTTGAGCATCTCGTTGCTGATAACAATGCATCCTAACTTGTGTCTTGGAATGATGGTTTTTTTTGGGCACTTGATTTTTAATTGAAGTGAGAGTTTGGCTTTGGAACTCGTACGTCTATTTACTGCTTGAGTTGGTCAAGGTGTGCATTCTGATTGACGCGTTGGTCAAGGTCTGCCGACGTATTGACGCGTTGGTCAAGGTCTGCAGACGTATTGACTCGTTGGTCAAGGTGTGCATACGAATTGACACGTTGGTCAGATGTTCAAGTTCAAGAGCCACGTGTGCATTGTACAGGTGCGGTGTACGTACTGAAGATGAGAGTGCAACGCTGTGACCATTCCGTGACTCATCGCATTCATTATATTGGCGCTATCCAATTGTAATTACCGTAGCGTAAGTTGTTCTTCCTTGGTAAGTTCTCTAGCCTAAACTGTTGCGTTGCAGTCGTCACTTTATTTGAGTTGCATTCGTAATTAATTGGTGTGTGTAGTTAGTGTAGTGCGCGAACAGCGCTGCAAACCCGATCCTCGCAAGCTCAACTCTGCAATTTTCTTTGCTATTCTTTTCTCATTCATTTTGTATTCGTTATCATCGTCGATTTTCTTTTGTATTCTCTTGTATATTTCCTCGCTATCTGGTCTCGAATATGATCCAGATTCGTATATCAACAAGCAGTTCAAGCCACAGTACTATGCAATTGAAAAAAGTTTTCTACAAATTATAAAACGAATGATAGTACCCTCTCTGTTCGTTTATAAGATTAGAATTTTTTCGGGCTAAGTGCTGCTATTGACTATTTATTTGTACGTTATTATTTCTAATTAGTTAATCACGTTCCAGGTTAATTTCATTTCCCGATTGAAGGTGTAATTTAATAAAATAACGTTGCATTGCTCCGTGATACTCTATATGACTCTAATTCTGTTTGGTTCTCTTCCGTTTTATATTTCGAACGTGATCGTACTTTTCTGAATTCCTTGTCAGTGGTTTGAACTTTAAATTCTTCTATTTCTCCTCTTATCTGAACCCGATGATATCCTTTGAAGAACTCGGCTAGCTTGTAAGTGTACAAACTCTATTCGCTATAGGTGTTCAGGCCATGTCATGGATTGGCTAGCTTGCTTCCCAAAGCGACATGTTCTTTCCAGCCGCGATTTAAAACTTCACTTTTTCTCCGCTTGTATATCTCATTCTATCTCATCTCACCCCGCTCATCAAGTTATTTTTTTATTTTTTAATTGATAATGAGCATCATCTCTAGTTGTTACTCTCTATACTTTTTTGAAGCCAGTTTTCTTGATCTTTGTAATCAAATTGTACTCTGTTTTTATACTAAATTTGCATCGTTCCTGCAAGCATTTTTCTCGATAAAAATTCAGTGTTACTAAAGATTCCCCAACTTCATTCCAATCGTTGTTATTATTATGGCAGATACATTCTATTGCTCGTATCTTTTTTCATAAAATCAAATTAGCTTCTGTAAAGCTCTAATTTTGTTCTACTACGCTTTTTGGATTACTATTCTGCACCTGTTATTGGAAGTAAACTGTTCAGCGTTTAGTTCGGACTTGAATCCAACTCTCCAGCATATATGCGACACACGCATCAGTTAAAAGATTTGTTACAATATTTAACAAACTTGGTATTTAAATTAACCGAGAGATACTGCCATTACAAATATTTGCTGTTATTTATCACGTTTCTCGAATCGAAACTGCTCTTCCTTACTCTTCTCTCGTCATATCAACATCTTCATGTATCTCATCCAATTCATTTAACTTGGTCATCCTATCTGGAGTCTTCACTCAAGCAATTCAGTTCGCCTCACGCAACTTATTGAATCACGTCATCTTTATCAGATCTTTGATCCCACCCAATAGCCCCCGCGCGACAGTCTCTCTGGGAAGGAGGCAGTGCTAGTCTTAAGGTTGTACATAAATCGGTGTCGCTTCTATCGTGTGCCCAACGGTGAATTATCGACTTCCTGTCGTGGGAACTGCTTAGGAGCAAATGTCAACCTGATTATGATTTGTAAAATGCATAAGAGGCAAATGTCATGCATGATTCGGGATGTCAACCTGACTATGATGTATAAACTTGAAGTTATAGCAACATATGCTCATGGTTTCAATTTAATTGCGGGGAAATAACCCGATTTGGATCACGTATCTGTAAGCTGAATATTTATTTGTCGTAATTCAGATATGTAATTCTTGTGAATCCTTAGTGAAAGCTTTTGGAGGTAACTTGATTATTGGTTTCTTAGAGAATTTTAATCAGATGTGATTTCTGCATCTCTAACTTCTGTCGATCAGTGATCTCGTGTGACGATAACTGTATCAACAGGAGTCAACTAAAGTTCGAACATTTAGAAGTAAAAGCAGTGACCATTTCTGTAGATATTGATATCACCGATTATGAACACTGGTTTCATTCATCCCTTTTTACCAAACATTTAATAATATTAGCACTTTTTTCTAAATCAAGCGTTAAAATTCATGAAGATCCTATTTTCTAAAAGCCAGGTGGACGATATAAATATTGTTATTACATTTGATTGTGAGGAGTTCTAAATTGAATATATACGTTGTCAAGGGAATTTCGTCCTAATTTAATTTCAAGAACCTAGATAGGTAGTTGACAAATTGGCCTAATTCAACTTCTTTTCTGCCTGCATGATCACAAAAATTCACTTCTTCACTATCGTATTTTAGGTGTCTCGTATGAGAAAAAATAAGATGGCATATTATTGAATGAATTTATAAGAGGTCAATACCGACACAAAAATATCTTGCGAGATGTCTAGACCGGCATACATAGACAATTACATCGCTTCAGAGACATGTGAATCATTCCTTTCTTCAATTGGCAATAAACTTGGGTCATTATACTTAATTCTAGACTAGATACACATTCCTCTTCTTTAGGACACACTGGTGACGCTTGCGGAGGTATGAGTAAAAGAAAAAATCTGCATCCAATTTGGCATCTTCCACGTTCTTGAAATGAATTTAGTGTTTCTCAAACTGTAGACTGGAATATTAAATCGACAAAAAATACTCCAAATGAGAACAAAAGTCCATTGAAAAAGCGTTTTTTCCCCCGGAGGTTGCTTCCTTGAGCTGGTTTGAACGAACACGGATTAACTGTATAACTATTGAGCATTCTGTACGTTCGCGGGCTTATGTGTTGACTCGTTCTCGTAGCACCGGCTGTCGTTCAGCGGCAATTTTAGCACCAACAGCTTTGCAACTACAGCCAGCTAAAATTGTGGCTGAAAATATAGCACCAGCTGTGATTATATCTCACCAACAGCTACATTTTCCTCTGTCAATATATGAGCTGATATGAAGATTATTATAAATGAATCCGTTAACACTGATTTCAATAAAATATTCCAGCAACCGCAACATTGCACTGGCATGTATCAACCATCGCACTGGTACCGTTCACTGCAACTGCAGGTTAGAGAGACAATTGGCCCTTAATTATATAGGTATTTGAAAAGATTAAAGTGGAGTTCATCGTGTCTGTGCTGCGATGACAGCGAGAAGTTTTCGTTCCTCCTCAGTCAGGCCATTCTTCAAGGTTCGTCGTACTGCAACACAAAATATCTTTGTTAGGGCAAATCGTGATAGATGATTTCATTTTCCTCTAAACAACTCTGCAGGCAAACCGAGTTTACCGAAACATAGGCTACGTATTCATCCTCATCCCTCTTGAGTGCTGTAATAGAGCTAACATTTATTGAAGACCTATTCCAGTACTCATTCTTGAACAAGTCCGCACATGTGCATAACATTTTAGTTTTGCATATAAGTGTTATATACTTATACCCATATGGCCATATCTTATTATAGTAATCACTTAACAATGAAGACAGCAAAAGAAACCACTCAGGGTTGCTACACATTTGCAATCCTAAAAGTCAAACTAATTAAGAAGAGTAAAACCACGAAGGCCTAATAGAATATAACAGTAAGTTAGATTCAATGCAGTGAGCGAGTAATTTTGAAATAAACAAGTATTTTCATCAAATATTGTGAATATATTCGACTCTGCACAGATTCTTTAATGAGAAATTCATAACAAGATTTAAAAAAAAAACATTGTGCTACTGTCTGTTCTGTCTGATCGAGGAAACATCTTTCCACGATCATGCTTTGCGTGAAATGTCAGACGAATAACAGAGACGGTAGAAAACAACAAACAGGGTAGCAAATGGTTGAAAAAATAACATGCATAGCAAAACAAAAAATTCATTAGCATAGAAACTTCGAGATGGATAATCAAATCCAGTTTACGGTAGGGGGCAAAAATAATAATGACTCAATGGTGAAGGGAAGTAAGAAATTCTCAGAATGCAAGCTGATTACGCAGGCGATGAACGTATAAATGATTCACGGATATTGAATAATGAATCGAAGGAGTCGCTTAAGACTCCTTCGCTATTAAAATGAACATAGACAAGGTATAGTGATATTCAGGTGTCTAGTGAATGAATGCATTAATTACACATCAAGTAATAGCGATTTCAAACATGCGCAATGCACAATTCAGTATTTACAGCTTGAATATGCGAGACTACACGGGAGCGTTAAACTATGAGGCTAATATAAATAATGGGGCACATACAGCCTCGCGAGAACATTCAACTACAAGGCTAATAAAAATCATGGAAAAAATACAGAAAAATGAATCTATCATGGAGTATTTTCCATGGACAAGAAATCATTCAATCTCAAGTCACTTGACTTCTTCCCTGAAGACTTGCGAACAAACGTATAGTGTGAATCAAGATTAAATAAATGAAATAATACTGTACGAACATTTTTGAAGAGCAGCGAAAACAAAAAAGAAGTGAGATAAACAAAGTTGCGGCTGTAACAAAGCTGCATCGAGGTAATGAGTAAATTGTAACGATATAATAAAGTAACGAAGCTGTGGCTCTACGGTGAGCAAAGATGAGGCAAAATATAACGCAAAGCTGTGAAAAAAATAATAATGAAGCGGTCAAGCGGCGGTAGTACCGCTGCGGTAAAAGAGGAAAACATTTTAATTAAGCTGTACAAAATAATATAGTACTGCAGCAATGAACGGCTGTACCGTGACTCGTCAGGTTCACTGCTACCGCACTTCAGCGGCGGCGACGGCGACACTGCGTCGGGAACGCGACCTCGGCGGCGCTGACGCGGGGACTGAGCAACGAAAAAATTTTTCATTGTATCGTCAACGAGGTTCATTGTTTCGTCAACGAGGTTCATTGTATCGTCAACAGTGTTCATTGTATCGTCAACAATGTTCATTGCATCGTCAACAATGTTCATTGTATCGTCAACAATGTTCATTGCATCGTCAGCTAGGTTCATTGTATCGTCAACGAGGTTCATTGTATCGTCAACGCGGTTCATTGCATCGTCAATAATGTTCATTGTATCGTCAATAATGTTCATTGTATCGTCAACAATGTTCATTGTATCGTCAACGAGGTTCATTGTATCGTCAACGAGGTTCATTGCATCGTCAATAATGTTCATTGTACCGTCAAAAATGTTCATTGCATCGTCAACAATGTTCATTGTATCGTCAATAATGTTCATTGTATCGTCAATAATGTTCATTGTATCGTCAACAATGTTCATTGTATCGTCAACGAGGTTCATTTTAACGTCAACAATGTTCATTACATCGTCAACGAGGTTCATTGTATCGTCAACGGAATTCAGGGAGCCAGACTGGAGGCTGAAAGGGAATACTTCAATAATATTCGGAAAATATACCTTAAAAAATTGTAACTCGAACATGAATGATCCAAGGCAGGGCTTGCCAGAAAAGACTTCGAAACAGAACTATATAATACACATACTGGTGCAGGCCTTGAATAAGATGGATGAGCACTCGCAAGCTGCCCAAGTTTTTGGTGGGAAGTCGGTGCCCAAACCCACCAAATAGAAATGCCGCTCCATTGCTACACTTGCACACCAAACAAAACTAAATTTATAAACACATGCTTGGTCAGCGTCATCAAGCATTATTACCAAATAATAATCTCGAAATCAGGTTTGTGCAGAAGTCTCCGGACGAAATATGTGGCTATTCAAAGCCTGCTGCTCAGTGTGTTTTAAAGGACTTCCTACATCAAATGAAGATTATGTTCTTTGCTGCACTTTTCACTCAGCTAAATATTCCATCTCGGTCGATGCGACAAGGCATTACTACCAAAAATGAACGTCGAACTTTTCGAAATTTTCAAGATAAAAATCCTACTCCATAAATTCGAGCAGTTAAATCTAAATGTAAGACAGAACTAGAAAAACTAACTTTTCGGAACAGTTTACTAGATGGTTGGCCATAGATCTGGTACAATGCTGTAACCACACGCAATCCAGCACTCACTAGAACAAAGGAACCGTTATATTGTGGATACAGCAATAATTTTAAGACCGCCAACGCATACCTATAGAGATAATTCGATCCTTCGCCATTCAAAACAAACGTTTTTTTTAATAGAGCTCTCTTGGATCTCAGCTGAATGACCCGGAAAACGTTGAAACTGACTTACAGAATTTGAGAACGATGGAGATCCCCGATTCACAAAATCTCCAGGTACCCGAAACGCTATATCCAAATAGACGCTCTAGTGACTTAATTGGCCCACAATGAAGCTAGTCCCTTTCGCCAGCCACTTTTCGGAACGATAGTTGATATAATCAGACCTAAGAAATTTGAACCCCATCGCATTACTTTCTCCACGAAGACGACGCCTAGCACGCTGAAATACTGAGAGTTCTGCAAAAAGCACAATCTCGACCTCTCCTACTGCATGTTCTTCGAAAAGAAGAGTTTCGCAGACAAGTCTGTCTCCGTGAAAAGGTCTGGGCTGAGTTACAGCTGCCTCTCGAAAGGACAAATACGGAACTCCTGTGAGAACATCCCATTGCGTGCGATTTACCAGCAACGACATCCTACCATAATGCACGATGAATAGGACACCTCGCAATAGTTCTAACAGAGAATCCACTCGGTAAAGTATAAACGAAGAAATCATCTTAAGACCCCCACAGGAATAAAAACCGCTCAGCGGACTCGACGATTCATTAGAGGCAGGGCGGTAGATGACGATCTGTTGAACTAGAGTTTCGCCGGTCACTCGCAAAAGACTCACCGTGATCTGGTCTCCTGTTCCTGAACCTCGAAAAATTATGTATAGAAGTTTATGTTTATTTAGTATTAGTTGCATTTCAATTCGGTTGCAAATTAGGAGCCGGTGTTGAGGTCCCTCCCTCAATGACAATCAGGTCCGACCCCTTAATGCTCGTAATTGTCGGTTTCGTCAGCTTCACTCAGATCCGTACTATGTTCGAGTGGGTCGCCTGCCGAAGACCTGGATGTAATGGACCATCATGCCCTGGATGTAATGAACCATCATGATTCCTGCCTTCCGGAACGTAGCCTTCAATACTTCTGGACAATCATATCAAGGTCGTGCGTCGAACCAGCCCTCGGTCGAACGTCCACTCGTCGGTGGACTATAAATTTTGGAACAGAACTATGCTATCTCAAACCTAACTTCAGATGCGGCGAACGTAAAATTACGTAATTTAACGATGCCCGGAAGTCATATTCGATCCGCGGCCTGGTGATGCACAGCAGGTTTTATGGCAAGGCAGGAGGAGGTCAAAGCCGCGAGTGGTTCACGGCTGATTGGTGGATGTCCGGAGAGATCCAAGGCGTTCGATTTAGAGCTTATTGGTGCACAAAATTGGTGGTGCACGGCTGCGCTCCCCCCAAATGCAGCAAAATTTATCTTAAGATTCAGTAGGAGCTTTGTGTTTATTTTTTTACCGATGTCTGTTTCACACAAACACTAAGAAATTTTAAATAACATTATTATACACTCACTTTGAAACTTCTAAATTCATCATACTCGATTTTCTTTCAGAAACCGCTTACGAACAATAAGAAAATAAGTTTCCGTAACGATTCATCTTTCAACCTCGCCTAAAGAAACCCAAAGTTTCATTACAGTTGATAATGAAAACATTCATGAAATCAGTTAACCGAAATTTCGCAATTTAAACCAAATATTACTTAAACAGTGCCGATAAAAGTTTAAACTTAAGATACAAAGACGTAATTTTTAGTCTTTAGTTAATATATAATTAACATTCCAAAATTTCTTCATATTTCATGCCAGGCAGATGCAGTACCTTATTCATAGTAATTGTTGCAATTCAAAATCAAATTATCATTTCATTGTGAACTTTATCTGAGCTAAGCGAGAGGTGTATTTAAATTTATGCCTAAACATGCTTTTTGCAAACTTATCACAATAATTATTTCTTAATCATCGTCGCATCACTAAACTCCTTTACACTCCCGCGACAAATGACAGAACACCGTTTGTTGAATTTTCCGATGAGAAAAAGATGGCTTTTTCTTTAATTACAGAGCAGCAAATTCCTTTCCATTATGCATGAATTGATAAAAAAAAATAGTATTTCGACCAGCCAGGCCATGTCTAAGTAGCGAGTAAAAAAGGAGATCACGTCTAAATTTCGTTCATTTTCAAAACGATTCTGTGGCAATTAATGGCATTTCACACCATAAACGAAATAGAACCACACACGGTTAACGTGTTCGCAACAAGTTTCCTCGCTAGCCTATTGATTCAAAATAAAATTAGATGATCTGTCTTATCTCTAAAAATCTCAATAATATTAACGTGCAAAAAAATCATATCATGTAACTGGAGTGCAGCAAACCGAGGTCATTCCCTAACAAAATTTAGAGTCGCCTTAGCTTCTGGTAATCCAAATCAGAAGCTGCCGCGTCTGTAAATTTTCACTGGGTAACAAAATTTAGAGTCGCCCCAGCTTCTGGTAATCCAAATCAGAAGCTGCCGCGTCTGTAAATTTTCACTGGGAATTAATGCACAAAGAATCGAGCATAATCGGACATCATGCGGGCATGAATATACGTTACAGAGCAGAAATAGCGCGTGCACGAGAAAAATTCAACAAATTTGTACCTATTATAATCTATGCTCCGATTTTAGCAGGCAAGAGCGGGAGAGGAGGATGTACGCGAACTCTCTGGACGGCAAAACCTGTATAACCTGTAACAAAACCTGTATAACCTGTAACAAAACATGTATAACCTGTAACAAAACCGGTATAACCTGTAGCAAAACCGGTATAACCTGTAACAAAACCAGTATAACCTGTAACAAAACCTGTGTAACCTGTTGTATAACATGCAACAAAACCTGTATAACCTGTAACAAAACCTATATAACCTGTAACAAAACCTGTATAACCTGTAACAAAACCTGTATAACCTGTCACAAAACCTGTATTACCTGTAACAAAACCTGTATAACTTGTAACAAAACAGGTATAACCTGTAACAAAACCTGTATGCCCTGTAACAAAACCTGTATAACCTGTAACAAAACCTAGAGTAAACAGCAATGTTCCACAGCGTACCATACGGTATGTACAACATACTGTTAGGTAACGGTATAAATTGCGACGTAAAACGTCTCGACTGAGTAATTATTCCGTGCTGATGTACTCAAATTAAGAGTAAAGTCTCCACCATCAAGTACCAACGTATTCACATACCGTAGCAGAGGTTAGATACATTTCTTTTACCGAGCTTGTTTCCGCTCGAATAGAAAACAATGCCAATTTACTTACTCGTATTAGTCAGCACCACACAAAGATAAGCTTTTCTAAGACAAAAAAGGCGGCCAACTTCAGAAAACCTGAAAATGTGTATTTTTTCGCGCGCCCTTTGAAATTTCACCTAAATTATTAGACCTAATTTCATCCTAAGTTCACATTTTGTTGTTGTTTAAAAATAAAGATTTGACCTTTTCCGTATTCAGCCAGCGTTGAACATTAGTCTCCGAGCGAATAAACATCATAGCGTCTTTCAGGGTCTGTTCCACATGATAACTACGATGATTTCGAAAAAAAAACAGCACGGAGAAAGGGACATGCAGACATGAGAAAAACGATGAAACCAAGGCGATACCTCCAAAAAAAAAAAAGACATTACGAAGCAGATACGTAGCTGTAATTAATACACAAAACAATGACTGGACAAGGGGCACTCTGAAAGTCAGGGAATTTTTGAACAAGTTTAGAGTAATCATGAGACATAACCAAATTGATAATCATAAGTATAAAAATCGTGTGGATTCTTGTAAACTAGTCTATTTGTAGACAACTATCTACTTGGACGCTCCATGAAAAGTACTAACTACCGTCTAACATCAACAAACATAAATTCATACTACGGAGCCTAAGAAAACTATAAAAAATTCTTCCTACTAACCAACAAGTTTCATTACCGGTTCTATCACCACATCTATTTTATGTGTGGGGTAACACAACACATTATATATAAGGCAAGTCTTCTTACACTTCGCTAACACAACAGATTATATACAAGGTAGGTCTTCTTACACATCGTTAACACAACACATATACAAGGCAGGTCTTCTTACACTTCGCTAACACAACAGATTATATACAAGGTAGGTCTTTTTACACATCGCTAACACAACACATTATATACAAGGCAGGTCTTACACATCGCTAACTCATGAAGAAGTTCAAGTAAGTGGAACACGAGAGCTCGCTAAGCGTGGCCAGCTGAATGGATCGCTTCCAGCTCCTGAATTACTCGCTCTCGAGTCCTGGATTTCTTGAGAGTTGCTGCGATAGCGATGAATAAAACGCAGTAAAAACAGCACAACTTGGAAAAAATAATATATACCGTTAATTAAAAATAAAGTCCGAGAACACAAGATTATGTAGGTCCTTTTTCCTGGTCCATGTAAACCAGGAAAAAGCAACCGTGAATCAAGTCACGAAAAGTACAAGAATCGGCAACATGTCATGGGCCTATTTCTTCAGTGCCGGCACTTCTATTCTATTCTAACTGGATTTAGCCCTTCAGAAGTCTTCGGGTAAAAATGCCCAAAAATGCCCCACATTTCAGACTCCATTCCCAGATGGCATAGGACATATGCCGGAAATGAAGACAACAAGAGGGTTAAGAAGAGCCCAATAAATTAAATTATCGAATAATACCAAGACCACGTAACGGGTCAGATGAGGCAGAAAATATACGAACTAGACTAGTGCAAGAAATAGCGAAACAAAATTGATTACAATAAACTCACCAACTCATCTGCGTTCTATTTCAAATTGAGAGCCGGTGAGCCAATTATCGTTTTTTACATATTTCAATATTTATAAATAAAAGACAAGTGAATTCATTTTATTTCATCCAATAGAATCCATTTCATTCAATTTAACTGATATAGTAAGCTTTCGGATGCTCTAAACTTTGCAGATATTTCCATAGCAATTAATTTGAAAATAATAATAACAATAATAAATTTCTAATAAATTAAAATTAATCACTATTGAAAGACAGATCACTCACATGACTTCCTATCTGCATGTCGCGATCGTCTTCTGTCTCGGTGCTGCGCCCGAGACTGCGGCGTCTCTGTGGCGGTTCTCACGAGACTGTCCAGGAGGGCGTCGTCTCCCGCGCCCCCCATCAGGAGGAGGTCTGTTAGGGGGTCTTCGCCCCTGCTACTGCGCTGCTGTTGCATCCCTGCACAAGGGACATGTTTTTTTTCAAATAGTTGAAAATTCAACACACAAAATAGATTTTTTCAAATATTTAAAAATCAAAAAGTTCGACACAACACAACAGAAAATTCAATACACAAAATAGAATTTTTTAGATACTTAAAAATCAAAAAGTTCAACACAACACAACAGAAAATTCAATACACAAAATAGAATTTTCCAACTATTTAAAATCAAAAAGTTCATTACAACATTCAATACACAAAATAGAATTTTCCAACTATTTAAAATCAAAAAGTTCATTACAACACAACAGAAAATTCAATACACAAAATAGAATTTTCCAAAAGTTCAACACAACACAACAGAAAATTCATTACACAAAATAGAATTTTTCAAATATTTGAAAATCAAAAATTTCAACACAACAGAAAATTCAATACACAAAATAGAATTTTTCAAATATTTGAAAATCAAAAAGTTCAACACAACACAACAGAAAATTCAACACACAAAATAGTATTACGAAACAATGTTTTCAATGATAATTCAACACAGATATGTCAAGCTAGCGTATCTATTCCAATCATTATTCATTTTGATTCGTGTTTCAGTAATCATTAGTTAATTGACATCACCGTTTTACCTGAACTATTTTACATCCAAGTGCAGGAAAAATTATTTCGGGTATGCTAAATAGCTGAATCGATGTCTAACAATTGAAAAAATATTTCACAAATCTCAATAATTTATAATACAAAAAAGGTGCTTTAAAATAGATGAAACAAAGACACAATATTTGACAAAACCATTTGCTATCATATCATCCAAACTAATGAACAGTGAAATACTTTCGCAATGAAACTCGATTCAGCAGAATTCCAATTTACACAATTGTTACATCACAGCACGCTTCTCATTCACTACAAATGCATTATTCCTCAGGAAAATTATATTTAAAAGTGCCACCGCAGCTCTGTTGTTTTTGTTGTTGTGATAGGTAAGGGAGGTAATAACGTTTGTTAGCAGGACATTTTTATATAGTTTTCTCAGTCTCCATAGTAAGAATGTATTTTTTTATTATTAGACGGTAGTTAGTACTTTTCATTGAGCGTCGAAGTAGATAGTTATTTACAAATAGATAGTTTACAAGAATCCTCACGATTTTTATACATATGGTTTTCAGCTTGGGTATCTCTTTTTGTTACTCTAAACTTGTTAAAAAATTCCCTGGCTCTCAGAGTGTCCCTTGTCCAGTCTTTATTTTGTGTATAAATTAAAGCAACGTACGAGTGACCAGGGGCCATACTTTCAAAACTCGCTAACTGAACATAAGTACTTACGCTCTAATTTCTTGTCTATGATTGGCGGATTTTGCTTGAAAGGCTGTCAATGATTGGCTGATGAACTTACGATCTCTAAACTTTTTTTAAAAGTATAGGCCCAGGTAAGGGAGGGAGTTTTTCAGAACACTAAGGCCACATGAAGTACAACTAAAACCATCACTGGCTCGCTGACCCGCCAGAACCATTTTATTTGCATTGCACAACACCCTGGACAAACCAAGCACTTATTTATCAACCAGAATTTAATATGTGGCTGAGTTGGCCATGAGATGAGCTTCCAAAACAATCTTGTTATGCGTGGGACTCAAACCCCCGGGTCACTGGGTGCTTATGACCTTATGATCAATTTAGGACTTATCACCTTATGATGATTTTAGGGTCTATTCCATATTATATTAGCTGCGCTGTACCACCGCACCTAATATAATAAAGCCACTGAGCAGGGTGGCCCAGTACTTTTAGTTAATAGTACCTATATTAGAGCAGAGAGGTGCGGGTTCGATCCCAGGTCCTTCCGAAATTTCTGGTCAAATCGGAGAAGAGGCCGAGCAAACAAGCAAACAAAATTAGAGCAGTGAGTTAGGTGTTCGAAACCGTGAATGTTCGGCGATGTAAAGAACCGGCAACAGGTTTAACGGCCAAATAAACGCTGACACTTCTATACTATGCTACTAAATCCCCCGTTAACGCGGTCTCACCATCTTTAGTTCGGCGCCACGTGTTCTTTCCGCGTATGCTATCCGCACCACCGGAGTCCGCAAGCAACTGTCTCAGGTCGCGATCCGCTTTCTCTTCCTTCGTCCTGGGAGGCTTTGGCCGGAACTTTTCCATCTGAAAATTGAAGATAAATACATTTTTTATACATGCTCAATTATTCTCTTTTATAGAAGTAATTATCGTCCAATGGGGACATGAACAAGCAATAAAATCGTAAATTCAAGGCCCTTATTCTGTCAAAGACCTAAATTGACATGATAAAATACATAATATTGACAGGAACGATGTCATTTATAACATCTTATGAATTATGCAGATGATTGCAGTATAGAGGTAGATAAGACATGAGAAATAGAATACGTAGATACATTATAGGAAATGAGCACGCGCATAGCATTATAAGTAGTATAGACAATAGGCCTACCGTCACATTTTCCATAAACAGCTTAAATTATAGTTTACCAATCATTTACCCCAAATCTTACCCAACAAAATTAACCAATTACCTTCAATATTATTACGAACAATTACCCCCGAATCTGCATAAACAGCTTAACAGGGTACCGATCATGAATCTTGCCCAACAAAATTAACCAATTACTCCCGAATCATGAGTTAACGATCATTTACTCCGATCGAGTCATTCGAGTCATTTACCAGGCTGGAGTCATTTGAGTCAAATCAGCTTGAAACCTTGAGTCAGTTTTTTTTTCATGGTGCACATCGTCTGGTAGCTAAACGCGCTCTTAAATTATCCTCCAAAAAAAAACTCGCTCCAAATCCAGGACCGGTCTGGCAGAGGTAAGATCATCGCGCTAATATCGAGAGTGTTCTAGAACATGCTGTATTTGCCCTCGACCGCGAAGTTGATCTGTAATACATTAAGCACTGAACTCCCGTCGAGTGAGGATTAGTGTAGTAAAATCGGGGTAAATGGTCGTTAACTCATGATTTCGGAGGTAATTGGTTAATTTTGTTGGGTAAATGATCGGTATCCTGTTTATACAGATTCGGGGGTAATTTTTCGTAATAATATTGAAGGTAATTGGTTAACTTTGTTGGGTAAGATTTGGGGTAAATGATTGGTAAACTATAATTTAAGCTGTTTATGGAAAATGTGACGGTAGGCCTATTGTCTATACTACTATTATAACAACCATGAAATAAATGCAGACAATGAATCTGTTGAGTTTGAAACGAGAAAATTAAGGGAACTAATTAGAATAACAGAGATAATACGAAATGAACAAGATGAATCTATTATGCGTATTTCAAAAAATGGCGATGTTAGATACAATAAAATCATTGCATACAAAAATAAGCTATTTAATCAACCAGCCGGAAAATAAATAATAAGGTCAGCACTCAGTCTGAATACAACATATAAATATATGTTTTTTAGCAGAACAACGCATAAATCTTCTAGCGACTGATTGATATCAAATTATAATCTATAGAGGGCCGTAATTCAAATAAAAAGATTCTCAACCATAGCATTTAAACTCGCAAAATATTCTACTAAGAAATACATCTGTCATGCACTACCACGATCTTCGACGAGCAATAGTTTATCAAGCAATTAATTCTGTAAATTTATTAAAGTATTTCCAGAGCAAGATAATTATTCGGTATTGTTGACATAGTTGACTATGGTCAGTCAACAATATGGTGGCTGTAAAGGACAGTCAACTATGATGGCTGTAGAGGACAGTCAACTATGGTGGCTGCAGTGGACAGTCAACTATGGTGGCTGTAGAGGACAGTCAACTATGGTGGCTGTAGAGGACAGTCAACTATGGTGGCTGTAGAGGACAGTCAACTATAGCTGTCTCTTATACACATCTAGATGTGTATAAGAGACAGGTGGACAGTCAACTATCACATGTGATATCGTATCAAAAAGTCGTCTCGTCGATAAAATTCAAATGACATCACTTGATGCAAATGTTCATTGATTTTTTAGAACAACTGAACTGAAGTTTTAAAATGCAAGGCAGCTCTGAGTATTGTTCGCAATTTATATATACATTTTCCAATAAATAAATTGCAAGAAGAAAAGCAATTGCAAGCAAGGCACACGATAAAATCGTAATGTATGAAGAAACATGAAATAAAACACTACTAAATGATCTAATAAAATGGTAAAGCCTCGAAATCTATCGTAATGAATTAAGAAATATGAAAAAACACTGCCGGGTGACATAATAAAATTGTAAAGCCTCGAAGTCAAACGATCAAGCATTATATGCTTTATTTCCAGCTAGGAAATAATTGCTACTGGTATAAAAAGTGTATAATTAAAAGCATATTCTACACAAAAGACGATATAGGCAAACACATAAACTATACCCTGTGTAGTTTTGAACCGGACTTGGACCGCGCTGGCTCATCCAATCCATTCTGCAGAGAAGCCAGGCTTTCATTTCTAATGCTTGAAATAAATTTACGTGAAAAATATACATAATTTTGCAAATGTTTCATAGTGTCAATTTTCGTCAAGAAAACTCCAACCATTTAAATTTTAATTTTTTCATTTTTTTTCTTGAACGTACAAATCGATGCATAAATGCGGTTTACCAAGAACTAACCGAGGTAGCAAACAAAGCCAGTTACATCGATTGTGTATAAGTAATCCTTAAATACTTGATTTTACATTATTGCGCGTGTTTGATTAATGTGATAATTATAGTCTTCCTTTGATTAATAGTAGTAAAGTTGTACTCAACTTCGTAATTCGATAAAGCAACTATTAACAGCGCTATGAAACAAATCTCACACGAACATTCACAATATTGAACAAAATGTGTAACTTATGAAGTAGTCAATTTTCTAATAATCATGTTTACTCTTCAGCCAATAGCCTGCAATTGTGTTGAACAGAGCCAAGTACGAGTGTTCCTAAGCAACATCATTTTTTTACAATTATTATCTTGTTCTTAAAGATAAAGTTTAGTTTTGCACCTAAATGATCATCTTGCGCGCGTTCTATTCTTCTCATACACGCTGGTTAAAATAAACATTTTACAATTGTCATATTATTCGACTGGTTCTATAAGCATGCAATTTCCCACCATAATTATATAATATATTATACGATTGTTTTAATCAATAAAAGGTCACAATTTCTAACCTCAATAATCATCTTGCCACGCGTCTTATTCCTCGCCCGATGATTGTTTTAAGCTTACAATTTCCCACCATAATTCTATTCCAAGATTATTTTAATAAACAAAAGCTTATAATTTCTCACCTCAATGATGGTTGTTTTAATCAATAAAAGCTCGACATTTTTCACCTCAATAATCACCTAACCGTGCGTCTTTTTCCTCTCCCGATGATTGATTTAATCAATAAAAGCTTACAATTTCTAACCATAATTATATCATACGATTATTTTAATAAAAGCTCAACATTTCTCACCTCAATCATCTTGCCGCGCATCTTATTTCTCTCGCGATAATTGATTTAATCAATAAAAGCATACAATTTCCCACCATAATTATATCATACGATTATTTTGATAAAAGCTCGATATTTCTCACCTCAATAATCATCTTGCCGCGCGTCTTATTCCTCTCCCGATGATTAACCTTCTTGAGTAGCTGCTGCTGAACACGTTCCCGACACGTGCGATACTCGAGGGCAAACTCGCTTATAACGCCGCACACCTCCTGGGGCTTAGCTTCCTTCGCCTTGTGCACCGGCGAACCCAGGTAAGTCATGAACTTCTGGAACCTGACAGGCAAGACAAGCAATAATGCATTGTTGTTATATACAATACATTATTGTTAGAATAAATTATTGGTTATATTGCTTCACTTTGTATTGCTATTCAATATACGAACTTCTGGAACCTGACAAGCAGAAATACAGTATTGTTATACACAATACATTATTGTTATAATATATTATTGATTATATTGCTACACTTTTTATTGTTATTCATTACAGAGAGTGGTTATTGCTTAGATTTGTATTAAGTCGTTATTAAAAGAAGCGATCAATCTAATTATTGCTTCACTCCGTATTGCGAGGAGTGATCATTGGATCATTGCAATGATTGCAATTATTTAGCCTTTTTAGATCCCAAGCTACATTCAATCTTAGTTTTTATCATGTAATCCAAAATAAATTTTAACAATTCTGCCTTATAACAGATGACCAAAGATTAACACACGTATTAGGAGTAGACAAATTTAATGTAGGTTTTTATTGGGGACATGATTCTTATTAACAATCATCATACTTTTAATTATAAGTGTAATATGTATAGTATTATTATATAATTGAATACTTTTTGATTATTCTTTATTCACACAGGAGCACCCAAAAATACATATCAAGAAAATATCGAAAATTTGGAGAAAAAATATAAAATGCTTCCTTGTCAATGCCCATACAAGCTAAAAAGCTTCACAAGCTTCTTACGTATATGGCTATAATTATTATAATAATTATAATACAAATAAACACTCACCTGTGCATAACTCTTCTATATATAATGCCCAGCACTATTATCCGCTCTGCACTGTCCGCCAGGAACTCCGACATTCTTTGCGAGATAAAATTGAAAAATTAATAATAAATATTCATTATTAATCATGGTGAGAATTTTGATATCTTACTTTAAACCGAAGAAATATTGCTCCTTAGAAGATATCGGGTTCAAGTTGAAAACTACATTAATAAACTATATAACAAAATTATCATTTATTTTATACCTACATATATGTGAAAGTAAATGCATCTTCTTTCTGGACGAAAATAAGTACGAGCACAAAATTTTTAATTTCCTTTACTTTCAAACGATTTATTTTTTTTTTTTTATTAAATTTCAGCCGGAACTATAATACCTGACAGAAAAATATTTTTTCCGCTGCCTAGGAGATGACAGAAACGCTTATTTGTATTGGCTAGAAAATTTTATATTACCCTTCGGCCTTAAATCTTGAAAATGTGATTCGTAAGAGAAAAATTGATAGAGACAGCACATTTAGCATCAAATTCTTCCATATGTACAACAAATTTAATGATGAATTGTTCCAATTAAGACTTCGTTTTGAGTTTAATGTTCGTTACTAACTTGAATTTGATGTTCATAACTCACCTAATGTTCATGTTCACCTAATGTTCATAACTCACCTAATGTTCATAACTCACCTAATGTTCATAACTCACCTAATGTTCATAACTCACCTAATGTTCATGTTCACCTAATGTTCATAACTCACCTAATGTTCATGTTCACCTAATGTTCATAACTCACCTAATGTTCATAACTCACCTAATGTTCATAACNGGTAGGGCCGTCATGCTTGGCTATAACTTTAAGGTAGTCTATATAACTATATAATGTTGATGACTCACTTAAGTTTAATGTTGGTAGGGCCGTCATGCTTGGCTATAACTTTAAGGTAGTCCCAGGAAGCCTTGCACTCGACTTGCATCTTCTCGATGTTGCTCGCCAGCTCCTCGAAGTCAACCTTCGAGGCCCGAGTGATCGAACCAATCTGGTCGTAAGATGTCAAATTTTTATTTAAAAATAACCAAAATCTAGTGAAGAATTAAAATTAGAATCTAAAAATTAGTAATCTAGTGAAGAAGTAAAATTAGAACTGAAAAATAAGTAAAATCTGGTGGTAAGAAGCGAAATTAAAATTTAAAAATAGGTAAAATCTTGTGAATAAGTAAAATCTAGTGGTAAGAAGTGAAATTAAATGTTTAAAATAAGTAAAATTTAGTGAAGAAGTAAAATCTGGAGGTGAGAAGTAAAATTAGAATTAAAAGAAAAGGAAGAAGTAAAATCTATTTGTAAGAAGTGATATTAAAATTTAAAAATAAGTAAAATGTAGTGAAGAAGTAAAAGTAAGGTCCTGAAACGAGGTTGTTGATTAAAATTGAGAATGTAAACATCGATATTTCGTACGAGTGTGGTTAAAAGATGAAGTTAATCATGCATGGGTAGAAAAAATTCTTTACAAGAACAATTATGATATAAGATTTATAAAAAGTTGATACCCACTTCTTATATTATAGATTTATAAAATATTTATGCCCACTTTTCATATTATAAGATATATAAAAAGTTGATACCCACTTCTTATATTATAAGATTTATAAAAAAATTTATCCCACTTTTGTGTTATATAATTTATAAAAAGTAATACTCACTTTAATCCACTTTAATAACAAATGATACCCACTTCTTATGTTATAAGATTAATAAAAACTTGATTCCTACTTCTTACATTTTAAGATTTTATAAAAAGTTGATACTTATATCTTATATTTTAAGATTCATAATAAGTAGATACGCACCTCCGAGTAGAGATCTGTGGTATCAGGGTATTTGTCGAGTACCATATGGCAGAGGTGATGTAGCAGAGAATGTTTATGCACGGTATCTTTCACCTCGGGAACTTTAGAAAGATATTCTATCTGGAAACCGCGAGCTTCAGTGTTGTTCAGGAAATTACCAACGGAGAGAAGCAAAGACAACAGAACTTTGAACGTGTGGTTCTTTTGTAGAGCTGCTATGCCCTGTTTCAGGTCCATTAATGGTTCTGCAACTTCCTGGGATAAGAGAATTTCTTTACTATATCTTTTCCCTCTGCAGCTAATTTCAATTAAATAAAATTACCTAAAGAAACTTTTATTACTATAACATATATCTTTGCAAGTAATTTATATTGAAATAAAATTACCTTTACAAATTATATATTTCTTCGATTGTGAATCGAATTAAATTTTTCAGCACAGCTCTCATTAAAAAAGAACAACTTACAATGCATTCATTCAGTCATTTTACAAAAGCAGAGCAACAGAGAAACACGAATGAATTTCTCTCGACTATAACTTTCCAATATTTTTAAAAATCAATCCAGGATTATTTTGACATTATCGCAATTCAGAACTAACGCCAATCATTACTCATATTTTCATCAACATATCGTCAATATAAGATAAATAGATATTGGTGAAAACTGTACAGCTTTAAACTGCTTGTGCAGCGATAAACATTCTAGTTGGGCCTCCGTACAAATCTTCGTATAACCGAATACAGAGCTCTGTATTAACAATTATAAAGCTGTATACAGCCGCATACAGAGATATGTCTTACCGAATACCGAGCCCTGTATTACCGAATACAGAGCTCTGTATTAACAATTATAAAGATGTATACAGCCGAATACAGAGATATGTATTACCGAATACCGAGCCCTGTATTACCGAATACAGAGCTCTGTATTATCAATTATAAAGCTGTACCATACAACCTAATACAGAGCTCTGAATGATTGAATACCGAGCCCTGTATTACCGAATACAGAGCTCTGTATTACTATTTATAAAGCTGTATACAACCGAATACAGAGCTCTGTATTACTATTTATAAAGCTGTATACAACCTAATACAGAGCTCTGAATGATTGAATACCGAGCTCTGTATTAGCGAATACAGAGCTCTACATTACTATTTATAAAGCTGTATACAACCGAATACAGAGCTCTGTATTACTATTCATAAAGCTGTATACAACCGAATACAGAGCTCTGTATTACCATTTATAAAGCTGCATACAACCGAATACCGAGCCCTGTATTACCGAATACAGAACTCTGTATTACTATTTATAAAGCTGTATACAACCGAATACAGAGCTCTGCATTAACGACTACCTAAGTTACCTTCTCCATAATTTCGTAGTCTAGTTTGAAGAGCCAGAGCTTGAGTCGTGCGGGCAGCTCTGAGATGGTGGAGAGCATCATGAGGAACTGCTCTGCGGACCCCAGAGGAACTTCAGGGTTTGCGATCGCCGCCTCCTGAATTTTCTGCTTCTCTTCGGCGGTGGGCAACATCGTGGACAGAAGTTTCTGTAGTTATGGAAAGATCGGGTTCCAAAGGCCGGATCCCTTGTGAATCAAGTCACGAAAAGTTCAAGAATCGGCAACAGGCCATGGGCCTATTTCTTCAGTGCTGACACTTCTATTCTATTCTATTCTTCAGTGATATAAATAATGTTTTAAATAGTGATATGATACAGAGGGGTTATAGTATTCCTTATTTTTGGCCACGTTCTAAATGCTGTGAAGGTGTGGTGAGAAGAAACATGTACAGATAAAATAATAACTAATATTAGGAAATATTTGTACGGTACGAATAGGTAATTTAAAAATACATGAAATGTAATAATAGTACGGTACGAAGAAATCATTTAAAAATACATGACATTTCATCAGAAAAAACCCTCTCGCATTAACTAATGAACGATTTTCCATTATATCATTCATTACTGTTAATAGATTAATGATTATTAAACGATTAGGGTAATATATTTTATAATATATATTAGGGTAATAATTAGTCAAGGGAATGACTAATTATTAATTAGAGAATAATTGTACGCACCTCGATGCCTTCCCTATTGATAATGGAAGAGTCCATCTTGAGTATAGCAGTTTTAATGGTGCGGGGCGGGGGCAGTTTCGTCATGCCGATGTTGATGACGTTAGAGCGCTTGGGGTCCAGCACCACCAACTCCTTCACTCCCTTCTGCTCCTGTTGCCGCTGTTGGGCCATACATTGTATGTTATGTATGTACACTCCCTGATAATTTAAATCAACGAATTCTCTGGTCATCAATCGCACGTGTATATATGTAATGTATGAACTAATGTATACATCAGGCGATGTATATATTACACGCTATAGCTCAGGCGATTTATACATTATACACTAAAACTAAGGCAAGTGACGGCAGGTCAAGTTATAAGGGCCCCTAATATAAATAACTCATTGAAATTTGAGTAGCGGTCTAAATACACGTATCGGTCTAAATAAACGTAGCAGTCTAAATATATACACGTAGCGGCCGATTTCTGATCTGTTATACGTACATTTAGTTTGAAAATCTTACTAATTTCATATATATTATTGATTGAAAATTTTACTTATTGAAAATGTTACTTATTGCAAATGTATTATATCAACTATTTAGCTTAAAATTCCGTCAGGACTTGACTAACGGAGTTACGAACTCGCAACTATTTTTGATAGAACGGTCTTAATATTTAGACAAGATTAAAATTTCAGGAGACGAATGGTTAAACTCTGATGTTGCTTGAATTAAGATACATGTTGTATCTTACTTCAAGTAAGACACAACATGCGCTCTATTAGCGTTCATAACTATAGCGTAGTTTGCCTTAAGTGAGCTTGTAAAAAATACAATGAACAGCCAAAATAAAAACTAGTATCAATAAATAATTAAATTCTATGCTGGTTAGCTGGTAGGACGAACAGTGCACTGCCCAAAATATGAACTGGTATCAAAAAATAATTGTATGGTATAAATAAATAATGATAATCTATATTAAACTTTATGCGAATAAACAAGCCTACGAGGATCAGAATATTGGATTTTATAAAACACAAACATTATTAGAAGAGTATACCCCTGTTTAATAACGCCTTAAGAGGCTTAATTTTATGAATATAGGTACTGATTGTACATCGTTAATGTGGGGATAAAAAAATTTGAGATTTCGTTAGATTTATAATTTTCTCAGCAATTTAATAGGATTTTAAAAAATGCCACCGTCTTCGATTACAAAAATAAAAACTCGTACAATCGCTTAAAAAATTTTTATATGTAAAAAATATAAATGTCGCATTGTCCATATTTCTTGCCCACTGCGCGCACTATTTGGACAATGATCCCCGCATTCTTCATGTGTATGTACAATCAATATGATGGAAATTAATGAAAACTTGAAACTGTCCCGCTTTAATTAGTTGTTGTGTAATTCTTCTTTTGTTGTGATATTCTAATATTAGTATGAAATTCTTTAGTAAAATTCTACCCTCACCTCCTGTAGGCGCATTTCTCCATGTGTATGTACAATCAATATGATGGAAAGTAATGAAAACTTGAAACTGTCTCGCTTTAATTAGTTAGTGTGTAATTCTAGGATTAGTGCAAAATTCTAATATTAGTAAAAAATTCTTCACAGAAATTCTACCCTCACCTCCTGTAGATCACGAATGAAGTTTTGCCAGCACCACGTCGAGCAGCAGCGAGAACAGCGTGGTCAATGAGAGATAAGATAGCATGTAAGCTTAACCAGTTGATTAGTAATTTAGTAATGCGTGTTACAAGTTGATTATTTAATAAGTAAGTAATGACGATGACAGGCCCAGAGATCCCAGCTTTACCACTTAAACCAAAATGATGACCATGATTAAATTTTGTTCATTTTTTACTAATTATTCTGATAATCACGTGTTTATAAAGTGAAGCTGATGCCCTTGTTAATACCCAAAATATTATTTTCGATAAATAATTTAATCACCTTTGTTCCGTCATGTCGATAATTATATATACATTTGAGTATTAATTACGCACCGAAATTCATGTAAACATTTATCAATTATAAGATCATTAGGAATTAAGACTAATTTCGAGATAAGATCACATCTTTGATGACATCTTTGTGAGTGGTACCTTCTGCAGAAAAGCCTCTTTCGGAAAATTTTATGCATTTTGAATGAATGTAAGTTGCTTATTCATTTTATAAACCATTGTTAACGTTCTATAATAACATAACGAATAGGTAAGACAAGTTTTAAATAGCGCTATGCCTGCCGTGACATTAACAAACATCAAAATAATTTTTGAAAAAAAGACGATTAACATAAAAAATAAAACTGGAGAAAAGAAAAAGAAACTTGAACGAATGTCGAAAAAGAAGCCCAAAGGTTGACCAACTGAAGCCCAATTTTGGTTAATAGAGCTTAAAATTAAAAAACGAAGGAAAAAATACCTTAAAAACATATATTATAAATACGTTTGGTGTTTGAAATCCGTTAGGATTGGTCAGTTATATACCAGAACAATACCGTATAGCAACCGGCCCCATTATTACAACTATTATTAGATACATAAAGCAATAGTTATGATTTCGTAGGAATTTGGTTAGTTTTGCTTACTGTGTTCTCATAAAATACTTTATTGTTTCCATTGGATCCATAGTAGCGATAGTTGTAATTTATTTCGTAATAATTTAGTTAGTTTTGCTTAACTGTGTTCTCATAAAATACTTTATTGTTTCCATTGGATCCATAGTAGCGATAGTTGTAATTCATTTCGTAATAATTTGGTTAGTTTTCTTAATTTAATACTTAATGTTATTATAAAATACGTTATAGTAGAAAGGCGCGGGTTCGATCCCAGCTCTGTGCGCCAGATTCTAGGAGGCCGGGCGGTTAAGCACAGCAGAATTGTAGCAGTGAGTTGTGAGTTTGAGCCCGCAACAAGCTGTGAATGTTCTGAGATGTTAAGAATCGGCGACAGGCCTACGGCCTAATAAACGCTGAAACCTAGATGAATTATACCCGCTATTATAGATGAACTTTGACGGCACCTTAGCGTTGATGTCCTTGGCACGAGACTCGAAGAGATGCTCGAGCCTGGCGACGTCCAGCTCGACGGTCTGCAGACCGTCCCAGAGCGTGGGCACCCCCACCTGCCGCTGCGGGTCCTTCTGCACCTGCAGGATATTGTTAATGGTACCTTCTGCACATGCAGGATATTCTTAATGGTACCTTCTGCACCTGCAGGATATTGAGTGGTACCTTTTGCACCTGCAGGATATTGATTGGTACCTTTTGCACCTGCAGGATATTGAGTGGTACCTTCTGCACCTGCAGGATATTGAGTGGTACCTTCTGCACCTGCAGGATATTGAGTGNGTCCGTCTGTCTGTCCGTCCGTGACTTCACGTTTTCGTCGACGAGAAAATGCGCTCTCTGTCACTCACTGCAGTGAGTACTGAGTTATATTTTTTGAGTGGTACCTTCTGCACCTAGAGAACATCTGTGAGTGGTACCTTCTGCACCTAGAGAACATCTGTGAGTGGTACCTTCTGCACTTAGAGAACATCTTTTAATGGTGTCTTTCGAACCAATAAAACATTTTTGAATGCTACCTCTAGCAGCTAGAACATTTTAGAATGATACTGACAATTACTAGAAAATAATAACCTGTTGATACGTGAATTTTGTGCACCTCTAAAATATTTTTTTAATTGTGCTGCAATTTCTAGAATATAATATTGCTAATCCTATAAATATTGGAAGGGCCTTAAAACATTTGTAGGTATATAGAATGGACTCATCGAATGAATATATTTTACAATTCAATTTTTTTAGTAGAATTCGACTACTGAATTGAAGTATGACAATGGAAAACAAATTTTCGGGGGAAAAATTGTATTCAAACGAAAAACTGAAGAAAGTACTAACCATTCAGAGTTGTTTATGAAGTGATCCAATGAAAAATCTATTGAGGGACTAAACTAAAGGGGTAAAATAGAATGAATGTAAAATACAAGGAGAAACAATAATTAAAACAAGTGAAAAATTATACAAGAAAACACAGAGTGATCAAGGTCGGATTACACAAATTGTCATCCAATTTTAAAATCTTGAAACTATTTAGTCAACAAATGATGACATTTATTAATCTATTTATTTTTCTAACTTATTTATTTATATTAAATTTCTTAGATTTATCGAACAGATAATGATAAAATTTCAAATTTATTATCGTTCTAAATTATTATCGTTTTTATTATTATCAGAACGAATTAATTTCGTTCAAAAAAACCAACCTCGAGGAAAAAAAGTAAAAAGACCAAAAAAATCAATTAAACCAACCTCATTCCAGAACAACTTGATGGTCTTCTTGGTCTTTTTAGCCCTCAGGATGGGGGTGAGCCCAAGCCCGAAATTGTGCCCGGGTTTTGGGGCTAAATGCACCCCGTAGGAGCCCAGGAGGGGGGGAGGGGGAGGGATGTTGCCCTCAGGGGGGGCAGCGGTCCCCCCGTCGCTCTCCCCCTCTGTGTCTGCGGGGGCTGCGGGGGGGTTAGCGCCCCCTGGGAAATGTTTAATCTAGAATTAGTTATTAATCCAAAATATATAATAAAATACAATATAATATAATATAATATAATATATAGCATGGATTGTAAACATTTACATTAATTTGACAAAATAAACAAATGTAGGTACATGAATAGTAGTCACAATGACTCTTCTCGACAAACCTCTTAAATTCAGTCTTTTTCTTTATCAACTTTTTAAGAATGAAATTAATTCAACGATTAATTGAAATAAAATGCGTCGCCTTTATATCAAATTCTCTTGCAGAGTTCAACTGAGAGCTTCCTGCACTTATTGCAACAACCATTAACAATACACGCAAAATAGTCCTGGCTTACTCGATTAATAAAATTAGATAATTATTTAAAATACACTTCACTTATACTTATTTATAACATATTATTCTGCTACTTTCAAGCACCATAGGCTTAATAATTAGCCTCACTAATGGCTTTATATTAGAATTGTTATAGCGGCAAAATTATCTACTCTCTATAATCATACGAAAGGCGGCTTTAGTCTCTCCATTTCCAGTGCGCACACAAACTTCTTCCTGATTATATATTCAAATTAAAAATCTGCTGCACAAATAAAGACTACAAAGCTTCAGACTCACTCTAAGCATCAAATGCAAATGCCTCTGAAATACACCAAAGAGAATTATTAAACCTGCATAGCATTTATAGTGCTGAGCGATACCTGATCAGCTCTGAGCCATCAACGTATAAGCATAATTCATAGAGTAATTAGAACGATATTATCCTCGTATCACAAGCTGCTTAGCACTACAGTACATCTGTCTGGCGGCTCCAAGCAGCGATATGGAGCCGACACTCAACTAAATTAGTGAAACTTCATCCCAATAACGAGGCACCTTTCGTCATTGGATGGAAAATTCTTACTCAGCTTGGTTAAATAAAAGGGCGTGTCATTGCTACGTGCCGAAAGTGTGTCACTATTTGAACAATATGACTCATTTATTTCCTGATACGTGCCGAGAGTGTGTCACTTTTTGGACACTAAGAACCATTAATTTTGTGAGTGGGACGGAGCAGTATTGCCAACGGTCCAATTAAGGCCATTCGGACGCGGCAATTTAAGCAGGAGCTTAACGCGAGCAATGGCGGAGTGGAGCAAATTACTGCAGAGTTAACGGCAGGGGAGGTAAGGGTGAGGACATTACCTCTGCTCACCTGATGATTACCTTTAAATGCTCACCCTCTCATGACCCTCACTTGCTTACCCTCACACGACCCTCACCTGCTCACCCTCTCATCACCCTCACCTGCTCACCCTCTCATCACCCTCACCTGCTCACCCTCTCATCACCCTCACCTGCTTATCCTATAATTACGATTAATGACCTATCACTTAAGATGAAAGCATGTGTTTCATACGATTAGGAAAGTAACGTTTACGATGAAAACACGTATCGCATACCATTAAGGGAAGCATCGCATGCGATCAAATCACGTATAGTATACGATCGAACGAACATAAAGTAGTGAATAACTGTGAATAATGAGCGATCTTTAAGAAGCGCAGCGCGATTGGGTTGAAGGAATGGAGATATTTTGAGTTATTCAGTTGGCATAATAAACTCACTGAAAGTTATTAAACTCTCCTTGAAAGTGTCACGTTTGAGTTTATAAAATTAAAGTCGAACTTGGTGATGAAAACAATTACGGTTCTCCCAAGGAAGGGCTTAAGTGTAATTAAAGTTGTGATGACATTAAGTTGCAGGCGGTGATGATTTAAAGTTTAAACTTTCTGTCTTTGGCAACTTTTACTAACACTACGCGGTCATAGAAGCAAGCACAAAAATTGTGCTGGTAGTAACTCTGAACGGTCGTGACAATAAGTACTAACTCTGATTGTAGTAACTCTGCGTAAGCGAGGCAGCAAGTACCAACTTTCTTCCTAGCCACTATGCGCAAGTACTAACTCTGACGCACTTTGCGGGGCGTTAACATGCGCATTTTGCTTAGCGTTGACCATTCACGGGATTATTTGCCTTCAATTTCCCGCCTTTATTAGAGAAAACTTCCCACAAAAGGTCCCCAGTAACGAGCGCTCCAGTCGCCTTCTAAAAACCTGCTGCTGGGCACGAAGCGTTCAAATATCGGCGCTAACACAACGACTTTCGGGCAGTTTTTGGCAAACGTCCAAATTTTAGGAGCTAAAATGACCGATTTTTCTTATTTTTTTCCTCATAAGAGGAAATCGGAACCGCACAAATTCTCAAGGCAGAACTTAAGTGGTGATTAGTGCTGCATGATAAATTTCATTTCAAAGCATTCCATGACAACTTACTCTTCAAGAGTATGGATTAGGCGTTATTTGCATTGTCCCTGGAAGAAAAATTATTTAGCAATATTCGAGCAATGCAGACAAAGGCAATTGAAATGAGAGTCAAGTTCGTTAATTGAGTTGCGCAACTAGTGGTATCAAAGTTACTTAAATGTCAGGTCTACTTCCCGTAGATTTTGTTGAAATGTGGTCACTTTACAGAAAACGGATTCATGAGGGAAGTCGTCTTGAAATGCACTCAGAAGAAGTTATTTCCAATCTGAATAATTCAAACTAATTGAATTCGAAGACTGCTTCATTGGTCACCCCATCAAAAAGCAGACATGGCAAAAACTATTCAATTATATCATTAATCATTTGGAAGGATAAAAATACAATTTTGTACGCACCTGCTAATCGGGAAAAATGTTTAAGAAGCGATGATTAAATTCGGTTGAAAATACAAAATAAGAAATGACAACTTGCACTCAAATTCATCTTTTAGATTAAATGAAGAAAAATTAAGAGCATAGAGTAAATGTGATATAGAATTAATTTACTAAACTAAACACATCTGGAACAAACACTGCCACACAATTAATATCCGGAAGAAATTTTACCGCAAACAAAACAAAACAAAAAACGACATAAGAGCACAGAAGCCTTGTTATAAAATTGACTTCTTAACTTTCCCACATCGTGCAAAATAATTTCACGTGGACAAATTTATTCGAACAAACGCTGCGCTGTTCAAAGCATCGCTGCGACAATGGCAGATCTTCTACTTTAAAACGGCACCACCTAATTGCGCTACCTTCGATGTATTTCTGCGCTACAAAAATTGATTATAAAGATTGAAAGCTGAAAACATTTATTGATCCAATATATTAAAAATTTTTATTCATCAACTGAACAATTTCAGGTACAGCACGCGACAAATTGAACATTTGTACCGGACACTCCTGATCAATATCAAGGCAACATAAACAATATCTGTATCTTCAGTAATACGAATAATTGTAATACGAAAATAATAAGTGCCTTGAAGCTATTCACATCCAGCGAACTAATATCTTTCGACATTTAATTGAAGGTTAACGATAAACGTGGCCACTGAAAGAAAACATCTAAAGTTCTTAATCATTATGTACAATGCAATGATCATAAAAAAATACATGCAAGGCCAATACGACCTAATATACGAAACTATCACTGTTCGGAAAGGAAGATTAATGCATTTATGATATTAATAGAATCTATTAATTCCATGAAATTTCCAGGGCAGAAACAAGAGCATGAATTGAATACAGCAAGGAGTCAGCTGAGTAAATTAGGCTGCCACTGCAACCCCCCCGGGGGGAGAGTGAGGAATGTGGGGGCCAAGTTGGGGAGTGAGGGGAGGGGGGAGGGATGGAGGAAGGGTAGGGAAGGAAGAGAAGGGAGAGGAGATGAGGGGAAGGAAGGGAGGAAGGGGAGTGAGGGAAGGGCAAAGCAGGGAAAGAAGGGGATGGTGAGGGGAGTGCCAGGCGCGCCCCTATGGACCACAAGGAGGGCTAAGGGTGAGCAGCTCGCTATATTTGGCCATGTTCCGTGCCAGTGATAACAAACTACATTTCAATAAACAACTTTTGTTAACTCAATAACTAACAACGTTCTTCATGATTGAGTAATCGAATCACCATTGATAATATTGTCGGTCTGGATGCTGCACTATCGAACAGTGGAACTACAAATCAAAATATTCATTATTTAGGAGTTATTTTTCGGGCTCTAATCAGCTGATCGTATCGGTCACCCCAGCCGACTGCGTGCAGTGCCGTTCTGGCAACTCCGTGGTGAGGGTGTACGTGGGTGCGCTCCTCACTCTTCACGGGCCACCGACCGCCCGGCTATAGCATGCTCTTGCTTACCAATGAAAAGTTCCGGAATTAGTTAACTCCCAGTTAATGCAGAGTATTTGTGATTGAATGAAAAGTAATACGGTGTTGCTATAAAACAAGATTGCGGTGCGAAGCAGGTGTTGAAAGATATATATATTTTATATAACTTTGAACAATTTGTTCAAGTTATTCGAAGCGATATAATATTAATAGAGCTTCCTCACTTAAGATCAGAATTGCTCACATCTCAGATCAGAAATTTACATACAGTAAAAACTTTTTTTACGAGTAGCATGAAAATCTGCCTGAGTTTCATGAGTGAACATTTATTCAATAGATCGTGTGACCGATTACTAGAAATGTAAAATACGATTAAGGTTATTCTGCACGGCGAAAAGTTGTGATGCTCTAAGTACAACTTGTGATATAATAAACATTATCGATTATTGATCAAATGTTTCTCTAGTTCTTTCGTTGTCGCGTAGTGTTGATCGACCAATGTTCGTCTGTGGTGATCGTTAAGTTTTTAAGAAACAAAAAAATTAAGCAATTAATACGAGCTCATAATTTTATTGTGAGATACGCGTATCAAGATATACTAAAAATTGGACCGATTAGTAAGTAACACGAGATGATTTCTTCAGGAGAAAATATTTTGAAAACTATTTAGAGATTACCTTAATTTAAGCATAATCAGCTGGTTAATTCCAATATTATATTCATCAGCGACCAATGTAATATTTGAAATAACCATAGTTCATGTTAATTTATTTTTAAAAAGAAACATAAGCTACAGAACACGGTAAGTCTTTTATGTAGATTTG